AGTTATCCTGTAATAAAACTGTCGTCTTAATGGTTGAATTAATCAAAATAGCCACTAGGGAACAATGTCTCTTAAAGTACTCGCTCCAAGAGCTCAAAGTGGGTTTTTTTTTACGAGAGAGGGCATGTTTGAGCAGTTTTTTTTATCTTTTAATTCTATGGTAAGGTATTTGTCCATCAGCGTAAAATGATGATGAAATTAAAACTTGCGCATGATGAAATTAAAACTTGCTATAGGCCTATTCGTCGGGATTATCGTAAAACCTCCTCCATGTTCTGATTTCTTGTCAAGCAACTACGGCGTTGTAGAATCTTATTTTTATTGGTAAGTGTAAATCATTTACGTGATCGGACGCGATGACTGGAGTTTAGGCCTAATGTAATTTGCAAAATTAGATTCCAAAACACTGAAAAAGTCATGCACTCATTGGATTTGTCTAACCTTAATTTTAAAAAAATATACCAAAGATAACCCAAAGCAGGTAGAGTTTAGCACCTTTAGTGTATTAATATTCCATATAACAAAGCAATATCTAAAAGCAAACTGATAACACGACAAAGTATAATAACACACAAAAATCACCCCCCCCAAAAAAAAAACCCCACCTAATTTGAAGTGTAAGACCATTGCAAGCCATAAACAAGCCCAAAGTAATTCAATGAAGTCAATTAAAAAAGTTCTTAAATATATTCAATGTAAAAAAATATGATGTATGTAGCACGGATCGGCAACACGTAGAAAGTGGCTCCTTGCTATAGGTCTTGGTACGGATATGTAATTTCCAATTCATGTACTTTGGTAACAACTAAACAACTTCATGCAAACGAATGATCGATAAATCCATGAACTGCCAGCCGCAAGCCCCGTCTCAAACTCAGAGGATATGAAATGTATCCGGCAAATTGATCGTCGGTCTACCACCTGAACACAAGGCGGGAAGTATTGTCACAAACGATCAAAATCCTGTCATTTATGAAAATGAAACTCATAATGCTGAATTTTACTGACTTCATGTAACATGCTGTGCTATAGGTGTTCTGTTTTAATAATATGTTTACTGTTCTGGCAATATGTAGCAACTGTTTTCATACAGAGTTGATTACTTAATTTCTTCGAATAAATAGCTTAATTTCTGCGAATACTTAAAAGGCGATTGAGACGCAAATGATGGCCGTATCTTAAACTACAACAGCCAGATTTGACTGCTGCTTTGGCTGTCGATTCAACGCTTAATGCACTACTTCTAGGAAATCACATTTGCGTAAACTAGTAGTAAAGCGAATGAGCGAAGCGCGGTAATGGCTTTCTTGCAATTCACCCTCCGGCAAGGCTGAGCCCTCTAGTTTCATAAAGGACATGACATTAAGTTCACTGCAGAAGGTTCGCTTGCCATTTACAATACCCAAATGCGCGATTAGCACGCAAAAAAGAAAGAAAGGAAAAAAAAGGATTCTTGTTTGTTGTAAAACGATACTTGGCCTCAGGTATACTGAAAGTCCCATCTTGTCCAGGATTGGAAAGGTTTCCGGACCGCAAATCCTGGGAATAATCTAGCAAGAAGCGGAAGCTATATATATACGAACACCGGTTGTGATCCATTTTCCAGGGATTAACCTTATTTTCAAACGGTCAGCAAACCCTACCTAAATATTCCTATATGGTATTTCATTTCACTTCTGATATTATCGGAATTTGTATTAATACAAATGCAATATTACACCCATTCAACCTACCAACAAACCAAGCAACAAACTGACACGCCTATACCAACCAACACACGGACATCAACCGATCAACAAAGCAACCACCAAGCCCAACTTATAAAAAAAGTGATTGGAGAAAAAAAAAAAGGTCTATTCTCAGCTAAGCAATCAAAAGCTAGTGCATCTTTACGTCTGTATTTGGGGTTTGGCAAAGACACTGGCCTACTTAAACTCAAATGAATCGCAAAAAAAGTAAACTTGACGTATATTCTGCGATATCAAATTGAGAAAAACTTTCATGATTTCAAAAAGAGTGTCCTTTTGAATGTGTTCAAATTCTTTACAACGATGATAATAACTTAGGCAAAAAGGAAGTAACATCTCTGTCAAATCACTAAGGTATTCAAGCAATTCCTACGGATAAAAGTCTCCAAATGAGACGTCATAAAAACCAGACCCGACAGGACTGTGTACGAAGATGAACAAGATAACGATCCAATGGGAAATCATGAACGAATACCTTTTTTTCTATAAAGTGCACGGAACAATTCTGTCAATGTGACATCGTCAAGGTTGACGCTCCTGCACGAAGCTGACTTTTACAGGGAGCCGTGCACGACTCGCGAATATTATCGCAAAAGCAAAATCCACTCAGGATTTCTCACCGCTGCCAAATTGATGTACCAAATGCATGCGACCAAACGTATAACGTTTCCTATTTTCACACGGTGTTGAAAGCATGCCTTTTTTGAACCAACAATGTACAGCGGCCACTGTTTGTTTTTGCTGTCGTTGCGTTTTCCCCCAAGATGTTAAATTCACATCGCAAGACTGCTGATATTTTACAGGATGCTCTGTATGACCCAAATTGAACATGTTACAAGAGTTAGTCCACACGAGAAATCTCACCAACGCCAAGAGTTGATGCACCAAATGCATTTCAGATCTTGATCATCACAACAGAGTCTCCTTTTTAACCAAAGGGTACTGAACAGTCCATGCTTGTTTTGGCTACTTTTGCCTTTCTCCTCGTGGTTGTTTACGTACGCCATTAGCTAACACTTGAGGCAAGCGTCGACTTCCAATCTTTGTTAGGGAGTACTTTTTTAACGCAGTATGACGTCACAATTACGCCCTCAAGCATGGACGTTTTTTTTAGACTCGGCGCCAGCATGCTGCCGATAACACAGCCAGTCGGCGTTAGTCCTGTCGAGAGGCTTGTCACGATAACTGCAAGCGGCGGGAACCTATATGAGCGAGTCAAAGAAAGAAGATTCATTGACGCCCTTAGATGGGCAAGGAAACAAAATGTGTCTACAAATTTATCTGAAACTTTCAACAATGTCCACATAACACGTTAATAATCCCAAAAGAACGCCAATGATTCCAGAAAGATTCCATAAAAATTACAGAATGTTGAATTCAAACGTTCATTTTTAAAGACATTTCCTAAACATTGTTGGAGCAAAGGCTTTGATCCTCAAGGCCAAGGCCAAGGCCAAGGATTTGACCCTCAAGGCCAAGGCTTTTGCCCTCAAGCGTCAAGGCCAAGGCCAAGGCCCTAAAAACCAGCCTTAAGGCCAAGGCCCAGCATCAAGGCACTACATCACTGTTCTAAAAGTGTCTGATCATCAGCTTATTCTCAATATTGGTTTAAATTCAGCCTTCCAATGAAACGTTACACGGTACAGAGGTGATGCATCCACACTCAGAGATTCCCCACTACATATTTCCGTCTGTTTGTCGACACATCTTATAGGTCGTGCGGTCTGTTGTTACCCTCACTAGATACACGCACTTGAACGAAGACACAATCGATTCTTGTCTATACGCATTGGTACAGCTTGCCGCGTGTAAGTGATGATAAGCATTTGCTCCCACATGCTTGTGTGCGATAGCAGCCACAGGTTTTGAAGAAGAAAGAAAAAACAAATCACAAACACGTTTTACCAGTTAAATCACCACGTAAATATTAACGCCTTGTTGTATTCTGCAATAAATGACTTATGGTTAATCGAAAATGACGCGAGATTTCAAGGTAAGTTGCAACTTATATTAAATACAATAAATTAATAATAAATTGGAAAGAGTAAATAGTATGTACTTATGCCTAATAGTGTAATTGTCCGCAAAGTAAAATCCAGAAATACTTTAAGTGCAGGATATTTCCAAAAGCAATCAACGAACACATAAAGCAATCTCTTAGGCAAACCTCGTGCGTCAACAGCTATAGATTAGGAGGTTGATTTATGGCAATGTCCTGAGAAATAATATGACAGTGCTTTAGAAGTCCAAGAAAGTTCAACGTTCAATTGCAGATTCGGCGACCACTCCGGATCAGATTGATATTGACTCACAATGAGCACAAACAGCATTAAGTCATGCAAGTGAAAGGGTCATGTGTGCATGAAGGAATACATGAACCGTGACAGAAACATCGTAGATCACTGAAAACAGAAATGCCAACTTAAATGCTAATTTGGAATTTTAGAATCCTTAAAAAAACCTAAAATAACTTTTAAAAAAAGGAACAACAGAAAAAGACAATTATTTCAATTGTAGGCAAACTCGAGTTTAATCGATTACAACAGAAACATGCTTTAAGTAATTAAACAGAAGTGGATTTTTTATCAGATTAATACAACGTAAAATCAACGAAGTGCCGAAAAGCTTGTTTCAATTTTGTGTTCAAGTTACAAATTTCTGAAGCTGTTTCGACTTGCAGTCTTGAAAATGATAATATTCTTACTCGGATTGTCCGAAGAAGCTGTAAAATAATCTTAACAACTGGTCATCTTTTAAATTTCAACTGTGCTTGTCAAAACAAACTTTAGAGAATATCTAACATCAAGCTGCTCCTCAAGAATACATACAATAAATAACGTCAGACGTAATATTTTATTTTAAAATTATATTTAAATGTCATTTCATTTATATTTCTAGCTTCCGTTTTCCATATGTATCGGAATAAAATACAGTTTAAGTTAATAGAATCTGGACACTTTATAGCAGCATACATGTGATGATTTGCTCTATTGGTGTCACTTATTACGCATTCAAACGGAAGAAATCATAATTGAATCGTTTATGTTCCTATTGCAACATCCTTTCGTTTGGACTTAGATTCTCCCCGTCTTGAAAAGTGATTTAAAAGTTATTCGCCTTGTCGAGAGATATACTGCATTGGTTCTTGAATCACAAAGTTAATTGTAAACTTAAATATATGCCTGTGAAACGATGCTCAGTTCTTAGATGGTTTTAATTACGGTAGGTCAAATTCAACTCTTCTCCCACGTTTAACAAATTGCCACGGGAATGCACTCTCGTGGTATCTCCAGGGGCTCAGGTAGTATTTATTTCCGTGTTAATCCTCCGACTCGTACATGTTAAAATCTGGCACATGGGAGCGACAGAACCGCGACAGTCGGGTCATGAAGCTCCTCATGAAGGCATCATTCTGCGTGGTAAAGCACAGACAAAAACCATCGCGAATATCGTCAGAAGGGTACATCATTACGCCACAATCCTGTTTAGAATAAGTTTAGGTTTTGTTCTGCGTGGCGAAAACAGAAACAAAATCTTCCTGAGATCGTGAGTGGGTTAATGAATTACAAGGCATCATTCTCAAACTCAAAATCGTCTCCCACAAAATCAGAGAGGTACAAGACAACACAATCCTTGATTAAGAACATTCCACCAGCCGGACTTTTAGCACATAGGGATAACGAGTATGGGCCTCTCATCCTGCAACCTGTTGTGAAGAGCCCATCCATCATATTTAGCCGATGATAGTTTTTGATTGATTGGCCTGCTCGACTGACAGGGAGCACACACGTCCACTCATTTGTGCCACTCTTGGTGTCATCTTTGTCATCTGTTCTGTTATGCGCGTGTGCAAACTGCAGCACTTTACAGAAGCGTTATGCGATTTATTTTAGATGCCTCACTGCTAAAGTTGACACGTACAAAGGTTTTGTGTATATACTTTAAAAGATGTTGGCAAATCCCTTCGTGGAGTAATGGGCAAATTCCCACTGATGTTACACTGGCGATTGCACAACACTCTACATTCGTTATATACAGACCTCCTCCAAATTCATTTTGTACAATATACACAAATCGAGCTAATTCGAGCTAGATTCTGAATAAATTCGAGCTAAATTCAGAATGGTATCAAATGTCGCCAACAATTTCATTGTCAAATCCTTTGTACGGCAAAGTCTTCCTGAAACTACTTTCTCAAGATTTATAGAAAGGATTCGATTCTCGCAGAACAGCACGTCTATGGTCTTACACACATCTTCAGGATATGGGAAAAGAACGGCATTGTTTCACTTTTATCAGTTTTTGTGTGTAAATTCGAACTTTTTAAAAACACAAACCGGGCTTTTTGGTAATCGTGTTGTAAATAAAAGATAAAACGGCACAAAGGGAGACCCTGAGCCTACTTCTTGTCAAAAAGAAACACATTTTTCCACCTTGCCCTGAGACTTTTTGTGACACAGTGGGACAAAATATACAGGTAAATAATTAGATTTCACGCGGTCTCTTGATAATCTGGCTCTTGAATGTTAGCGCTTCTCAGGGAGTTCTTAAAAGGTGCTGTCCATTAACAAGCCGTATTGTTAGCCAACAGGAAACACATCAATACACAATGAAAGGCACATAAAAATGTGCTGGGAAGACAATGCCCAGCATGGCAATATTATCATGATAATTGCAACTTATATACGACACTTGTTTACCATTCTACCAAAAAAGGTTTTCATTTGTTACGAACTTAACATTTGTAAAAATGTATTTGAGGCATTCTTGTATTGCTATTAACCAGGTCAAATTTGGAATTCAACCTACTCATGAAACTCACTATTATTCCACCAATGTGACTAGATGTGACTGATAAAACTGAAAGTTCTACCTGTTAAAACTAATTTTTTCCCCTTCGAAAAACTTGGTAAATATCCCCTTTGCGACCACCATTGGTAACAGCCAGACATTTACAACGGAAGAACAGGAGCCATGGGTTCCTGTGCCCTGATGGACAAGGCAAGGCTAAGTTTACGGACAACATCACAACTGATAAAGTCAGCCGTAATCGTGCAACAAGACGCGTGTAATCATGCACATTAATCCATGCAACTTGAGAGGCTCTTACACATCGCCTAATGGCAAAGGCAATTTCCTTTCGCTTGCCTTCTGTAGCCCCGATTCCCAGGCAACATTGAGAATGAGAATCAATCTTGTCCACATCACCAAGAAATACATCGGAGCCTTAATACAAAATGTACAAGGGAGGGATGTTGCAAAGTGCTTTTGCCAAGGGATATAGAAGGAAGACTTTTCGATGTCTTTGAAGGCTTAAGACGACTTATCGGGGGAACTTAAGAAAATTTCTATCTTCCAGGAAGAAGTCATGGATGCACTCCTCATTTTATTTCTATTCTAAGAGACAAATCTTTGTCGTACATCCTTCTTACCACTAAGAATGTGAAGATTATACAACATGAAAATGTAATTGATACGGATTTTGACCTTTTTTTTTAAGTAGCAAGTGACTTACCTCTGGTCCCAAGTGCTCTGAAATGTTGCCATCCCTGAAGTGTGGCTTACTCTGGATATTCAAGATGGAGTATCCTGTAAAAAAAAGTACCATATTTTTGATTTATCATAGTTTTACTTTTTGTATCTTAAAACACTTCTTACAGTCTGTGTGGATTAAATAGATTTAAGATCAAGGTATTAGGCCTACGTGTTTGTTTAAGGTTTTAAATTCAGGCACGTAACTTAATTTTGTAGATACTCTTCTGATAACAGGTTATTATATTTTAATCTGATGCTTAAATTGACGTGTTTCAGATTTTGCTGATTTTCTTAATTCAGAAATAATAAAGTCAGAAATGTTAACCAAGTACTTACTGAAGACTGAGCATTAGAGGCAAATCTGGACTTTATCAACCAAATAATCAAAGTTTGGGATAGAGAAAGTATATAACAACTCTCTGGTTTTTCTCGCAGCAAAAAACAAAAAAACAACTAATGGGTAGCCTTTTCTGACCTAAAAAGTAGGATCCTTAACCTTAACAGGTATTTTTTTTGTATTATATTTCTGATAAAAGCCTCTGGAGGTGGTCAAGTGTCCCGAGGCCTTTTCTTCTCCAATGCACCTGCTTCTAAGCTTTTACCATATCTTGCTGTCACCGCCTCTTCGTATAGGAGCACCGCAAAGGCTGCATCCTCTTCAAGAACTGTGTTTCTCAGGTTGAGTTTAGCAAGTGCCCTTGACATACAAGCTCTGTAGGGTAATTTCATCAGGCAGCCTTGGCATTATAAAGTGCATTGTACAGAATTCTGTAATTGGAATGTCTGAGAAAAAACCAGTTCCTTCCTTCTAATTGTACAGTACAGTACTTTGAGAATCAGAGAGTTAACCTGTCTCTGACTCATGTCACTCCCTGCAGGTGCCTGATGTGAATGCAAATATGCAGGCGCAACAAATGTGAATACATACAAAACCAAAGTGAAAAAGAGTTTTTTTTAGTGTCATCCTGTGTTTCATTAAGACAATTATAAAGATATCATTTCATTGCTATTCCTAAGTGAAAACTTTTTTAATTGACTCAATTACGGGAAAGGCATGCTCTCTGAGTAAGATAATCTCATCCATTAAACTAAAAAAAAACACCTTTAAAAATACCTGAGAAGAAATTTCAAAATGATTTCATTTAGAAATTTGTATCTTGAATAAGTTTCCATAATGTAGTTCACTTGTTGCTTATGACACAGACAGTTGGAAAAAAGTTTATTATGAAGTTGACCGTATGGGTCAGTGTTCCATGAGTTTTACAGGCCTTTGATCCTAGATATTTTTTTGAAAGAAATCCAAAAACCAGAAATTAAGTGAATAAATTCAAGTGATTCTCCACAAAACTTACAGAGTCTGAAGTGCCATTGGTGGAAATGGAGTACCATGCACCCCAGATGAACGCACCCGCCTGCTCCCCACGAAGTAACCCTTCAGCAGCTGCTTTGCTGGTGCTGAAAACTCCACAGTTGTGGCAGAGGCAATTTCAAGGAACTGCAAGTAAGATGGATACATGAATCTCCTGACGACGGGCAGAGCATACTGTTCGAAACGTCGAGTCCCTCCGGTTCTTTTCAGAACCACGCATACTCACAAAAGAGATTTATTCACATGGTGCTACCGCAAACTTATCTTGTCTTAATACATGAATCAGTTTACAATCTCGCACTTCACTTCATTTTTTGTTATCAAGGTTTACAGTACAAAATGTAATATCTGACCAATCCTACTAACAGTCTCATGGTTTTGAGCAAGCATGAGACCTAGATCCACTTAGCAAAAAGCAGCATTCAAAAACAGTATTGATATTTGGCAGGATTTTTGAAGACTTCTTCTACAAGGGAACATTTATATCTCCTTTGATTAAATTACCTAAAATTGATTTGATATAGCTGAATATTTTTGTTTTGTATTTCAAGTACAAAGGCATTTTTGTGTTGATTTTATATTCTCTTTCCTTTTTTACACCTCAACAATTAGACCAATGTTATTTATGAAGTTTAACGCTGTGGAAAAAAACCCAAGGGAAACAATAATAAAAGTTCAATTAAGAAATAAGTCCGGATGTTTACTCTCCCTCGGCTACTGCAGTTCATAAGGTTTTCTATTATACATGCATGTTGATAGAGGGCTAAGCAGGTGCTATTCTTTATGCCTGGGGATGTTGTGATTAGTTTGATCAGTCTTCTCAAGAGGGTAAAACATGACCTGCCGAACATTTACAAATCTGGAACTAATGCTTTAATGTCACTTATGCCAGGCAATTTCAATTATAACACTATGCTCACCCCTGGCACTATTTTAATAGCTATACAAAATTGCATGGTGTTATTTTTTTAGGAATTAAATCTATTTCAGTGATTGCGTAAAGGTGAATGCCATTTTCTGCGATATCAATCTTGACAGTATTGCTGAGAAAGATTAAAACCACAATCTATTAACATAAATGTTGAGAACACAGAACGAAGTGCAAGCTTCTGTGTTCTCAACATTTATGTTAATAGATTGTGGTTTTAATCTTTCTCAGCAATACTGTCAAGATTGCAGAATCGCAGAAAATGGCATTCACCTTTACGCAATCACTGAAATAGATTTAATTCCTAAAAAATTACATAAATCCTTGACCAGGTTTAATTTTATGCCCATGTTAAACCAAGACCATATTAAAATTGGCCATGGATATTTGATTGTAGCCGCTGATTGGCCTCGATCGCTAACCTGTTTAATTTCACTTGGACCGATGATTGATTTCCGACCGCCCAGCTGATCCGGGTCTGCCATTGCTCCTAGTAGTGTCTGCTTGATGATATTTAGCTCTGCGTGCTCATTCATGGTAGGGTTTGGGCTATCACACACTAACACCATGGGGAAACTCCTGAATAAGCATAACAATTAATAATTTATTTAAATGACATTGCCAAGTGTATGTGATGTTTTGTTCGGTTTTCCCTGATTTCATTCTCAACTCGAGGCGAGTTTATAAATATTTACTTTTTTGAACTGAAAATCTGCCAATTGTCCTTTAAAATAATACTTTTGCCTATTTTCATTCCGTTTCAGCAATATAAACTAACTTTTCTGTAAAAGCACTTTGCGAACTTTCTCCCTAAAAATACAATTCAGCCCACAAGGACTATATTTAAATATGCAGCCTGCGTTTTCTCAACAAAAACACATTGAGCATTGCCTCATATTGAGCTCTTGCTTTACATCAACAAACAACCTGCTGTTTCAGCTGCAGGACAGCCTCCCTAGATATCCCAAGCTATAAGGCCCTGTTTTCCTGACATTCTTCAAAACTCCCTATTCCCTTATTTGTCATGATTTTGTGGGGGGAAAAATCCGAGGTGTGCATTGAATTTCGATGATTCACATAATTCTAGTCACATTTTATGTGAAATTAGATTGGCGTGTTTGGGCAAGTAATTTGATTAAGCACATCGGACCTAACTCATCATTGCATTAATATATGCAGGGTATACTTAAATGGGTGTTCACCACTTACCCGCGAGCGTTATGATACTGCACATAAAACTGATAAGGGAATATCATGTATAACGCTTTCGGCAAGGAGAGGTGTTACAGGGATAGCAGACACAGATACAAATTTAATTCTCTCGGGGATAACGCTCTGAGTTGGGAGTCTGGGGTGTCTGGAGATGGCAGGTTGATTAAAATGACAGGAGTTTGTCTACTAGTAGAACAGGTGTTTACTAACCGATGCTGGATTGTTTGGTCAAATAAATTCGTTGGCTGTAATTTTTCTGAGTTTAAATTAGGGCTGTGGAAGAAATTGGAAAAGAGTATAGGCTTGGAAAAACGCTTCATGAAAAGTTTGAAATGGTTCATGATAATTATTTCAACGGAAGAATTTGTTTTCAAAGAATCCCGACAGTGGTTGTTGAATGATCAAATCATTTTCAAATTTGATATACAATTGTTACCAGTTTCCTTGAATAATTACTAAATAATCATTGCATTCAGAGTGAATAACAGACATTTCAAATTACACATGCTCAAAAGATAAGTCATCCAACCCTCTTCCAAAGCTGTTTAAAATCCAATTTGTTCTGAATTTCTTATGATTCATTAAAAAGAAAGCCACTGTGGGGGGGGGGGGGGGGGCAGTTAAAACAAAATGATTACAGTTTTGCTGTTTGAACAAAATGATTAATTGGTTTTCTTTCTCCCAAGACTTTATTGCACTGTATTGCACAAGTCATAATACTTACTCCACAATAGATTGCTTCGGAGTCCTCTTGACTTCCTGTATGAACGGTTATAAACGAGGTATCAATTATATCAATTACAACTGAAGACAGGCCGGCGTCTGCTTTCAAAAGGGGAAACACTCTTTCCTATCTGTTGCTGAATTGTACGCTGGTTGGATGGCTATCCCACAACAATCATTTAAAATTTTTAGAATTACAACTGACATACAGAGACTAATTCATTACAAAGCAATGAATGATAAATAAACAATGACTGATAATACTTTTGCATATAACATGCTACAAGTGTCTGATATTGAAGACATTTTAGAATCATTGTATGCATGTTCATGTGAGAGAATATCTTGGATGTCAAATCGAGTTAGTTGCAAACCAATATTTAAAAGTGTTTTAAAACTTAATTGTAATCATTTAAATCAAAGTTACACATGACATCCTATGGCACTTAGTTCATTTGAGGGGTTGCTTCTTCAATATTTTACACAGAATTTATCTAGTGTTTAGAAGTTTGCATAACAAACTTACAGAGGCAGAAAATAAAGACTCCTCATCAACCTCCTGAGTTTTGTAAGAGTTTGCATAGCCCCACAGATTACACTCCACAGGGAATAATTGCTGCTGGGATGATCCACTACTTAATTGTCTTGGTAGATCTATTTGGATGACTCTGTGTTCCAGCACTGAACCAAACAAGGAGGGGAAAAAAACGTGTTTTCAAAAAATTTAGCCCCCTGCTGAAAATGGAGACCACAATTCAAAACCAAGGATTTTCAAATGTTTGGCTACTATGAAATGTTGATTTTGTTGCAGTTTGCATACAAATTGGTCCTCTGTTTTCCTTTTAAAATACATTTTCATATTCATAGAAATTTTACAGGGAATAATGCATGATTAAGAATTCTTAGCAAAGTTTCTTTGTTTGTGTCTAATCCTTGAAATGCTTTTCAATAAAATGTTGATCTGCCTTTCTCCCCAGTGCATCAACAAACATGTGACAATACATAACTTGTTTCCCTTAAAATATACAAATCTAAAACGTAGAGGATTCATATTTTTTAATTTTTAAACATCATAAAAACAGCACATTAGATTTTTACATCTGATACATATTATCGAGGTAATATTTTGACATTCCTGATCCTTGTCACAATACGCAAGAAAGCACTTAAAACCTCCGTGGGGAATGACTAAAGCCTGCAAGCGATGTTTTGTTAACCAGTCACATTGGGTATTCATATAATAACTTGCTTAAGTAGTGCTTCCTCCATGTTTTATCTTTGGTTTTCCCAACAGGATACACATCTATCCACCACTTTTGCCCACACATACTGAAAGTTGTATTCTTGTGGAGACATATTTCTTTGTTCTTGTGTAGGATTGTTTCGAGTTTGAAAGTGAAGTTTCAAAAAGCTCTTATTTCAACCAGAATTAATTTCCTTGGCTGAAATTCGGACTTCATATCCCTTTTCTAAAACTCTACCATTTGCGACTGATCAACCAACCTTGGAAATTCCTAGTTTTTGAGTAAAATCCATGTATCTATTTCGTGAAAATCTTGTGGAGACGTATTCAACTATTGAAATTGCCCTGCAGAGACGTATACAATCGTTTGTTCCCTATTTATGTGCACGTCTCCAGAGGGCACGGTATATCAGATCCCAAATACTGCCACAGTAAACACATTTGATAAGCTTACCATTTTGAAGCTTCTGTTTAGCATCTCTTTTCAGGCTGTCTATTTCCCCCAGCACACAAACACCTTGATGTGCTAACAATGTGGATCCACCTGCCATTAAGGGGAAAACACCTGTTCTCAATGACATCTATACAAAAATAGTGATCGATATAGCTAACCATCTCTTCACTTTATACAACAAGCAGGTGATCATATTTCTTTTTCAGAAATAATATTTAAGAGGTTTTAAGGAAAGCTGTCATAACAGACACGGGCAAAAACTGGTTCACAAATTGAAGTCAGCCTGACATCTAGGTTGAAAGTCTGAACCTAAAAGTTGAGTCAGGATTTTTGTAGCGAAGAAAAGAAATCTTTATCAGTTTCTAGCACCAGTAAAGCCAGAACAAGAAACGGGCTAAAAGTAAGCTTTTTTTGTGACAACTGTGTGGTATGTGATTATTAATATTGAGTAAAATGCTTAAAAGTCTTACACTTATATATTATCTAAGAAGTTTATATATTTAATTTTTGCCTGCCATAAAAGTATAAGAAGAGGTGAGACGTCAATTTGCATATTTTGTTTTAGTAAGGCAGCTTACTTTTCTTTTCAATATTATTGAGTAATATCTAGTTTTTGTTCTTTTTACAAAATTCTTTATAAGTGTGCAGAAGAAAACCACAATCCCTTTTTCCATGAGAAGTATAAAAATGTTTTCTACGGCATCCATCTAAAATATTCAGGTATGACTTACGATCATCATCATTGTAAACAGGCTCACATACTTCATCAAATAAACATCTTGAATTTAAGCCCAAAGGCTAGAAATGACATTTTATGTAACAGGATTCCTCCACTGCCACAAGCAACAGAAACATTACGTACATGATACATACACTACAGATATGACATTAACACAGTTGATATTAAAGGGCAGTACCACGGCAATAAAATACCACAAGGTGTAGGGGGGGGGAGGGGCTAGTGATAAAGAAATCTCGGAGGAGCAATACTTAAAGTAGGGTTGTCACTTTATCACAGGCAAAGGTGGCCTATCATGATCCCATGTAATTGGCTTCAGTTGAAACAATATCCATTCATTACTGGCACTATACTTCACGATCAGGAAGTCTTAAGATTGTATCAATGTACAAACAAAAATGTAATACTGTTTATGATGAGGGATTAAACAAAAGTTGAAATTCCTAATCACTGTCAATCTATGGTTTCCTCCGACTCTCTTATATATCTTGTCCTCACTTATTTGCCTTTCCACCTTCACATGATATCAGTTCATCTCACATGCTGCTCATCAGCAAACAGATATCGAGTGTCTAGTGCTAAGATTAGGAAAGGCACATAGTCTTGTAAATCCATGTGGCAGGTGGGGGATCGATAAAACTGCTCAAATTGCCTGGCCATGAAAGTTAAAACATTCAAGGGGGGGGGGTATTCTGGACACCACATTACACATGGGGGTGCTGTTCATGATGCAGATGTACATCTTATGTTTATTTGCTAGGCGAGTTTTAACCTTACATCAAAATGGCGCCTTTCAAGTTTTGTACTTTCATCTGTTTATCAGGGCTATTTAATACATTTTGGGTGTCGACATGTTTGAAACAATGCCTTAACATTTGATTGGTTTTTTTTTTTCACCACAAAAAAATTGGGGGGGGGAGAATGATCCAATGGCCATCTCCCCCTTGTCAAAAAGTTGGGGGGGGGGGGGCTGATATATGCCCCCGGGGTTTTTGCCCCTGGCATATGTCTCATAATCATACTACCCTGCTCTGATGACAGTGATCCAAAAATATTATATAGTGCACACCTTGCCATTAAAACCACCTCGTCACAAGGTCTCAGAATTTCAATATGCCATTATCACTTCAGATTTTCCTGTCTCAAATGAGTAAATGTATCAATGGGAAGAAATTGATAAAACTGCAGCAACCAGACAATCCAATTAACGAAACAACTGCCCGCACACCTGCTTTAAAGGATGCAGGAGTGACACTCACCGTCGATAGTATAACAACCTGGGCCACTGGGGTCTCTGTGGAGGGAGGCAAGCAGGGGTTGACTGCCACTGTGAATGATGGCTCTCCGCGCATAGGATGCACCGTAGATCAATAACCTCCGGATTAGATTTGAATCAGCACCAACAGCCACTAGATCTAGAAAACCCTGGGAGTCCTGCAATAAAAATCAATTAACAGTCACAATTTTTTAAAGATCGTTATGTGCATCTGCTATAAGTTTACACCAGAAGATATGCTAAACAAGTAAAATTGATTAGGTTGAAATTCATTTAAATGAAAATGAATCAAAATTCTGCTAACTGCTCACTGACTGGATTGACCTGAAATGTAGAAATCCAAAACTTAGAATGGCCTGATATTTCATCCTTGGCAAGGACTTCTTCAGAGGCAGAAGAAGTCCTTAAGGAATTCCTTAAGCATGACCTTGCTATATGAAATATCAGGCCACTCTAATTTTTTTATTTGAACTTCATCCTGAAATTTCTCCAGTTATAAGAAAACAAATCATCTCTTACTTGTTTATTTTAAATAAGTTAAATAATGACAAATATTGATCATGGAATGATTGTCTTTGAATTTTCATTGTACATCAAAGGAAATAGAAGGGCTTCTTAATTGTTTCATGTTACATCATGACAAGTACCCGATGTCTTATCGAAATTCTTGAGCTGTATAATTCATGTCCTAACCACATATAGAAAGTGATGAATTGCCCATAAATGAGGTCTATGCACTTACAAATTCTCATCCACTTTAACTTGCATAAGACTTTATGTCAATTACCATCCATAACCTGACGCACGTGTCAGAGTTTGTTTATCAAGAGGTGTTTTATAGCTTCATCTTTGAATAATTTACGAACTTTGATGAGTTTTTTTTTTCTCATCCGCTGCATGAAATAGCCTGAAAGATGCCATTAGCATGCAACTGGCATTCCCACAACTTGCTTAAAGTGCTTGCTGCAATTGTAATTGCACTTTGAATAAGCTGGTGTAAGTATTCAATGACATTGTCAAAGTCATTATCTTTACACATTAATCTTGATTTAAAGAAACAGATTGATGTGTCTGGGTCTACTGAGGAAGTAAATAAGTGATGAGGGATGAAGCTGGGTGCACAATGAGAGATAACAGGGACGGAAGATGTCTTAAGCCACGTCCTGATTACATGGCTACGGCTAACAATTACACATGCCCCTATGGAAGAAAACTGAAGCCACTTTCCCATAAACAGCCAGCCCTAGTCATTGGGACACTGGCTTAATAGATTACGTTTTTGTAAGATCGGGAGGTGGCATCAATGATGCTGAGAAGTATGCACAGCTTGAGGCGGTGATAGGTGCCTGGTGGAGTGACCCCCTCAGCAAAGAGGTAAGCTAGACTGGCACTGAAGCTCCACGGTGACTGGGCCCTGTCTGCAAGGTGATCAAGAGACATTCGAGAGCCATGGTGAGATCTCAATTGGGTCAAGGGGGTGCATTGGAGAGGCTGTCTGGTGCGGCAGACTGGAATCGATTGTGTGGATGTCCATGCAGACGGACATTTAATACACCTTGGAAATGTTGAAAGGGCATTGAATCCTGCAAACAGGGACATGAGTTAAAGGTGCTTAACTGGCTCAGGGATTAAGACATTATGAAAAACCCCTAAATTGTCTATAAAAACTTAAAGGGAAGATACAACATTTGCAAACATCAAAAAATGAAATTATCAAATTATCACGAAATACCTTACTGGAATGGTTAAGGAATGACAGTCTGAAGCATCCTGCAAAATCGTGGCTCCTGGTGTGCTGACATTTTCAAGAAAAACTGTATTTTTCCAACGCTGGTTGGCCGACCAGCGTTGGAGAAAACTGGCTATTTTTAAAAACTGCTCCTATTTTTTTATATTTAGTTATTCCGTATTTTCTTTGCAGTTGATTACACACCTGTGAAGGGGTACAAGCCAGCTAAACTGATTCTCTGAACTTACAATTCCCCAAAGTCTATAAATTGGAAGTTCATCTTAAGTGGAGTCAGGGAACCAGACTACAAGAACATAATTGGTTTTCTTGGTTTTTCCAGCATCTACAACCCCAAAACGTGAAACAAGTCAGTTTAACAATATTTGCTATAACATACTAATCCTCCAAATCCATTTATTTCTGAAAATTGCAGCAAAAGCAAATGTTGTACATTCCCTTTAAATGGTGCATATTTATGCACATTTTTAAAAATATAGATATCCAGTTCTAATTTTAAGCAGTTGAATAAGTAATGCTTTATATTATGAAATTAAAATAAGAAGTTAAAAAAGATGTTTATGATTCAGTGCCTAAAACTTACATTTCTGTATCTGTAATTTTTATTAGTACGAAACTTATTATTAAAAGTGGAAACTTTTCACCTACATAGAATTCCAGTCCAAGTACGCAACTGAACTAACTGTGTCCAGCAGGAATTTTGTGAATGGAGCAATTAAGTTGTCACACCATGATAATGAAAGAGGTTTCCTGGTACAGTATAATGACATTAGCAATTAGTAGCACGCCACACGATAGCCAAATTTGAAATCAGACACTAGTCAATGAAGAGTCACTGAACTCAACTTAAAATCCAAGTTGTTTTTAACAAGTTTTGCCTCTGGGTGTCCGAAGGTGTTATGTTAATGGTAATTGGTTTCTTCTCTGATGCAGTAGGTCAGGCTAATTATTTGCATCAGTTTCCTCTGACAACTGGGGGTGTCCATTATCTGAAATTTTTTTAACACTTGAGCTATTAAGAACTGATGCTTTAGGTGATATATCTTTTATAATGCAAAAAAAAATGAGCCAGATCTTTATTGACTCTATCAAAAGATAATTTGTCCAATTCACAGATGATGAAAGAGTTAAGTGGCTAAATTTGAGATGCCCACAGGAGGCATACTACAAGAGGAATGGTTTGCAGAATAAACGTGATCCCCAGTAGGGGAGTTTTGATTCAGAATGTGGTATTTATAGATGACAAACTTGGGTGGGGGGAGTGGCATTAGGGGAGTCAAAACAAATTATCGCACTGACCAAAAAGAGTCCCCCGAGATAGATAATGTGATCTATGGAAATTGAGTAGTGTAGCCTGGGGTACCGAGTTATACAGGTTGTCATATGTTATGCCATGTTTTGACACAAGTAGGTGCTGCAATTCTTTCATTTGAGCTTCTTCTTTTTTTATTTTGCACATCTTCACAAAGAGTTAACTTGCTTGTATTCACACAAATTTTGTGAGAACAGCATTTTTCACTGTTTTGTTCTCATTATTTCACAAAAAAATATAATAAGATGTATTAAAACAACAAACATTTCACTTCATTTTGGGTGTAAAGGGATCATTAACAGGTTAGGACTTATTACAAAATCTAATGTGAATACGGTAAAAGAATAATTGTAGACCTACTTGCTAAAAGCTGTCTCAAGGTTTCTGACAGATGGATTCTTGGCTCTGTTGGAATCCTTGGTTTCATCTGGAACAAACAGCAAGATATATGAAATTTGTATATCAAATAACAAAAAAGCAATTTCTAAAGCACATTTTAATGAAGTAAAAGTTTTGATGATCCTTTTATAAATTCCTGAAACCATTTTCCCAGAAGGTAATAGAATGGTACTAGAAATGTTTTTAAGAACAGAGTTTCCATTCTGTGCTTTAATTAAATGAATACAAGAAAGAACAAAAATACTGACCTTGAAAACGTTGTTTGCCTGAAATTGAAAGAAAACAATATTTAAACTGTATTACAAATATTATTTCCTCATATTTGTAAAAAAAAACATAAGCAGTAATGTAGGCAAATACATCAATAAATACAATATGGGCATTACATTCATATAATTATTGAGAATCTGTACAGCAATATGACAACATTTTGCTTGTACTAGCTTCTTCAAGCTTGCTCTAAAAATTATTTAGTTGCTTACAGATTTGGTAAACAAACAACTGCAACTGATTTAAAAATAATCACACTTATACTGACAAACTATGCTAAATAAAAATCTCACCTCAATCATTACAGAGACCGAAGAATTTCCAGTAAATTCCTTGACTGGGATTCCAATCACACAGTAGCAGCCACCCAATTGCATGTTGAAGAACTCATCTGATGAGTAACAAATTAGGAAAGTTTGTGAAAAGAGAAGACTCACTTAAGAAATAAAAGGAAGAGTAACATTAAGGTACTTAGCTTCCAGTCATAACTGCTCAAGATAATGCTCCCTGTTTGATCATTTCTGTTGGCCTACCTCTCAACATAACGGTGACAGATTGGCAGTATCTCCCCGAGTGTGTGTCTCCATCTTGACGCTGAAGAGGAAAGACATCCCCCTCTACCATCTGCACAGTCACTCTCTCTGGAAACACATCAAGAAAAAAAAATGTGACAATAAATCTGATGTTTTCTTCACAGGAGGTTCATTCAACAGGTAGGGTATTAGAAAATATAATCCTGGAAATGTGTTTAAATCAGGAAACAGTGATTCTCTCAGGAGTACATTACCTCAGAATAAACTACATGGGTTATCTCCTGCATCAAGAAAATGACAAGTTCATCTTCCTGTCTTCCAGGATTGCTGGCTCAAGTGCAATTATAAAATATCTTTAATGTGTCTTTGATTCTTCACCAGAAATGATTACACTCTCTCAATTGACTGGGGAAAAATCAGCAACGTTACCTCCTAAGACTCGACACGTCACATCTTCTTTTAAAATCGACCCACAGTACACACAGTTAAAGTCCCGTCTAGGAAAACACAACAAGAACAGAATATCAGCCAATTAAAGCATGGAAGAGCAAGAAACAGAAGTATTATTGAGGCATGTAGATTTGCACTGCTATTTCAATCGCTTCAAACACGCACTTTATATTTCTACCAGAATAAATTAAACTATAGAAACTTTCAAAACTAGATCACATTCATTATGCATGAATTGAACATCAATACACAAGAAAGAGGGAGATACAAACAAACTTTATCAGGTGAAAATGACATGAAAAGGACTTACATTTATCAAACCAGCCACATATCCTAATGGTTAAAATAATATTGAAAATAGGTGAATTGCTTGAAAAATGCATACTCTTTCAAGTTACCTGACTGTTTGCTGCTCTTTAGCCCCCTCAATGTGACACCTGATGTAGAAGTTATCTGCTGCACCGTAGCATTTGCTCTCAGGGCATCTGTATTTGGCACATCGTCTTTTGAAGAGCAAATATTAGAATTGATTACAAAAACCGAATTGAGACAAAACTGATGCTGAAAGAAATAATCCAACAAAGTCACATAATGCTTATAGAAAAGCCAGTGAACAAAATGTGGAGGCCTCAAAATTATAGGTCTGATCAGAATTGTACACAACATTCCAACAATACAGTGCAATGCAGAACTTTCTTTTAAAGTTATGAATATATAAAACATTGTCCAAGCCAAAACATGAAAGTACTTAAATGGGAACATTCTTATTCATACAACATAGCTTGAACAAATTCCTGCGTTTTGGAGAAAGCTAAATGGCCCTCCTATATGATTCAATTTGTCAGTGCCTGAGAGTCATGTTGCAACCATATTCGCGATGATGAATGTGTTTTTATCATACTTACGAATACTTTATGGGGGACGAAATGGAGCACACCGTCCCGGCAAATTTGTAGAAACGAGAGTCAAACTTGCAACCAAGCAATTCTGCAGTGCTTAATTGGTAACTGTGTCAAAAATATGTATGAGATCCAGGATTTGCATTTAAAAGCACCTTTTTTTTCATTTTTGAAAAAATTTATGGTCATAAATGGGCAAGTATGGTAAAAATTAATTTATTTCTCTTACAACCACACATATATAGGACCTTTGGGAGACACTTTGGCGCCGTAAAATTATATATATTTGGGAGACGTGGAATTAGGGACACATTTCAATGTCTCCCTTATGCCTAAGCCCCTATTTAGAGGCAAAATGTTTTATTGTCGCAAATAGGCTAGATCAATTGCTCGTGGTCCAATAAGTTAAACCACCAACATTTGTGAGGGTGTAGGATAAGGTAAAATTGGGGTTGTGGGTCATTAAAATTGGAAAAAAATATGTGCACAAGTCTAAGGGAATGTCTCCCGAGTCACCCATTATCGGTAAAAATATATTATTATTATTATGATTTTTACAATTTTAGGACATTTCTCTGGTCATGGAATTATAACTTTTGTTTCATTTCTATTTAAGGATTTGTCATTCAATTTGCTTCACCTTCAAGCGTAAAAAATTGTTTATAAAACAACAGAATAATAAAAAAAAACCTATACATAGTTAATTCATGCCAACAACAATATTTCAGGCTGGCACTGAGTACAAATCTAACTTGTACATGTGGACGATACTGTAGTTCACAGCTTTAATTTCCATTTGCCTTGTTTGGTTATAACCAAGGTTCCCAACAGATCATACAGAAGACCCCCAGAGTAAATTGATCTAACCTTTTTAGGTGTGGTAAATCTAATAGCTGCAAATTCACAAGAACTTGACTGCAGGTCACTTCAGCAGGCAGCAAATTCAGAGACGTCAAGCTGACATAGCAGACCTGTTTCCAATATTGAAGTCCGATCAAAACAAACATGGTTTGCAAAGACTACAAAGGATTCCTTGTTGTAATCATTTGTGTAAACACCTTTTCTTCCCGAGGAAACTTTGAATCTGGGGAAGCTAAATGTTTTGTTCAATACTGCATTTAAGAATAAATATTAACTTTAGGCCCCCCCAAAAAAATAGTCGGTCTCAGGTCAGACCGAAGTTCTGGAATTGATGCGGCGACGCGTTTTTTGTTTTTTTTGGTGACTTTTTTTTTTTTCAAGCTTGTATTGTGCAGACAAGGTTGGTACTATTTTACTTTTGTGTGTCCTCATTATACATTGGTGTCCCCCATAATTTGCCTTGGTGCCCTTTATCATTTGCCTTGGTGCAATTTCCCCATTCCTTGGTTCTCCTTGGTACAAACATTTGAGAAGGCGCGGCAATAGAGGGCGCTGTTGTAGCTTCCGTGTTAATTTGAAGAAAAAAAAAGGTTGACGCGCATAATTAAAATCGACGCGCGCACTGACCAGAGACCGAGTATTATTTTTTTTGGGCCTTATCATCAGTTTTATTACTCTGTTAATTAACATATTAAAGGGCCTCACTTAGAAATATAACAGTCCTCACTTAGAAATATAACAGTTGTATATTTGTTTTGTGTTAAATATAAGAACATTCTTCTTCTTAGTATTTTTTTTATTGTTTATTTACCTCCTGGAAAATCTTTCTTGCTTCTTGAGGCTGATGTAGTACTACATTTCCAAGGATTGCTACAGGAAATAGATAATTACGATGAACGTTCATGAGTATTATTGAAAAAAAAAAGTGAAAAATGATATTAGCTTTATTAATGTTTCACTGTATTTCTACATTTTTCAAATTAATACAGTGGAAAAACAAAAATGACAAAAATTACCTACCATCAATTTCAGTTATCTCTGTACAATCAATTTTGATGATGAACGGATATATTGTACTCTGAAAAGAGAAGATTACAGATGAGTTTTTTTTAAATCTCATTTCAGTAAAGACCAGCGACTATTAAATTCCATATCAAGTTTCATTGTGATAACTTTGAATAGTGTTGCAGCTGGCTATTTTAAGAAAATGTTTCAACAAGAAAATCATATTGAAGCCAACAATAATGGACGAAAAATATACCCCTATCTTTATTTTGTTATAAATTTAGATGTCGGAACCACTGCAAATTGTCTCAAAAATATAGTCCATTAATTAGAAAAAAAACCTGAAAAAAAATTGTTTTTAGAATACTTGTACCAAGGTTTCAAAATCTAAACTAAAGAAGTGTTTTCCATTTTTGTTAAGATGTAAAGTTGTAGTTGTTTCCGAAAAAGTTAACAAATAATGATGTAAAAAAAAACATATATGGTGAAATATGTTTGAAATATACTGTAACACAATTTTTCTTCTTTTTAATTATAGAAAATTGGAACGGGTTATTAAGGGAATCTTACACAAACCTCTTTGCTATCACTGTGAGCCAGGCATTCTTTTTTCAGCTTTTCAAGTTGTTGCGTTTTGTCCAAGTACTTTAAGGAAGATTCCTGAAGTTGCAATTGTGAGTCGCTGAATTGATCTTGCATGCTTATTCATCCATTCCTGTGTTTAATATAAATATATCAATTAAACAATTTGGAATACAAAGCATTTCCTGTGTAGGCCCTATGATCAATATGATTTTGCATGTTTTTCTTTCCAATTTACTTTTTAATAAGAAAGGTTTTTAATCTATTGACGAATTTTCGCCAAAATAAAATTAGAAGTAGGCTAACTTGTTAAAATGAGCAAAATATCTAGGCCTAACCCACATAAAAAGTGGCAAAATGTTATTTGACATCGACAAGATTATCTGACGAGACAGGCCCAAAACAATGTGATTTAGGCTCTTACAAAAATCTCTTAGCCTCATCAGCCAAGTCCTTTAAATAATGACATTGACAATACAGGCATCATAAAGGCATTACACAAAGAAATCAATTAATAAACACAAAAGAATCAGAAAGTAAAGGAAGTGCAGTCAGTAATGCACCACGTCCGACTCCGATTATGCAATCGATATGCGCGCCTATACTTTTCACAACTTACAAGTTACAGTACACAGTTAATGCCAACAATATCAAAATAACATTTTAAGTGCTTCCTACCTGAAATACGCTTGCTACATTTGCAGAGAGACAGTTTACAGACTTCTGAAAATTGTTGCCATCGGCTGATTTAGAAAAAAAATAGTTAAACTAGAAAAATGATGCGCGGAAATGCGAGCAGACGAATTACGAACTTTTCCCTTTTCATTTTAAGGAAAGCGCCTTATCAGAGTCGGTTTCTGTCTGTATTAAGTATAGTATATACGGTTAAGACGTCTGGGTATCAGTCGTATTTACGTTGTCTACTCAGTAGAGGGCGCTGTATCAAGACAACGGTGCCAGCAATAAATTATTTTTAGTATATAATTATTTCCTTTATCGTATATTTTTAGTATCTATAATTACGTTTTTATAGTTCATATAAATGGACTCTTTGAGAAATTTCAGGGGGAATTAGAGGAAGTCGCGCGTGTATGCTCGCAAAAAAGTGAGCAGACGAATACGATTTAGCAGACGATTTTTAAGGGTCTGTTGCCGTGCGTAACATATTTGTAAATAAGGTTGAAGAAGTCAGGGTACCAGTTGTCTTTATATTACGATTGTTTTAAAAGAGGGCGCACTATCAAGTTTACGGTGTCGACCTAGAATTGTATTGTTAAAGTCCTGACAGATAATGTCGATTTTTTTCCCCGAATATTTTCAATTAAAACACTTTTGAAAAGATTTAAGTGAAAAAGGGCATAATGCGCGGGTATGCCACTCAATTGGCAGGGCGGATCTGTAGGGTTCGCGATTCAAAGACGCCGGAAATTGGGGGATATGGTTTATTAGTACTTTTTTTAAAAACATAAAAGGTGAAAATTCCTTTGAAGGAAAACTTCGAACTTGTTGGAGAGAACAAAAGTTTGATTTGACTGTCACTAAGGGCTCCATCGAGAACACGCAGTGTCTTCCTTCAGTAATAAGTGGTACATTATTTGTATTTTTATAGTCCTGTCACACATAGTCTGCATTATACCGAGCGACAACTTGCAGACTTGTTAGAAAATCTCAACAAAAGACTCTCTGAAAAGTTTAAAGTGAATTAGAGAACGATTTTAATGGAGCAGACGAAAATAAACTGTAGCAGACGAAAATAAACTGTAGCAGACGATTTTTTTTTACGAGAGCGCCATGTAAAAGTCAGGTTTCGTGAATACAAGTATTATTAAATCCATTTCTAGACGTCAGGGTATAAGTTATCCTTACAACTAATACAAGCCTCGTCGGCTGAGGGCGCTCTATCGAAAACATGGCGCTGCCCATGGCGTTATGGCGGGAGTGTAAGTGTTTTTCCTGGAGTTTATATTTTCCAATAAAATAATGTTTTTAACAATTTAACAAAGATATTATAAGTAGGAAAGTTACTCATGTGTAGACATAATTAATTTTTATTGATAACTCCTCTAAAAACGACACTGACACTAGACAGTGGCAGCAATTAATTATGATCGACATTATTCATTCATCATTGATCATTTTTTGATGATCATGATGATGGCGGAGTCAGCTTAAGTTATAGAATTATGCTTGTCATGCTTGTGAATGTTAATGCAATTATGATCGTGTATTGTAATTGTACTGGGCCCGTTCCCTTTTTTGTTTAAGAGAACAAAATCCACTTTTAATTTATTTGACTTGGCAAACTTGGCTTATTGGCGACACTAACTGACTAAGAACAAACAAACATGCTAAGAATACTTGATAAATAATGATAGAGGACAGGGGCAGGGCTTTGAGTTTTAAGGGAAACTTGTGGGTAAAACTAAAAAAATAAAATGACGATGACTACGACGAAACGCAACACAAAAAATAAGATGGCAATCACAGCGATGTACCATGAGACGCAATACCGCTCTGAGTCGCATAAAAAAATTGCAATTTCTACCCCAAAAATTGTTCATATTTTTTTTTGAAGGTGTCATTAGAATTAAAAGAAGTCTGCTTCAGGTTGAAAAGGTCATTTTTGAAGGATACAAAATACCCTTGACTCTAATTTGATCAAAACTAAAGAGGGGCCCTACACTACACGATTGCTGCTAGTCTTACAATAAACTACACAGAAAGGCCTTACTGTTCCGACATGAAAGAGTTCACATTTCATAAACATACAAGTTTTTTTACCACTTTTTTTCAAAATTTGATGGATCACTTGATGTAAATCTTGAAAAATGAATTATTTGGACTTAGTTTTTCTGTGTGGTCCGCCCTTTTGGGTCCTTTCATGAAAACAAAGTTATTCAAGTAATGGACTTTATTTGACAATGTCTGAATATCTTTGGGTTTTTTTTACAGGACTGTAGAGTAACAGCTTAGCCTACATGTGCTCGTCAGTGCTCCCATCGGCATCCAAACATGCCTTCCAGAGCTTCCAATTCCCCCATCACCCAATTCCAGAACTGCCGCATCCTGTACAAGCATAAGATTATCCGGGAAGACCTGTGGGTGCGAGACGGAAAGATCCTCAATCCAGAATCACTCTTCTTTGTCGAGAAAGGCTACGCAGACTACAAGCTCGACTGTAACAACTGCATCATAAGCCCTGGCTTTATAGATGCTCAAATAAATGGTAAATCAAATCAAGGCAATTTCTGCAGATTCCTGGTTGTAAATGTATCATTTCTTTGTCAAATTTCTTTAATTATCATTAATTTTTTGTAATGACAAACATTCCAAGGCAAGCTTCAGGCATGCAACTTTTCCTCGGATCCACTGATTTCCTCGTTTTTTTACTGCTCATGAATGCCATTACATGATTACAAAATGAAAAACACTGTACAAAGTCTTGTGTGGTTTGGATTTTCCTCGTTTTTTCTAAATTCCCAGTTGCATGCCTGAAGCTTGCTCTGTTTTATAGATGTACTTCTGTTTTGTCAAAAAGATGTGATGATAAAGTCTGTTTTTAACCTTTCCACCATTATTGTGTTTCTTTACAAAGGTGCCTTTGGTGTAGACTTCTCCTCAGACCCAGATTCTCTTGCCGAAGGCCTGCAGAGAGTCTCCAAGAAACTCCTTGCTCACGGTGTGACCTCCTACTGCCCTACAATCATTACATCCAGCCCAGAGACGTATAGGCAGGTACGGTCAAATTCAGTCTTTGTATCTTACTATAATTCCGAGAATCTCTGTCTGTCTGTATTTCAATTATCTCCAGAACCGGGCACAGTATGACGTTGAAAATCGGCGGGTGTATTGCTCGGGACCCCAAAATGTGCAGTGCTAAATTTGAAGCTTTTTAAATGAGCGATTCTCAAAAAAAGCTGCAATAAAAGCAGCATTTTCTGAGCCTCAACATGGAAGATTATAGCCTAGAACACGCACAGTCCTTTTCAGTTGTTTACGTCATGTTTGAGCTAAAGCGTGCGTGCTTAATATGACGCAACAATGGAAAAAGGATGGGCACGTGCATTGTAGGGCGATCAGTGTCCAGAGTATTGGTGAATAGCATGCACTGCGTACCATGTTTCCGGAACTCACGTACGTGAGTAGTTGCACGGGCACATGCATTTTGCAGGAGACTGAGCAACCATCACTGTAGGGTGATACCATTGTCCAGTATGGGTGAATATCAGTGCCGGGGATGGCCTGGCGACATGTACAAAGTGCGTTCAACCTGTGAGTGTGAGTTCAACCTGTGAAAACAACACAATTGAATTGTGTGTGTTGTTTGCATGAGCAGTTTTAAATTGCCCCCACCGAACAGGCGCATTTTTCGACGGGCCCTGCACTAGTTACTTTAATAACCTGCCAAGAGTTCATGATTGCAAAGGAAAACAAAAATGTGGAGAGGGAGTTTTATTATTCAGAAGGAGTTTTGTTTCCTGAGTGAGTTCTTCTTAAAAGAACTAGTCAAGTCTGGTTCCTCTTAGTTAATCACAAGTTCAGAACCACACAATTCACTAGAGTAATCAACAGTACCCAAAATCCTTTTGATTGGCTCCTTAAGATTTTATAAACCTCAGAAAGTGAGCTTAAAAGGCACTTACCTTGCAGTTCAGGATTATTGGCAAATTTCTGTCTTTTTTCCCCCTGCTTTAGATTCTTCCCCAAATAAGGAGAACGAATGGAAGTCATAACGGTGCTGGCATCCTAGGTAAGCTAAAAATGTCCCAAAAAACGAACAACTAGTGGAGAATGTACGATACGTTAATCTGTATTAAGAGTGTGCCCTCTTCCTTAGTAGCTAAACCAATTACACAAGTTTTGATCTGAATTGTCAGAATTGAATTTTGTCTGGCAATCGTTTTTCAGTGGGAGCAGTATAAAGTTCCATTTTTGACATTGTTGGTGAAAGTATTCCCTGGATCCAACCCTTGCCCAGACAATCTTTCAGTATCCCCTCTCCACCAGTGCACCATTTTCTCATCGACAGGGATTCATGTGGAAGGGCCATTCATCAGTAAAGACAAGCCCGGAGCCCACCCGGTGGACCTGATCCACGACTGCAGCCAGCCGAGCGGCTTCCAGCAGTTCCTGGAGGTCTACCACTCACTGGACAATGTCGCCATCCTGACTCTTGCCCCAGAATCTTGCCAGTCTTCAGATGTAGTGACGAGGCTCACGAGAGAAGGAATAGTCGTTTCACTCGGTATGCATAATTTGCATTAGTTTGCCATTTGCACTTGGAGGTGTTTGGCTCTAGGCAAGCCAACCTCCATCAGAGTAAGTGCAGATGCACTCATTCTGTTACTCTGCAAAGAAGAGAGGCAATTAACCTTTTGCGGTAGAATCACGTCAATGCAGCTTGTGAAGTATTGGCCAATTATATGATATACAAATGGACGTGGAAATCTGAGACAAACAAACTTAACGTAAACAATTCCATAGAGTTGTCTAAGGGGCGTGTCTAACTCGAAAACGGCGATATTATTGTTGTAGACTGTCCTGCCCAAGGACACAAGCACTGTAATTCCTTGTCTGGTTTGGAAAATGGACTCCCGCTGCCTGGCATCAAGCAACATGCTTTGAACAATTTCACCATGACTTGGGTCAGGTAGCTCGGTCAAAACTTGGTGACAAGCACTGTGAGAAATATCCACACGAACTCAAACTTGGCGGGGCTTATAGTCAAATACAGAGGGGGCCACTTGTCAAATTGGCATAGCAGTGACGCATTATTTAACCCATTAGCCTTCAAAGCGCCCACAACCGCCCTGCCATTGTACTCCTCAAACCGCCCCAAACCGCCCAGCACTCTGTGGCTGTATTGAGTTATGGAGTAGTAAATAAAATGTAATACAATTTCACACGAGTGCTTAATTGAAGCCTAAGTCGTCACTTGTCCTGAATTGTTTTAGTAGGGTTTTTCTCCTTATTTTCAGGTCACTCTGTAGCCAATCTCCCTCAGGCCGAAGATGCTGTTAGAAACGGTGCTTCTTTTATCACGCATCTATTCAATGCAATGCTGCCTGTAAGTAGAGTTAGTGATAACATTTTTGGCTTGAAACTTATTGATATAAAAAGAACTTAAAGGGAATATACATCATTGGCTTTTGCTGTAATTTTCAGAAATGAACTATTTGAGGGGTTAGTATAATAGATCAAATATTGTTACACTGACAAGTTTGAAGTTTTGTGTTCGTAAATGCTGGAAAAACCAAAAAAAAAAAACTGTTCAAGTAGTCTGGTTCCCTGACTCCACTAAATTTAAAATGGATCAATTTAGAGATGCCGGAAAATTGTAAGGTAAGGGTACCAGTTTAGCTGGCCTGCACCCGTTCATGAACATGTAACCAATAGTGAACAAAATTTTGACTGAATTAATGGTGAACTTGGAGCAGTAGTTGAAAAATAGTTAGGTTTTTCCAACGGTGGTCGGCCGACCACTGCTGGAAATTTTTACAAAAATACCATTTTCTTGAAAATGACTTCACACCAGGTGCCATAAGTTTACAGGATGCTTTAGACTGTTATTTACCAACATCCTATTAAGGTATTTCATAAAAACTTGGTAGTTTTATTTTTCGATGTTTGCAAATGTTGTATATTCCCTTTAAAATCAAAACTTTTTGTTAACAACTTGGATGTGGGACAGAAGTTTGTTGAAATTTGTAGAGAGCATGAATTTTTTTCAAACTTGAAATCGTCCCACGGCTGCTTGGAGAAAATGGCCCCTTTCCCGGTGCACATCATAGCTGCAAAACGTTCTATGAGTTCTGTATTTTTGAAGTTTGTATTTGGGCATTATTACTTTTTCACAGTTTCACCATCGTGACCCTGGTATTGTCGGTCTACTCACCAGTGATCAGATCCCGCCAGGCCAGACAGTGTTCTATGGCATGATAGCTGACGGCATACACACCAATCCTGCTGCACTGAGGATTGCATATAGGGCACATCCTAAAGGTAGGTGGTTCACTTGTATTGGTGGTTTGGGTATTCTTCAAATACATGTACTTACCATTGCATGTATTTGTTCTCCAACTTTGAAAATTAAAGGTCGGTGCGCTGTCCAAAAGGGGAAGGGGGGGCGCTATAATTATGTTAGGGGCCTATTTGCAGTCATAGGGGCACTATTTGCAGATGAACATGTACATTATGTACGGATAACAGCTTTTAGGCCATTTCTAATACAGTAACACTAACAACTAAGTACAATACTGGCTCAGCATCATCTTTTTTAACACATCAGTGACCAGGGACTCTGAGGCAGTTTGGCCTTGAGACTTTTGACCTGATTGATTGCTACAATGGGCAGGCTTGTCAGTTTGACAAATGTTCTATGTTTGGCAGAGTTTCTGGCCAAAATGTACCCTAGAGGGTAAGGGTAGTCCCACTCGTTTTTCTTTTTGATTATTTTTTCCTTTTTTGTTTTAAGCATGGCGGGCAACTTTTTAAGCTTGGCAGCAGCTTTTGAAGGTTGGCAGGTGCCTCAGAAAGCTTGGCAGGGCACCAGGTTATATTTTCAGGTTGGAGAACACTGGAGGTTGATGGTTAATTTTCAAATGCAACTTGTTGTTTCTCATGCATCGACTAATGTGCATCAGCAAGATAATCTGAAAAATATAATCCACACCCCCCCCACACACACAATTGAACCTGATGTGCTCCGTTGTCACATTGGATTATTGTTGTGCTTTTGTTCAGGTATTGTGTTGGTAACCGATGCCATAGCGGCTACCGGTCTGCCGAGCGGCATACATCAACTGGGGAGTGTGACGGTGCAAGTTGATGATGACAGGGCCTACGTAGCGGGCACACAAACATTGAGTGGAAGGTAGGTGTTCTTTCCAACTTAATAAATTCAATACCAATGCCATGGTGGCCCTTATAAGGTGCATACCGATGTTCCCCAATACCAATGTTCCCCGAAATCCTTACCCTATAACCCTAATCCTAACCCTAATCCTAAGGATTTTGGGGAACATCGGTATTGGGGAACATCGGGTAGACCCCCTTACAAGTACCATATGAAAGAAAGAAGACATTTTCTGTCTAATTTTGACAATTTTTTTTTGGGGGGCACAATGTTTTAGCTCATCACAGTTAGTGCTGTCATATAAAAAAAGGCAGACTTCAATCTCAACCAAACTTGGTGACAATAGTCTTTGGGTCGGGAGACTTGAGATGACTTGAGACATCTGAGGTCAAAGGTCATCTAGGGGTCAAATGAGGTCATTGTTGATTTTGGTTAGGTCAACTGAAAAGTGTGGTCACTAACCAACTATACAGGGGTGTGAAATCTCAGCTTAAAAGCCGATTTAAGCTTTTTTTGTTTTGGATATCAGCATTTTTCCCTCACTTGCTGTGTACAAAAGTATAGGAGATTTCCGAAGTTCAGCTTTTTACACCTTTTTTCAGCTGTTTTCAGCTGTTTTCAGCTATTTTTATCAGTGGTCACTCACACCCCTGTGTATAAATACTGCCAGCATGCTAGGGGGACCCCGCAAGTTTAACTTCCAGTATTTTTGTTCTGTCCAATAGCATAGCCACAATGGACAGCTGTGTACGCCACTTCAAGCAAGCTACAGGCTGCAGCACCGTGCAAGCCTTAGAAGCCGCAAGCCTGCATCCAGCACAGCTCCTCAAGATAGATCACATCAAAGGAACCCTGGACTACGGGACAGAGGCAGATCTTGTTTTTCTGGATGACGATTTGAACGTTAAGAGGACCTACATAGGAGGCAAGATGGTGTGGGAAAGTGCTAGTATCCCAACAGAGCAACTGACAAGCAGGCCGTACCTATAATCATGGATTTCAAATCAAGACAAAACTGCAAAATTAAAGTGACCGGGTTCACTATTTTAACAGTATTATGCTCGATATTGATTGGACCAACTTTTTAATATATTGTTTGAATCTCCACGATAAAAGTCTTCTAAATTTCATTGCGGTCTCTCCGAAGGATCCGTCCGTCCCAAATATTGCCATAATCACAAGCTTCAGGCCAGTTTATCAGAAGAAACTTCCAATCCATTTTTAAGGGTTTGTGAAAGATTTAATGTGCGAAGTCAAGATCCTGTTGAAAGAAAGCTCCAAGGATAGCTTATAAGGAATCGGAAAACATTTAAATGCAGATTAAATCAGGGGTGTGAAATTTCAGCTTTAAAGCTAATTTCAGCTTTTTTTGTTTTGGATTTCAGCTTTTTTCTCTCACTAGCTGTTTTCAGCTATTTTTATCAGTGGTCACTCACACCCCTGTTAAATATGATTAGGGTTATTAATATTTTGTAAACTTGTGACTTCATCTTAGAAAATGTATAAAACCCACTATTTTTATACCTAGCATTTTAAACATTTGTCCATTATAATATATGTAGGAACAACCTTCAGGTCTCACTCAATTTGCAAGTGAATGTTCAATATAATCAAAATATAAACAAGAATGTGGGAAAAGTAAAGAATCGTTTTTTTTTCAGCCTAACAAGCTCACTTAATAGCAAGATAGGTCTGTATCACTGACCAGTTTCAAAAGTTACCGAGACAACACGGAACATACACATTTGTGGCAAGTAACAATTGGGACAAATTAAATTACTTTTTGTCACACCGCAGTTAATTGTTGACACATTTAATTGCATTAATTACACTTTCCCACAAATTGTGCAAATGGTATAAATCAACAATATCTTCCATTATTTTAACGTCCACTGTCGCATATTTGCTTTCGTGGCAAAAAAAGTGAAACAGTTACAAAAAAAAAATGTATAACAATCAAATTGTAACACCCACTCAAAAAAAGTGTATAAACTTTTGGGAAGCACGGAGTCATGCTTATACTACAAATGTATCTTTACATTTACATCTTCATGATATGCACTCGTAAGAAAGAAAAGTGTACTGGTTGGAAAATAGTTTTACAGGTTTTATGGCCTCATATTCAATGTCAAGTGTGACATACATTATCCTTGATGTGACAGAAGCAGACTAAAGTGTGGAATAATTAAGTACTGAAAGTCTTGAATTGTTAAAATTAAAATTAAAGCTGTGTTTGGAACCCATATAGGCTTGATCCAGTTGTATGAATTTGTTAAAATTGCTTTACTGCCTGATCATACTGCACAAATGGCACGAACATACAGTGGAGCACGTATGCAGTGCAGGTTACTTAACAATTTTAACTAACAAATTTACAAATTTAACTATAAAAAATTGTGGTGAAGTAAAAACCTCATATTAAAAAAATTGGAACCTGTCTGCATTCAGAAAGAATTTTCAATTGTTTATTTATTCATTTGGCATCATAACCACTTAATTTTGACGACGTAAAAATCAAAGTGTGACATCAGTCACACAACACTTGATGCAAGTTCGCAGAGTTGAAAAGCCACATCCGTAATGAATGCACAAATCTCAGGGCTATGACTTTGATGATTTCATGTCCAATGTATACAAAAACGTCCAGCCTCATGGCTCAGTCCTGCTTGACTTCCCGTATAGGTGGTCCCGGGGCTGGCGGTGTCTCCTTGAACGCTGCCCAGAGGAACATGGCGAGGACAACGTGGACTGTGACAACCGATGCCATGGCTGCGTAGAAGATACTGTTATTGCTTTCCATACCAAAGAATCCTGAGAAATTAAATAATTCATATTTATTCATATTAATTAAATTATCAATATTTGTATTGTTTCATGAAGTAAAAAAGATGAAAGTGATCACTGCAATGATTTTCTTGTCTAAAAAAGAATATTTTCTAACTTGTATTTCTTCAATCAGCACACTGCGTTAAGAGCAACAAATTGTCACAAATTAACTACGCTAGTGAAAATCGGGTTACTTCAAACGTCTGAACAAATTAAACAAATTGCAATTGAAGTTTGAACCTACCATCAAAAATCACAGCTTTGGAGAAGAAGTACATAAAAATTGGGAAAAATAGCATGAAGCCAGAGTAGAGAAACATGGTCTTGAAGGGCGTCATTTTGGGAGGATTACCCCAATCCGGGAATCTGGTGGGGAAAAAGATGGAGAAACAGGTTATGAATATGAGGTTGACCAAAATTCCAAGTTGTGCAATGGTCATGATGGTCTTACTTCATTTTGCATATCCCTAAAACAAGTTTCTAGCGAAACTAAAATGCTTCTGAATATGTTGTGGATTTAATCAGAGTAGGCTAATTAAATGTAACTAAACTAAAGTAAACATAATATTACTGAACGAAAAATGTGCACACAAACCTATCCAGCCAAAACAACACCTGCTGATCTATTGTCGGTTGGTCGTTTATGTCTGTGGATCATCCACCGTATTTCTGTTGTAGCGCCCTCTATCATGCAGATGTCTGAACTTGGTGATCGCCGTTATTTTGTTATAGCGCCCTCTATCTTGTAGCTGCCAATAATCGCTGGTGATAAACTAGTTCCCAGTCCCTCCATCATCGATTTTTTCTTTGATCACTGTTATTTTGCAATAGCGCCCTCTAACATTACAGTAGCTTATCACCGTTATTCTGTTATAGCGCCCTCTATTGAAGCTGACATCGACAGTGATCAGTTTTGGCCTTTTTCAAAGCGCTGGCTTCGTCTGGTATGTGTCTTTGAGACTGGCTTTTTAAGGTCTCCTCCCACCCCCCCCCCTTCTCCCCCGACTTCGGGACCTCCTGCTAACTTTTGATGCTTGTTATGCTTCAAGAACATGCAGTCGTAAGATATGAGGCCAACAGTTAGAATATGTTTATTTAGTTTGAATTTGCTTCCCAGTGATTTAAGAATTGGAGACAAGCCGTTGCTGAAGACGAAGTTTCGAAAACTCTGATATCCCCGTTATTTTGTGATAGCGCCCTCTATCTTGCAGCTGACTGAGTGTGGTGGTTCACCGTTATTTCGTTTTCGTGCCCTCTATTTTGCAGTTAAAAGTGATCTGTTGTTGTGATGGCCATTAACTTTTTATAGTGCCCTTTATTGTGCAACAGACAATGATCCGTATTTAAACTAGTTTCTAGTCCCTCAACCATTGCTTCTGATTTTGACCGCAGAAATCGACGCGGGACTGGGAACTAGTCTATGGCGATCACCATTATTTTGGTATAGCGCCCTCTATCTTACATTTTGAGGGCTCTTTAGTCGGGCACTCCGTGAAATTGTCGTCCCTTTGTAAAGCATTATGCAGATTGTACATCTAGATATGGTAACGTTTGGGAACGCGACACATTATTAACACTACAAAGTGAAGAAAAACAAGGTCTCCCACGCGATCGCACGAAAAAAAACCTTGGTTTCAGGCACATAGACGATTATGATCACTGAAAATAAATAGTAGAAAGATGAATTTGCGAGGTCTATTTCAGGATTTCAATCCAAGGTAAGTGTCAAAATGATATAAGCCATCGAAATTTAAAGTTTGTCAAGTGTGTTTGTCCGACAACACATTATTGACAGTGCGGACGGGCGCACGTACAAATCGGGGGACAGTCCCCATTTGCCAGTACTGTCCCTACATACAGGGACGCACTTCGAAGTTCGACGTTTCCCCGACTTTCCTCATGCAGTGTTGCCAAACCTCTTTGTTGACAAACTTAAAATTCATTCAGTTTAATACTGTTATAACCTTAATCATGCTTGCTGTTATATAGTGTTAAACCTTTCGAAGTTGAACAATTTAGTGTATATGAAATTTAGTCCATGGCACGCGCACGTGAACAAATCCTACATTAAGAATTAAGAATTTCTTTAAACTAAGTTGATAAATTCTGAGAAATCATTATTATCTTCCTTCACATACCAAACTAAAGTTAGTCAGAAAATTATTTTCTTATTTTTCGGCGTATTTTAAAAGGGTTCACTGTGCTCTTTGAAATAAAAATCGGAAAACCACACCAAAATAGAGTTTAGATTTATGAGCGGCAATGTTTAGAGATTGGTGAAATTTTACATTCTGTGAAATTTGACGTAATATTTTTTTGCTCTATCAGTATCAAGGCACCAGATGCGAAAAATCAAAGTGCGCCATGTTGGGGGCTGTGCCAGCCACGTAAAGGGTACATCAACAATACTTCCAGAACTGTAAGGTTTTTACAAACCTTACAGATTAATAAATTAATAAAACATTACCTTATCACACAAAAGCAACTTATCCTTTTTATGTTTAAAATGAATCCCAATTATTAGTATGACACAATTGTCAAAACTGCGATTCTAAACTTGAAATGTAAGACAAAACTCATCTGAAACCTAACTTGGAGAAAGAATGAGAAACCTAACAATGATGAATACTGAAAAAGGGGGGGGGGGGTAGCCTCACGCCCTTCCCAAGTTTTTCAAATCTAAAAATGTCATTGTCATGGCCCTAACCAAATTCTGGCACGGTTGAGAATTGAATTTAAGGAAATAAGAAATTTAATTGGATTTACTGTACAATGTAGGTACCGTAAAATCAGAACTATTTTCGAGTTTTAGATAAACATGATCAATCATCACCACATTGCAAGTGGACATTGCATTCAAAACTGTAATGAAAATTCTATTCTTTCCCTTTCAGTAAATTCTTGGTGTATGTTTGCCTGTTGCTGTTTACATTGCTCTTCGCATTGCGACTAGACAACTACGTACAATGTGGGTACTGGGTGGTGTTTCTCCCCCTCTGGTTTTGGAAGGGCATGGTCATTGCGGGGTCGATCGTCGCTGGATTTGTCTGGTGGAGACATCCATCGTATCGGTAAGTTAGACTATTTTGAATATTCCTTATTCTAGCCTTTTGTTTCAATTTGTTCTACAGGAGCTTTTGTTGGTTGTTGTAAGGTTTCTTCAATTAACGTTGATTATTTTTGAAATGTTTTTTCAGAGTTGAAGGCGAGGGTTACGTTGACATGAAAGCGATCATCATCTGTCTGTGTCTCAACTCCTTACTCCTCATCTTTGAGATCCTCGCTTGCAACCAGATGGACAGTCTGCAAGGCAACAGCAAGTTGGTAGGGAACCACCTTTGGCTGGTAGTCTTCATGCCACTGTTCCTGACATCGCCCATGTCTATCGCGGCCTGCGTCTGGGGCTTCAGGCACGATAGAGGTTTAGAGGTGAGATTTCCTACTTACTTGGGCCTAAGTGTTTTGACCACACTTGATTGTTTCGCATGCCAGAAATAAATAAATGAAACTTTGTTTCTTCTTTTCCGTAGTTGGAAGCAATGTGCTCAATCAACGTCTTACAGTTCATCTTCATTGCTCTCAAGCTGGATGACATTATTACCTGGAGTTGGTCGGTGAGTAGATAAACTTTCTAAACTTTGTTTTGTGAATTTGAATTTAAAATCAACAAGAATATGGAAAGCAGGAATTTAGTATCTAGTTTTTGTTTTAATATTTAGCTTTCAAAGTTAGCATTATTTTGTTGAGACCTTCTTCCATACTTATCATCATCCTTTGTATTTTTCGTCTGTTTAAAAAAAATTGACATTAATTTCTTCTGGATTTTGATTTCTATTCCACAGGTTGTGTTTATACCCATCTGGATCCTGATGTGCCTGCTGTGCCTTATAGTTCTCTATTACATCGTTTGGTCTATCCTGATTCTCCGAGCCACCGAGATCATGGCGGAGCAGAGGAGGGCTCATCTGATGGCTGCCTTCACAGCGATGGCGCTGGTGGTACCGCTGTTAACATTTGAGGTGAGTATCTCTCCCCAACATACCCACTTCACCCATCGCTGCAAACTTTAAAGGCATATAGGATCATTTGCAATTATCCCAAAAGTAACCTAGCAAATTATTATCAAAAAACTGATTTGGATTTAAGATCGTACTTGTACTAAACACCCCATGAAATTATTCCGTCTGGTTTGCGGTCATTTAGAAGAAGTCAAGAAATGTAGGTGATTTCCAACAATCAGTCAATTGACTGATTTTTGGAAATGAAGAGTGCTTTGGACAAAATTGCGTTTCGTGATCAAAAAAGGTTGTGCGTGATTTTCACTGTTTTCTCAAAAAGTGTAATATCCATTGAGCTGAAACTTCAACAGGTTAGAATTTGAACATTCTTCTTTGGAATTTGAGCAGTGTTATTATTGGAAACAAACAAAATGCATGAAAAGCAAATGATCCTATGTGCCTTTTAAGTCATGTCCATCACAAGTCCAGTCACAAGTCAGTCACAAGTCAATCACAAGTCCAGTCACTAGTCAGTCACAAGTCAGTCACAAGTCAATCACAAGTCAATCACAAGTCAATCACAAGTCCAGTCACAAGTCCAGTCACAAGTCCAGTCACAAGTCAGTCACAAGTCAATCACAAGTCAGTCACAAGTCAATCACAAGTCAATCACAAGTCCAGTCACACGTCCAGTCACAAGTCAGTCACAAGTCCAGTCACAAGTCAGTCACAAGTCCAGTCACAAGTCAGTCACAAGTCAGTCACAAGTCCAGTCACAAGTCAGTCACAAGTAAATCACAAGTCAGTCACAAGTCAGTCACAAGTCAGTCACAAGTCAGTCACAAGTCAATCACAAGTCAGTCACAAGTCAGTCACAAGTCAATCACAAGGTTGTCACAAGTCAATCACAAGTCAGTCACAAGTCAATCACAAGTCCGTCACAAGTTCAGTCACAAGTCAATCACAAGTCCAGTCACAGATCCAGTCACAAGTCAGTCACAAGTCAATCACAAGTCAGTCACAAGTCCAGTCACAAGTCCAGTCACAAGTCCAGTCACATCAAATCACAAGTCAGGTCACAAGGTTGTACAAATTCGTCTGTGTTTTTTGAGCCGCAAGTCTAGAATAAAGCAACAACAGTACAATCCACGCAAGGCCTGAACAATGCCTAAAATTGGAGAATGATATTTCATTAATCTTGTTCAAGGTAAAACCATATGCATTACAGTACAGTATCCTTACCAAACCGTATTTTATACAAATCTATCTCAAGCTATTGCCTTCATATTAGTGAGAAATTCTTTATTTTATTTTTCGGTGGCCAGATTCTCCTAGTCAATCGTCTAGACCACATCACAAGTCACCCCTTTGTGGCAGTATTCTCACCGTTCTACATCTCTCTACTGGTTCTCATTCCGACGTCGTTTGGACAAAGGGGAAGCAACCACTGTAAGTACAAAATCTCATTTCAAGATTTGAAATAATGTTTTATTATTGTGGGTTTTGATTGTTCTCTTTTCTGCCACCTCCAATGTAAAACAGCTGAAACTGTTTGCCCAATGTTCTTGATGTTACTTTGGAGATTAATTTGGCGAGCAAAATTAGAAGCCAGTTTTTTTAGGTGGAACCACATGAGCCTAGTTCCACCTAAAAAGTGACTTCTTATTTTGTTCGCCGAATTAGTCTACAAGCAGATTTGTCTCCTACTTGAAACCAAAAAAATTGATTGTGTGTTTGACAAGTGAGAATGAAATTTCAGCTCGTGCAGGTTGCTTCTGAAATTCAGATTGCTTTCCAAAGTTTCACAGTTTAATAGTCTTAAGTTTTTAGTCTTGTCCATAACCTAAAATGTAAAGTACATTTTTTTTTTAAATGTATTGTCTGTAATTGTGTTTACAAAATTTCACTTTTTATCAAATTTATTGATATTGCAAGGTTTACATCGTGAAGATTTTGTTACAATTATAATTGACATTATAAGTTGGTTAATAAGTACCCGTATTAAAGGGAAGATACAACATTTGCAAACATCAAAAAGCGAAATGATCAAATTATCACGAAACATCTTACTGGATTGTTAGGGAATGACAGTCGAAAGCATCCTGTAAAATCGTGGCTCCTGGTGTTCTGACATTTTCAAGAAAACTTGTATTTTTCCAACGCTGGTCGGCCGACCAGCGTTGGAGAAAACTGACTTTTTTCAAAAAGTGCTCCTAATTTTTCATATTTAGTTATTCTGCATTTTCTTTGCAATTGATTACACACCTGTGAAGGGGTACAAGCCTTCTAGACTGATTCTCTGTCCTTGCAATCCTCCAAAGTTTATAAATTGCTCCGTTTCATCTTACGTGGGGTCAGGGAACCAGACTACAAAAACATGGTTGGTTTTCTTGGATTTTCCAACATCTCCGAACCGAAAACGTGAAGCAAGTCAGTTTAACAATATTTGCTATAAAATACTAATCCTCAAAAAATTGAAATCCATTTATTTCTGAAAATTGCAGCAAAAGCAAATGTTGTACATTCCCTTTAAGTACTGATTTCAGATATAACCGGTTGCCTTCAAAAATGCTGTAGCTAATTTTTACATATAATTTTCAAATTCAATAAAATCCATGAGTTGGGTTTGTAGAGATAAGGGATTCATCTTGCTACACAGCTGAACCACTATATTACTTTACATGATTTTTTTGGAAGTCAAACGAATGTAAGCGTGATTCATCTCCACTGTGGAAGATTTTGGAGGTCGCAGAAAAATTGTACCAAATCCCAAGAGAGTCATGGTTTATGTTTATACGTGAGGGTCATTTTGTAAGCCACCATGATTTCTCCCCACGTTTAGGGTGGTTTGGAATACGGAAAGACTTCTGCACATTCCTGCTGACGGCTTGTCCCTTCCTGCGGGAATACGGGAATATTTCTTACAAAATGGAGAGCATGGATAGTGTAACGCCGCCCGAGGATCAAGACATCAACAGAGAGATGTACACGACATCGATACGGACTGTCATGGACCATTCCACAAAACTCATAGTACCCGTTGTTTCAATTGAGATGCCTGACTGATAGCATCCCCAGACCACAAAGTGTGGTGCGGAGTTCAGGAACTAGACTGATCTACAAGAAGTTTCAAGAATTGTGAAACAAAACGGGACTTTTAAAAACAAATTATTGGTTTGCCAAGCAAGCCATGACGTCAGAACAAACCAGAAGTAGAACGACAAAGAGTGACAAGTTAAATACAAAGAATATCATGTGCGCACACTGTTGAATGTAATTAAACCAAATATACTAAAATGTGACAAAAGTACAAATGTAGAATGGGGCTGCAGTTTCACAGAATTGCTTGTCAGTTTGATATCCTGTGTATAGAGTAAGAGTATATGAAAGCAATATGTTACCATGATGACATGCAAGTCTTGTATTCGTTGATCGTGAAGGAAGCATCACGCAGGTTCGTGGTGTGACTGAATATGTTTTTGTTTTTGTTTTTGTTTTTGCCTTCCAAAGCTTCTATTAACACAACTGAGATGTAACTGTACATACATGTACTATTAATGCATATTTATTTAGAAATTGGGACAACTTTGGCCCAGTAATCTTCAACTTGGCTTCTGATTGGCTGAGATACACATATCAGGGTCAAGGGTCAAGTTAATGAATCCATATCACAATTTTGCAGCAAATCTGCTCCAGATTGAGTGTACATGTACATTGTACATACATGTTAAATACATTTTTGTGCATGTTTATTTTTTAAATGAACAAAGTTTGTTTTGTTTATTTGTCTTGTTCTGAAACTTGAATAGTTTGTTTTCGTGTACGTAGTACAAATCTTCCATAAAAGCCTGTATGGTGAAGCAGAGAAGTACATGTACGTGTAAACATTGCCACAAAAAAAAAAGTCCACACTCATTGGAGGGGTCATAATTTTGAATCTCATCGTCTTTTGATGATGATGACGTCATGTAGACCTTTGGGGAATGTTGTTGGCTACATTTTGATACCCCGTTTGCTACCAAAGACTGAAAATCGTCCAAGATTTACAACGGTTTATAAAAAAAATGATGCAGTTTTAAAAGTTATCAGCCACATATTTTTGCCACATAGCCTCAATCCTGCAAATTCCTAAGCTTTATAAAAAGGATTTTGGAGGATTTGGAAAGGTTAGGGTTAAGTTTTCAAAAATCTCGGCAAAATATCCCCCACATTTGGCCAGTGTTTGTAAGCTGTAAAGCTTGGTATATGGCCGTTTGAATTAATTGTAGCAGTGTTTCCCTTGCCCATTCAAAAATGAGGTGGCCCACCTCGCTACTTTCAGTGACCACCTCGCTCAGCTTTTGCCAATATCACCACCTCGCTGGAATATTTACAATATCAATTGAAACATTTTCATTTTGTGTAATTTATGAGCGTTTTCCTTGACCTCCATGTATCAAGAACTCACAATTTTGATGTGTTTTGGAATCATCGCGTATTTTGGTGAACTCTGCATTCTTTTCAGTTTGCAGACTGTAAACTTCGTTTCAAATCATCAATTTGAATTGTTACCACCTCGCTCAGTTCATTAGCCAGGGGAAACACTGAATTGTAGCAGTTGAATGTGGCCAGACCAAAAACAGTTGTAACTACACATGCAGGGGTGTCCCGTGATGAAAAATACTACTGTGATATATTTTTTTTATTTAACACATTTCAAAGACCGGCAAGAATAGTGGACATGAAATAGAACTTTACAGGTGAAGAATTTGTAGCTACACAGTTATGTAAATAAAAGCTCACTTTCTGTTTAATGTGACAAGAAAGTAATACATTTCAACTCTGTTTAAAACCAGATTGATGTTTCTTCAGTTTTTGTTATGTATTGTATAGAGACAGACCTGAGTGAAACGTGATCACAGTCATCATGTTATGTTTACGAGACAATAATAAGTAAGCACACATTTTAACAAAGCCTGACGTCAGTGCCTTTAAGATCAGCTGGCTACATTAAAGTTAGACCCTTTAGTTTGCATTGTCCCTTTAATATATCACGGCAAGTAGTATACCCCTTTAATTTATCAAGGCAGGTGGCGTTTCCTTTATGGACTATCTGAACTTTGACCCATTGCCCACAGCCAACCTGGGTACCAGCAGACCTAATCCTCCGGTGACCTTAAACAAAAAAGCTTAATCTAAACAAGATTGTTGGCTATTGGTTCAACATTGTATAACGTGTTCAAGTGTTCGCAAGCAGTAGCAATTGAGCTGATGTATTGCTATGAAGGAATAGGAACAGAGGAGAGATGTACAAGATACAGAATCTGAAGGTAAATCAAATTTCCTGTAATGTTTGTCACATGGGTGTGTTTAACCAACACTCTAGGTAAAAATGTTATACATCACTTAGCTTGCTGTTCCTTTTTTGTCACTAACTGGTTGCTTTTATCAATTTGCCTCATTACAAGTAACTTCCTCAAAATTGTGTTGGGCAAGCGTAAAGGCTGTGCAGGTTTAGGATGTAAGTTGATACATGTATGTTGTACGTCACTGCTACGCTACCCAAATATAACCCTTGAAACACTGGACGTGAGATTATTCCTCCATGCTGAGAGCGACTGAACTGTGTTGTCTTTGCCCCTCTTTATGGGGTGACATTTGTAGGCTGTGAGCTTTTATGCTGGGGAAATGTTAAGTCTTGAGCACCTTTTAAAGGCCCATAGATGACTCTCAACCGGCAGTCTTGGTTAGTGTTCATAAAATTGATTGATAGTACAGATTTTTACCAAAATTTCCTGAGAACATTTTTGAATCATAATTATAAAATTCTAAATCTAATTCACAAAAAAACTTATCAACAAATTCCACTGCATGAATAAAAATAGAAATTCCAAAGATAATATGTATGTGTGCATTTGCTTGATTGCAGCGTTGATATGTCTGCTTTGGACTATGGTCTATGCACTACAAAAAGTCAATACATTATCTTGGTAATAGGATAATAAGTCGTAGCATCATTAGGTAATCAAATGCACCAGGTCAGTACACCAGAAATTCTTACATTTATTCTCTGACACGAATACCTTTTGCCATGCTTGCTTGTTAGCAATGACACAATGAAACCCGAGCTGAGTTTATTGGCGTTCAGCATTTATCTCTCCCTCCGAGGGTTTGCAAGCGCTACCCTTGCTCCATGCATCAAAGTTGATGACTGCTCCTGCAGAGTCACAACTGATGAAGGGGAGCATGAAATAAACATCCGAAGCTTGGGCCTGGAGGATCAAAATCAAGCGCCAAGGTAAGATCTTTGTCAATTGAGATCCCCCTCTGTTGATTTCTGGCAGTCGCAGGCAAAAATAAGCTTGCTGTGTTGTGACCGATTTGCTGACTTCTTTTGAAGAAACTGTGTTACTTTTTCTTACAGTGAGGTGTCTTGTAATGCCTTGCATGTTCTAGTACTTGATTGAGTTAAATTTGACATTTGAGTTATTTGAGTAATTTTTGTATGTGCATCTTTTGACAGGTTTGGGTTTAAGCAGTATAATCCTTCAGAGCCATGGGAGTATGCTTATAATCCATGCTATGCCTGGTCAGATGGAACAGCCAACTGCCAAGATGTTGTTGTAAGTGCAGGCATAAGCAGTTATACAGGGTGGGTCAAAAGGACAGTGACCTAATGAAAATTTTCCAGTCTTGACAAAGACTGAATGCCTGTGTGTAACTCTAGTTCTCACTCGCCTCAATAGCTTTAAATGACATATTCCATGGACAGCTGTAAATATGAACTGTTTTAGTAATTTATGTGTAACTCCTCATAGCATGGATCAATTTCAGGAATTCCTTTTTTTTTGCAAATAAGTGCAAGAACATGCTCATTTAATATGTGCTTCACTGGTGTGTCAGATGTAATTGTTTTCAGGGGGAAAAAAAATCATTAATCCAGGTCGCTTTCTTTTTTACTCGCCCTGTACATGAGTGTTGGGGTCTTTAAATTTTCAAAACTGAACATGTTTTGCAAATTTGGTTGATAAAATGTTTGTATTAACCTAAAATTTGTACCTATTCTGAATACATATAGGAATGATTGAGTTTAGGAACAATAATTTTTGTTGTTTTAATCTGAATTTCCTCTTAAAAGTGAGTCTTCATTGGTTGGAGTCAGTTTTACAAATTACAAGTAACAGACTGCCTCATCTCTTTGACTTAATTCCGTTTACACAAATATATCCCTTCATAATCCAAGGTTTGCCAAAGATCAAGTACGCGTCATAATGACACCTTTGGGTTAGGGGATGCAGCCGCAAACTGGACAGACGATGGAACACACTACTACATTGTACATAGCCACACAACAAGGTACCATTTTCAAGTTTGCAGTTCAACTCAAACCAGTCCTAGAACCTTCAAAATCTACCAGGTAGATTTTTGAAGGATTTTGCAGGATTGCAGAAGGCAGCACCCAGCCACTTTTACTTAACCCTAACTCCCTAGTCATGTTTGCTAGGATGCAACCTCAATCCTGCAAAATCCTCCAACTACCTCCATGTAAAAATATGCAAAATCCTCCGTTATTTCTTGAACGTGGTCCTTGGAGGGGTGACATCTGCCTTAATCCTGCAAAATGCTCCAGCAATCACTGTCAATATGTTGAGGCAGAGCCAGTGACATCCTGGAGCAGTGCGGAGGATTTGGAGTATAATCTAGGCCTAAATTTATGCACAGCTGAACATAAACAACCAAGGTCCGGCCCAAGACCTTGACACAGTGCATCCTCCAAAATCAGCCACACACTTTTGCCATATAGCCTCAATCCTGCAAAATCCTCCATTTTGCAAAGACGATTTTGGATGATTTGGGAAGGTTAGGGTTAATTTGGGCTTGATTTCCCCAGAATAACTGCAAAGAATGTGCCATTGATATTTTGGCCAGTCTTATATTATGGATGATTCAGGAAGGCCAAAAGATGCCAAGGAAGTTAATAGATTTCTTCTTAATTCTACAGTTGATACTTTTTAATTGTCCAGTAATTTGCAAGAAATAGAAAAGCTCCTAGCTCTCTGGAGTGACCTGAAACATCTTCAAAGATCAGAGGGACTCATGTTATAATCATGTTAAATTCAAAATGACAAGGAGCAGAAACACACAGGGAAAGAACTAAGCAAGGAAAAATGGAGAAAGCGAGGTCAGTAGAAAGGAAGGAAGCCGTTAAAACTTTTGTAGAGCAAAATCACCTAGAAACCCACTGAACTAGTGATAACCTTTGTACATGGCAACAGCAAATTGAATTTAAGGAAGTACCAAAAAGGAACTGTTTGGAATAACAAACATAACTGTCACAGGTCAAATGCCGTGGTTCCAGTAATAAGACTGTCTTCTAATTTGTTTTCTACATGTATTATAGGACAACTTTTATTGAGTTGCGCTGTGATGTCAGTGCCACCACACCCAAGTTTGACTATTACAAAGACCAATCCAATGAATATGTAAGTTTCAAACTTCCAATACATTTGATACTTAATCAAAAAAGTTGAAAATGTTGTTGATATATTTACACATTTAACAGAACGGAAGAATGCAAAATTGAACGATCGGTCACTCGAAGTTGAAGAGATACCTCCTGTTTGCTGCAAAATTTGACCCTATTTGAAATTGGCACTTTTTCTTAAGTTTTTCAACTTCATAAATAGAAAGTCTTCTTCAATAAAACAACTTGAGATTTCAAATTGATTAAACATGTGAAGCATTTCAACACTTAATATAACCATTTAAAAAACAATAATCTTTGTTATTTGTTCTGAAGTACCTTTAGAGCAAATTTCAATGTCTTAACCCTTCAACATATGGATGTAATAGAATCTTTGTTGCATTTTTCTGTCTGCTTTGTTTTTTTCTTCTAGACCTTCACACTAACATCAGCGTGTGCCTGCCCTGGTGTGTGTGAAGCCTCACCAACTGTTGCACCCCGGCCTAACCCGCCCGGTACTCTCAGCGTTGGTTCTGTCCTCTGCATTATGTAAGTTCTGACCGATGCTCCACAGCTCTGCTAAACATACACACAAAAGTTGGTGCTTACTACAGAAAATTTGTGTAGCCGTGAGCATATTCCGATTTACGAAGGAATGTTGGCTTTGAACATGGGTGCATCCTGTAAACAGGGTTCTGTGCTTAGAGGGTAAGCGCAACATTTCCGTGCTTGCACTGTAAGCGCAAAATCACGATTGTAAGCACAGAATTTGGTTAGCAGTGCAATGAAATTGCGCCCTCTTTTGACTAGATCTAATCTTATTTGACTTTACGTATACAGGGTGGTGAAAAAAAAGAAGGAAAACCACTTTAGACAGCAATTTTCACCTACTTGTGGAGCATTTTTCAAGATTTAATGCTATTTAAATCTTGAAACATAAGTGACAAAAAAATTATTGCAAATGCATATTTTGTCTCTGAGATATGGTAGTTTTGAAATTTCATGTGCCAAATCTGTTTGTCCATGGATGGTTTTATTCCATCCGCTTGACTGAGCTGAGCATCCTGTAAAGTTGTGGCTCCTGGTGGGCTGATATTTTCAAGAAAAACTGTATTTTTCCAATGCTGGTCGGCCGACCAGTGTTTGAGAAAACTGGCTTTTTTTAAAAAAGTGCTCCTAATTGTTCATATTTAGTTCGTCTGCATTTTCTTTACAATTGATTACACACATGTGAAGACTACAAGCCTGCTAGACTGATTCTCTGATCTTACAATTCCCCAAAGTCTATAATTTGCTCCATTTCATCTTAAGTGGGGTCAGGGAACCAGACTACAAGAATATGATTGGTTTTCTTGGTTTTTCCAGCATCTACAAACCCAAAACGTGAAACAAGTCAGTGTAGCAATATTTGCCATAACATCCTCATCCTCCAAATCCATTCATTTCTGAAAATTGCAGCAAAAGCAAATGTTGTACATTCCCTTTAAGTAAGTAGGTAAAATCTCCTGTCAAAAGTTGGTTTCCTTCTTTTTGCACCACCCTGTATATGTTTATAAGTCCATCCACCATTAAGATAATGTGCTCAAGTTGTATTTCAAGTAAAAGTTTTGTCATTTTATACAGATTTTCTATCTGTCTTAAGCTTCTATCAAACACAACATTTAGTCTTTATTCATATAAAGTTCCCAAAACTCTTTTATCAGTTTGTTTTTTAAATAATCTCTATTGTGTGTTTGTTTCAGAGTATTAGTTGTTGTGGTCGTCTATCTAGTTGGCGGTGTTATGTACAAGAAGTTTGTCCGCAAAGCCGAGGGGATGGAGGTCATACCAAATAGAGAAATCTGGACTGGTTTGTTTATCAACATCAGGGTGAGTCAGTCAATGTTGTTTTCAATCACGGCACAAGCAATTTATTGTTGTATTATTAAGGAGTATTTACCTCTGATAGATTTAAGTAACAGCGATAAAAAGTTGGGTTTCTTGTGCCAAAAACGCTTGTGTCAGATTATTTCTTGCATACATTCCTAGACATGAAGAAAGAATTTTAGTATTACGTTGAACAACTTATCTAACCATTTTGATTTGGAAAATGGTTTTATCTGTCACCGCATTAAATTTTTGCAAATTTGTTGTCTCATATCCTAATGTTTTTGGAAATCCATTCAAAAGCCTTGTAATTTTGGTTTTATTGGAGATGAGGTTTGGAATGGTGATAATGTGTGACCTTGATAACATCAGTTTGGGTTTAAGGAGGTTGGTGAATGTTCATGGTGATTGGGTCTGGCAGGGTTTAAGTGAAGGTCGGAATGGTGGTAATGTGTGACCTTGATAACATCAGTTTGGGTTTAAGAGGATGGTGAATGTTCATGGTGATTCTGACAGGGTTTTGGTGAAGGTCAGAATGGTGATAATATGTGACCTTGATAACATCAGTTTGGGTTTAAGGGGATGGTGAATGTTCATGGTGATTGGGTCTGGCAGGGTTTTGGTGAAGGTCGGAATGGTGGTAATGTGTGACCTTGATAACATCAGTTTGGGTTTAAGAGGATGGTGAATGTTCATGGTGATTCTGACAGGGTTTTGGTGAAGGTCAGAATGGTGATAATATGTGACCTTGATAACATCAGTTTGGGTTTAAGGGGATGGTGAATGTTCATGGTGATTGGGTCTGGCAGGGTTTTGGTGAAGGTCGGAATGGTGATAATGTGTGACCTTGATAACATCAGGTTGGGTTTAAGGGGATGGCGAATGTTCATGGTGATTCTGGCAGGGTTTTGGTGAAGGTCGGAATGGTGATAATGTGTGACCTTGATAACATCAGTTTGGGTTTAAGAGGATGGTGAATGTTCATGGTGATTCTGACAGGGTTTTGGTGAAGGTCAGAATGGTGATAATATGTGACCTTGATAACATCAGTTTGGGTTTAAGGGGATGGTGAATGTTCATGGTGATTGGGTCTGGCAGGGTTTTGGTGAAGGTCGGAATGGTGGTAATGTGTGACCTTGATAACATCAGTTTGGGTTTAAGAGGATGGTGAATGTTCATGGTGATTCTGACAGGGTTTTGGTGAAGGTCAGAATGGTGATAATATGTGACCTTGATAACATCAGTTTGGGTTTAAGGGGATGGTGAATGTTCATGGTGATTCTGGCAGGGTTTTGGTGAAGGTCGGAATGGTGATAATGTGTGACCTTGATAACATCAGGTTGGGTTTAAGGGGATGGCGAATGTTCATGGTGATTCTGGCAGGGTTTTGGTGAAGGTCGGAATGGTGATAATGTGTGACCTTGATAACATCAGTTTGGGTTTAAGAGGATGGTGAATGTTCATGGTGATTGGGTCTGGCAGAATTTAAGTGAAGGTCGGAATGGTGATAATGTGTGACCTTGATAACATCAGTTTGGGTTTAAGGGGATGGTGAATGTTCATGGTGATTGGGTCTGGCAGAATTTAAGTGAAGGTCGGAATGGTGATAATGTGTGACCTTGATAACATCAGTTTGGGTTTAAGGGGATGGTGAATGTTCATGGAGATTGGGTCTGGCAGAATTTAAGTGAAGGTCGGAATGGTGATAATGTGTGACCTTGATAACATCAGTTTGGGTTTAAGGGGATGGTGAATGTTCATGGAGATTGGGTCTGGCAGAATTTAAGTGAAGGTCGGAATGGTGATAATGTGTGACCTTGATAACATCAGTTTGGGTTTAAGGGGATGGTGAATGTTCATGGTGATTGGGTCTGGCAGAATTTAAGTGAAGGTCGGAATGGTGATAATGTGTGACCTTGATAACATCAGTTTGGGCTTAAGGGGATGGTGAATGTTCATGGTGATTCTGGCAGGGTTTTGGTGAAGGTCAGAATGGTGATTATATATGACCTTGATGATGAATATTCGTGGTGATTGGGTCTGATGAATGTAAATAGCAGGGGTCAGAGTGATGACAGTGGTGGCTCACTGGTGAAGACAACGGTAAATTTCAAGTGCTTTTTGTTTTTTGTATCCCTTCTTTTTGTAGGATGGTTGTGTCTTTATTTTCTCTTGTGGAAGGAGATCCAGTGTTCCATATGCAAGAGCTGGTCAGCAAACTATTGAATATAGAGAATTGTAACTTCATTTGTATAATCATATCTTAAATGTTCCAGTTATTTAAATGGTCCATGAAATGGTTCACTTTCTACTCTTAAATGTATGAAAACTATTTTGTAAACTATTTTAACGAAATGCACCAAAGCTTTAAAGGAAAACTTTAAATTTTACATTTTGACATGTCGATAAGTGCAAACTTTTAACAGCCATAACTTGTCCATTGAGTGTCCAATTGAAGTGCAACAAACAGTATTGTAAGGAGAATATTATTTTGGGTCTTGTTACCCGTGAACCGAGTACTGCCTCGTAGTGTCTCATTTTGCCAGACAGAACGTCACATATGTATACCCGCTGCAACTTTTTGTTCTTGTACACATGTTTGATGTGTTGATTTGCAAAATTGTACTATTTAATGCAAACTTTATAACTTCAGCTGCGCTGTACACAATTACATGTACTTAAATTTCAAGTTTAAGTTCACTATAAATATGAAAAGTTTTAAAGGGAATATACAACATTTACTTTTGCTGTAATTTTCAGAAATGGATGGATTTGGAGCTTAGTATTTTATAGCAAATGTTGTTACACTGACTTGTTTGAAGTTTTGTGTTCCTGGAGAAATCAACAAAAACAATCACGTTCTTGTAGTCTTGTTCTCTGGCCCCACTTAAGATGAAACAGAGCAATTCATAGATGTCCGGGAACTGTAAGGTCAGGGAACCAGTTTGGCTGGCTGTACCTGTTCATAGGTGTGTAATCAATTGTAAACAAAATGTGGACTAACTAAATATAAATTGGGAGCACTATAAACAAAAATACAAAAATGTGCCAAGATTACACAAGATGCTTTAGACTGTCTTTCACAGTGCTAATAAGGTACCGGTCGTTTTTTTTTTTTTTTTTTTTGCAAACGTTGTATATTCCCTTTTAAAGCCGATTGTACATGTTTATAATGCAGTGCTCTTTTTTTTTTTTAAACAAACAAACTATTCTTTAAGCAGTCTTTGTACCCATGCAAACTCAATACATACTTACATATATGTACATAACACGAAGTACAACAAATGTTCCCATTGTGTGTTCACAAGACAATTTTTGATTCTTTGAAAATAGTGATAATTTAGATTATTACTGCATAAATTGTTACTGAAATTTCCGCAATCATGACAGAGCATAGTTATAGGTCTGAATATCTCCAATGGGTTTTGTCCCGTCAAACTCAATTTTACCTGATTTTACTGAGAATGGCAATCGAAACTGTTGATAAATAATGTTACATCAGTTTTGTGCATCCTGTAGAATAAAAAATTATCGAAACCACCATGTAGGCTGCAGTATAGCCTGAATGAGTGTATACAATCACGGAAGAATGGGATCAAGTTCGTAACGCCTGAACGGGCAAGTTGTATTGTATCTGTATTGAATTGGACTGTACTGTGTAGTGTGTGCTGGGTAATAATCAGCATGTGACACGGGTGTATAGGAAGTGAGCTGTGCTTGTTTACATGTACAGGTACTTCCTTGAATTTTGGAAGGAGGCAATTTTCCCAAGCTTCACCATGGGCTGGGCATTAGTGATTTATGTTGCTTGTGTGTTGCTCCGAGAGCTTGCCTATGGTGCAGTCACCCCATGTGAAAAAGTTGACGACTGCTCCTGCAAGCTGCAGAATTCAGACAAGCAAATTAACATTCGATCTTTAGGCTACAGCGATAAATCGGCGCCAAGGTAAGATATGCATACACTTTTTTTTCTATCGGTTGGCTTTATAATGATTGTTTGCATGCATGTGGCTGCCCTCTGTTGATTTTATCTGACAGTGGCAGGCAAAAGCCAGCTTAAAGTGCTGTGTCTTTATACAGCTTTGTTTTCAAGCCACGGTGTTATCAGTTATACTTCTACACTGTTGTAGAAGTAATGTGGAATCAGAGTTGGCTGAAACAAATTGAGCAGACAATTTCTAGGTAACAATTTAGCACAGAATGTTTGCTTCGCACTTGCTGATTGAACTGAGGTAATTACCAGTTCTAATGTTATGTAACACATTTCACATTTGACTGTTTCTTGGCTGAGTTTAAGCAATTTTTCTGCTCTGTAAGTTAATGAATTTTGAGGCCTGATGTATGAATTTTGTATAAACTGTTTTGAACTGTATTTTCTCTTGACAAACTTTGAATGCATTTTTCCTGGCAGGTTTGGGTTTAAACGTTACGATATTGGTTTTGATTGGGAGTATGCATACAATCCATGCTATCCGTGGTCAGATGGCACAAACAGCTGCAAGAGCGTTGTTGTAAGTGTTACCCACAATACATTGCTGTAGTATCGAGTCCATCACAAGTCCACCACAAATCTTCACATGTCCACCAAAAGTCCATCACATGTCCTCTACAAGTCCATCACAAGTCCACAACAAGTCCATCACAAATCTTCACAAGTCCATCACATGTCCACTACAAGTCCATCACAAGTCCACTACAAGTCCATCACATGTCCACTACAAGTCCATCACAAGTCCACTACAAGTCCATCACAAGTCCACTACAAGTCCATCACAAGTCCACTACAAGTCCATCCCAAGTCCACTACAAGTCCATCACAAGTCCACTACAAGTCCATCACAAGTCCACTACAAGTCCATCACATGTCCACTACAAGTCCATCACAAGTCCACTACAAGTCCATCACATGTCCACTACAAGTCCATCACAAGTCCACTACAAGTCCATCACAAGTCCACTACAAGTCCATCCCAAGTCCACCACAAGTCCATCACAAATCTTCACATGTCCACCAAAAGTCCATCACAAGTCCATATCATACATGTCAGCCACAGGTCTTTCGATCCTAGTGTTAGTCACAAGCTATTCCAATGAATTGAATTTGGTTGGTATTGTTCATCCAAATGTTACATGTGACTAAATTGACTTTGTGATGATGGACGGGTGACTTGATTTTGACTCTGCCAAAAAAAGAGAGGAAGTTTTGGAAAACTAATATTAATTTGTTCATTTCAATCACCATATCCCTCAGTCCCTCAGAACACTTTGTGCTGTGTGTAGTAATACACTGTTGTAATGGACTTACTCAAAATACTCAAAATATCTTTATGAAAATACAAAATGTACTCGTATGAGTACTTATAATTTTCACAGCCTATCTTCTGCTCAAAAGTGCTTGTAGTTTGTAAAACATTTCCCCTGGGCATGTTGGGCATGTAATAATACTTGACTTATTGACAAATTGTGACACCGCCAATACAGGGCTGGATAGCTCAGTTGGTAGGGCACAGGTATGTAGGGCTGTTCAGAATATATCAAATATTCAGATATATCATCAACCGAATATTCAAATAGATTTTGCTGGTTCAAAAATTGGAAAGAAAAACTACGCATGTCCACACACTCTGAGGTGTTATTTTAATCGCAAAGTTGCAGCGCTTTATTTTCAGATGCCACATTTTTTTGACGGTAACTTTTTTTGTTGACATCGGTTCATTGTTCCCATCCTTTTAGCATGTTAAAGCCAATGACGGTTATAAAATAGTTATTGCAAAACACTCCTGTGGCCATAACATTGACCGCCCTGCACAAATTTTAACTCACACGCTTTGCATGCAACTTTTGACAGGTGTTGCAGGCAGTTGCAATTGGCAAGTGTATACACTTGACCGCCGAGTTTCAAATATTTGAATATTCGGTCAAACGCCATTTCAAATGGGGCCGTATCATAAGTCCGACGCCTCATAAGTCCAAAATTTCGGACTTATGAGGCGTCGGACTTATGAGGCATAACATTTTATTTATTCCGCCTCATACATGTAGGTCCGACGCCTCATAAGTCTGACGCCTCATAAGTCCGACAACAGAAAAACGAGGCGTTTAATTTGTCGGACTTACGAGGCGTCGGAGCTATGAGGCGTTGGAGCTATGAGGCGTCGGACTTATGAGGCGTCGGACCTATGAGGTGTCGGACTTACGGGCCTTTATTTGGTTAGGGGAAACGATTTTGTCAGACTTATGAGGCGTCGGACCAATGAGGCGTCAGACTAATGAGCGGACCCCTTTCAAATACTTGAATACTAAATTATTCAAAATGGACAGCCATTCAGGTACGGTAATTCAGTGGTCGCAGATTCAAAACCCTCTCCAGTCATCTTCTTTGTTCACTTGTTGCGATTAATATTTGTGTGTGTCTGTATACACAGGGCTGCCAAAGAATATACAATAACCATAGCGCTACCTACGACATTGCAGATGTCACTGCAACATGGATGAACGACGGGAGCTTCTATTACATTAAGTATTCACATGGACCAAGGCAAGTATCACATGCCATAGCTTGCCTTTTTCTTAACTGAAAATTGGAGTGGTGATTTTCTGGATTGGTGCAGAATTTTTTTTTTTAGGGGGGGGGGGTGCGACTGTTCTTGTTGTACGCCCTTTCCCCAACTTAAGATACATTACAATATTTTATCCATCCTGTGCATTCATATGGTGGCACGGGTGGCTTGTGCGTAAAGTGCTCGCCTCTCACCAAGGTGACCACGGTTCGAATCCTGGCCGCGGATCGCATGTGAGTAGAGTTGTGCGTTGGTTCTATCCTGTGCCACGAGGGCTTTTCTCCGGGCCCTCCGGTTTTCCTCCCTCCGGAAAAATCAAACACTTTTGATCTCAGGCTGTGCTCCGTGGTCATATATGGGTTGATGTGGCCGGCAGCCATAGATGCCTTTGCGTACCAGCGGCCCGACCACATTGTAGCCGCGTCCTTCGCATCAGCATACCAGCTGCGAGTAAGGATGATTAGCCTCCCAAATTATTATAATTATTATATGGATGCAGTTATGCAGTTCTCAAACTTACTTAGATATTGACTTTATACAGTGTAATAATATAATTTTTTTGTTAATATAGGATCACTGTTGTCATGTTGGATTGTGATGCAACTGCCAAGACACCTACACTTGGGTTGAACATACAAAAGACTAATTTTTATGTAAGTTTCTATTTCTCTGTGAATCCCTTTGTTTTTTTCATTTCTGTACTTAAATTGAGCTTTCTATATTTTCCAAATTTGTAGACTGATGAAAAAACATAAATCTGTCTTTTTTTTCCACGGCCGGTACAATCAGACTCAGAGAATTCTGCAAACTCCACTAAACCAGATTTGAAACCAGATAATGTGTACCTGATGATTAGATTCATTATTAATCACCAAATAACTCATTATAAATCCTCTATGAAAATAGATGAAGTTCTTACAAAACAATGAAATCACAAGTTTGCAACTTTAAGATGATGTCAGAAATTAACAACAATGGATAAAAACTTCATGTAACAAGCGATTTATATACCTTCTTGTAGACACACTCTGTGACATTGGAGGTTTTTCTCAAGTCCCTGACAAGTCAATCAAAACGCAAGGACACAAGTAACGGGATGAACAATGAAAAAGAAATGCAATTGTCCCAGTTCATTTAAATAACTTGGACTTGACCTGGGACTGAATGAATTGTGATTGCCTTTTGATTGATTTCACATTGACTTCTGATGTTATTGTCTTGACAGCAATTGTCTCACAACTCTGTGAGATTGTCCTAACAGTAAACATGTCCCTTTTTTTTAAAAACTTTTCTTTCTTTTTTGAATGCTGTGAATTTCTCGCAGAACTTTACCCTAACATCTGAGTGTTGCTGTCCTGGTACGTGCAACCCCCCTGGTATTAGTGCTGGCTCTGTAATCTGTATAATGTAAGTCTCTTTGGAATGACCTCTGATTTTGTAAAACTACTTTGTGGATATGAAACATGACTCTCAAATGTCCAGCGGAAAAAAATCTACACTGGTGAAATTTCAGTTTGAAATGATTTCAACATTGCTTCTCCCAACCCAGGAGTGATGTCTACTTTAAACCGAAATGGCAGCATCAAGAAGGAATGTTTTATAGGTGCAGTGAGCAGGGGTAATAATGATGTTGCACCTTGGACACTTATTCCTGTATAAATATACGTCACTACTAGAGAATGCCTGTGTATTGATCATAATGGTTAAAGGTAATTACAACATTTGCTTATGCTGTAATTTTCAGAAATGAATGTAATTGGGGCTTAGTATTTTATAGCAAATATTGTTACACTGTTTAAAGTTTTGTGATCATAGATTCTGGAAAAACCAAGAAAAAATGTTGTTCATGTAGTCTGGTTCCCTAACCCTACTTCAGACAAAAACGGAGCTATTTAAAATTGTCAGGTCAGGGAACCAGACTAGCTGGCTTGCACCCGTTCATGGTTGTGTTATCGATAGCAAACAAAATGCGGACCAACTAAATTTGGTAAATTGAGGGCAGTATTTGAAAAAAGTCAGTTCGTTTTCAATGATGGTCGGCCGACCATTGTTTTAATTTGATACAAAAATTGCACTTTTCGTGAAAATTAAAGCACACCAGGTGAAAGGATTTCACAGGATGCTTGAGACTATTATTCACTTACAGTCAAGTAAGGTATTTCATAATAATTTGGCAGTTTTGTTTCTTATGTTTGCAAATGTTGTATATTACCTTTAACTTCTGACAATGTTTCGCCCATCTTTGTCAATTTGAAATGTATGGGCCGCAGGGTGGCACAGTGCTTAAAGCGCTGCTTCTCACCACTTTTTGCCTGGGTTCCATTGCCGACTCTGATCATTTGTGAGTAGAGTTGTTCGTTGATTCTCTCCTGTGCCACGAGGGTTTTTCTCCAATTTCTCCAGCTGTCCTCCCATCGCATAAACCAACACTTTCGATCTGGCTGTTCTCCGTGGTAATATATGCCTTCGGTTTGTCTATGCAATTCCCCTACTGCTTCAAGCAAGGACAATTAGCCCACCCCTTCCCAATGTTTGTATTTATTTATTCATTTAGTTATTTATTTATCATTTGTATATTTCAGAGCAAGTGTGTTGATAGTCGTTTACCTTATCGGTGGTGTGCTCTTCATGAAGTTTGTGCGGCATGCCGAGGGGTCGGAGTTGATACCCAACAAAGAAATCTGGGTCGGTCTGTTTGGTTACATTAAGGTGAGAACAAACAAATTCAATTTTTTGCATGACTAATTTAATTTCCATTGAGAGCTGTAGCCAACAGGCCAAGTCTAGTTTTGACACAAACTAGGCTATAATGCGCCTATCAATTGTTTCTCCCCCCCCCCCCCCCCAAGACCTGGGGATTGTCACTTTTGAAGTGACAAAATCCCCACCTTTGGGCAAAATTTGAGTGACAATCCCCGACCATGCCCCGACATACATGTACATATGTGGGGCGCACTAATGCATTTCCATGTAGCATGCCGATGATAACAATGTTGAGTGATTAAAATCCCCACCCTGGGGCATGAAAAACCTGACCAAATCCCAACATCAGACCTGGGGCTGTGGGGTTGGGGGAACATTTGAAAGGCGCATAAGTAACAGAAGATGAACATTGACGAGGAATGTCCAGTTGGAAAGTTTATCAACAACTTGAGATGAAGTACTTGTGATTGACTTGACTTCAATGCTGCAATTAATCATTTTTTTGTGATTTTTGTGATGATGTTTGTAAGCATATGTTAATACACATTTTTGAGTCATGCATCAGATTACACTAACAAATTTAAAAATGAAACTAAAAATGTGTTTTGGTTTTTGTTTTGTTTATTTGTTTTGTGTATTTCCACAGGAAGGATTTATATTTGTCTTCACTTGCGGCAAGACACCTGGATACACTACTTTCTATCCTGCTAAATAGAAAAATGAAATTTTACCTCTTGGTTCCTTGAACTGTGAATCCTTAGAATTAAGAACTTTAGACCACCACCCAAGGTCAAGCTATGGTGTGCTCAGGGCCGGATTTATAGTAAGCGCTGTGCCTGGGGCCTGTTTTAGGGCCAAAAATACCAGTGTGCCATGAAACACAGACATCAATCCACGCAGAAACAAAACTTTTAGCATCTCTCTTTTTGAGTTTATGATTTTGGGAAAGTTTCAAACTAGCTAGTACGTACATGTAGCTAATTACTGCGAACCTCAATACGTGTTATACGATGCAATAACTGGAAGCGAACCCAATTGTACAGGCTTCTTACCAGTTTGGCCTGGCTTGCTTTAGTTCAGCTTAATAGCGTAGATTAACCCTAACTCCCTAGGGGGTGTGCAAACTCGTATTGAAATTGCAGGATTCAGGACTGTTAGGGTTAATATCAACACGAAACAGGGGCGGAACCAGGAATTTGTGAAGGGGGATTCAGGCCCGTCAGATTGTTTTTTGTCCGATTGTTGTGGACAGTCGGACAATAGGTAATTATTGTTACTATAATAATGATAATTGTAATAATTGGATTTTTGTGTGTCAGAGCCTGTGTGTGGGGGGTGGTTTTGAACCACCCCCCCCCCCCCCCCCCCGCCCCTCCCTCCTCTGGATCTGCGCCTGTAATATGGGAATCTAAAGCTTTTAAGAGCTGTGAACTTGGTGCCAGTGCCTAGGGCAGAGTAGAGCGTACTGAACACTAGGGCCTACGAAATGCATGATCTCGCCCTGTGGGTGTGCTAGATTCTTAGTTTTGTGAGCAAGCTTGATTTAGATACTACAAACCGATCAGAAGGTTTGTACAAATTGCATGGTGTGTAAAAATTATGCACACTCTTGAAAATTCAGTCACAGTTTCATTTCTTGTGCCTTTGGGATCGGTTTCCTCTTTCGATTAAAAGTTTTAATAACATTTTGTGATTTTTTTTAACACTTTGTTGTACATGTACTTGAAAAAAGACACAGTTTGTGTATGTAATCTGCATGTTTGGTAGATGTAAACCTTACCCAATCCACTTCTTTATGAAAGAGTTTTGGCACATAAGTGTAATGAAATGAAAAGATAGTGGAGAATTATACATTCTTTTTTTTAAACATTTACAAGTCATGATCTTTCATTGAAAAAATTGAATTTTGTTTAATACATTTTAGTTTGTTTTCTTTAATTTATTTAGTTGATAAAACTTTGTTTGAAAAGTACACTTTTTCCCCCTGATTATAAATTGTAAAAAGTATTTGCAATGTTTTGATCAATAAATATTTTGTAACGACCTAATTCTATAAATTTGAATCTCAACGTGGGCTGTATCACTAGTTACTTTTGTTCATTAATCAGGTTTTTCTTTCAATAATTTTGTTTTTTTAAATATGAAATTTCATTCATCAATAAATCTTTGGTGATTAACCAAAATTATCATTTTCTATAAGAACCCGTCAGCTATGCAAATAAGGGGTAAGAAATTGTTTTCAAATGTAATAACCAAATATAATTTTAAAAGGAAAGAAGTCTAAAGTCTGAAGCTAAAATTTAGAAGCTTGATTTTCTCTTCTGTATGTATGCATTGATTCATGAATACTTAATGTCTAGGTTATTGAAAGCACCACTAATTGTTGACTTTAATATTCTTTTAATACCCCTCCCCTGAACCACCCTGACCCCACTACTTCTATCTCACATACACAAGTACCAGAAAAGGCTATTACTAAGTTTCCTGCAAATAGAATATTTTATATTTGGCTTGAACATCAAATATGCAGCAGAACCCTCTCCCCAACCTACAGCTATAACTTCTGGAGGATGTGATTTGAAGCATTCCAGAATTGTAAGGTATCCTAGTGGATTATTTGCATACCAAGAGGCTTCTCCTGCCTCCTCACCTATAGTTTAAAATGAAATCAAATACAATTTCTGCAAACTGTTCGATGACTGGTTAAACATATGTGCAAAATAAACAACATTTCAATCCCAATTAAACATTAGTCAAAATTAAAGGCTTTTTGCTTTAAAGATTCTGGTAGGATCGGAAAATCAGGATCAAAACATCTATTGTTTCTTTTTGATGTATCTTTGATTATTTCTTGTGGAATGCACCCTTTATGATTTCAGCGAAGCTAGAGTTCATATTGCATTTGTTGTGTAAATAAATCACAAGCGCTGTGTGCTGATAGACTTTGTTCGGTCTCTGACTTCATCGTGTCAAGTGCAGTGCGCTATATTTATACAACCACTTATCACTATCATATGACTCCCAAATCCGTTACAGATCATAGGGCCAATGTTATATTTCCTCACTGATTTTTTCTGAATTCAACTGTTCCCCAATCATGGGTTTGTATCAGACTTGGACTCTTTCTTTGATGATTTCATATGTGTTTCTGATTAGTATATGTTGTGCAGATTTAGAAGCATGCAACGCAGTTGATGATTGCTCTTGTAAGTTATCAGATGGCAAAGAGATCAACATACGATCTTTGGGTAGTCAAGGCGGCACTACTCCAAGGTTTGTTCTTTGTAAACTTATCTCATGTTTTTGCCGGTGTTTCAGTTTTTGTTTGTTTTTCTTGTTGGTTGATTATTACGTTGCAGTTCCTACCGAGCCACAAAAGAAATCTTTGATAATACTTTGTGTTTCTGTAATGTAATTTCCTTCCTCTTTGTGTCTTTCATTCATTCTGCAGGTTTCCATATGAGTTAGCGGGATCATGGAAGTATGCATACAATCCATGCTATCCTTGGTCAGATACTACTTCTTGTCAAAATGTTGCTGTAAGTATTGGTTTGCAGATTCAGTGCATCTATAATTTTTTTTTTGTTTTGGAAGGGGGTGTCGGTGTCAAAAAAAAAAATTCAACAGACTGAGTATCTTGCCTCAGCAGCTGAACTCTCTGTAGATATAGTTGTTTTCCAGTCAACTTGATTCTGAGAGCCTGCGGGTTTATTTTAACAAGGCTTGAATAGTTTTCTTGATGTTTGCAGTTTCGAAAGGTAGATTGCTGTTTTCATTTATCAGCGTGGTAATTACGTTTAAGGGGTAATACAGCATTTGCAAACATCAAAAAATAAAACTACCAAGTTGTTACGAAATACCTTACTAGGATGTTGGTAAATGACAGTCTAAAGCATCCTGTAAAATTAGGGCACCTGGTGTGAATTCATTTTCAAGAAAAATTGTACTTTTGTATACATTTCCAACGGGCGGTCGGGTGGTCGGCAAACCACTGTTGGAAAAACTGCTGATCCAAATTTACCAGGGTTTTTTTTTTCAGTCCAAATATTGTTTGCTATTGTTTGCATGTTCGACTGAACGGGTGCAGGCCAGCTAGACTGGTTCCCTTATTACCTTACAATTTTCTGGCAATTTTGATCCATTTCATCTTTAGTGGAGTCAGGGATCCAGACTACTTAACATTTTTGTCTTTCTTGGTTTTCCAGCATTTTCGAACACAAAACTTCAAACATGTCAGTGTCACAATATTTGATCTATTATACTAACACCCCCCCCCCAGGTCATTTCTAAAAATTACAGCGAAAGCCAATAATGTACACTCTCTTTAACAGTAAATTTCATCAGTGGACAGTACTGATTTCTTTCCAGATCCTGCCTGAGTGCTTGTGTTTTATTTGTTTTATTCATGCTTTTGGTTTATTTGTTTGTTTGTTAATTTTTTTCTTTTTATGGGGGATGTTTTTTTTTTTTTTGCTTCAGGCCTTATTGATTTTTCTTATCATCCTTCTGTTTTTGTTATATCCTTCTGTTTTTGTTATAGGCTTGCCAGGAAGGAGACCCTGACCCTACTGAGAAATATGCCATCGGCGATGCCACACCAGCAACGTGGACACAAGAAAACAATAAATATGTTGTTAAGTATTCCAGCACTGGAGGTGGCAAAACACGGTACATACTCTCAGAGTTTTTATGTAATGCATTGCTGAGCCCAATTCTAACGTCTTCCATTAAATTGTATTGCCACGTATATCACAAGTACATCATAAGTTCGATCACAATCAACTAAAGTAAAGGTCACTTTGCAAGTCTGGTCATCACAAGTAGCAGTTCATGAGACAAGTGACTTGACTAGGGAGGTACTTAATGACTATAGAGCCATTGCTAGGGTGTCGTGGGATGTCTTTTTTTGTTGGCAAAATTGTTGTCCTGTGGCATATGGTAATTTCCAGCATGAATGATCTGTAGGCAATTTGTTGTCATACCCCTCCCCTCATTCTTGCTTTTGAAAACTGGTGATCGATGAACTTGTAATGGGCTTGTGAGGACTTGGAGGATGGGCTTGTGATGGGCTTGTGAGGACTTGGAGGATGGGCTTGTAATGGGTTTGTGAGGACTTTTGATGGGCTTGTGAGAACTTGTGATGGACTTGTAGGATGGGCTTGTGATGGGTTTGTGAGGACTTGTAGGATAGGCTTGTGATGGGTTTGTGAGGACTTGTAGGATAGGCTTGTGAGTGGGCTTGTGATGGGCTTGTGAGGACTTGAAGGATGGGCTTGTGAGTGGGTTTGTAAGGACTTGGAGGATGGGCTTGTGAGGACAGAGGATGGAATTGTAATGGGCTTGTGAGGACAGAGGATGAGCTTGTGATCAGCTTGTGATGAGCTTGTGATGGAACTCGGCTTCAGTACCCTCTAAATTGCAAAGAGTGAAAATTCACTCCATTCGAGTGAAGATTCACTCCCACAGTCGGAAACTGGGGACTAGACGTTTTAGAGTTAAATTTCTTCAATCGTAAAGATCGAGCTTTCACTCGAGCTTCGACTGAAGTGCCTTCAGACTTTGTCAATCGAAAATAAGAGTGATTTTCACTCTAAAACGTCTGGTCCCTAATTTCACTCTTTGGAATTTAGAGAGTATACTGCTTCCCTATAAGTACATCATATCAATATCATGGCAAATGTCATGAACTGGTTTGCCTTAATGTTTTACTCAATAAGAATTCCTTACTTGCAGGCTCAGTAATAACAAAGATGTTTGTGCTAGCTACATATACTTTCACCCACATTTGAAAACCTTGGTCAAACTACAAACCATTTGCAGTTTTATTCCAACTTAATTGTTTTAATTTTTTGTAAAAATAGGACGTCAGTGGTGGTACTTGCATGTGATACATCTGCAACTGAACCCAAGTTAGAAAGACTGGGCTCCAAACCTGATCCGCAGGATCCAGACACTACGTTATATGTAAGTTGTGAACGACCTCAGTTTCATCCAAGTTTTACTTGCAGTGAATACTCATTAATATTGGTGTGTTCCAAATTGACTTTGTCTTCTGCTTCACCTCCATCTAGGCTTCTGAATCATTTGTAGCCTGTAATGTGAATACCTTATGGAAATATTTACGGAATTTTAACCTCTTGAAAGATTTGTCATCTTTTGTATAAATATATGAATTGAATTCACTCTTCAGGCATGCAACTTTTCCTCGGATCAGCTGATTTCCTCTTTTTTTCACTTCCAATATATGCCATTGAAAATAGCCAAACACTGTACAAAGTCTTGGAAAGATTTGAATTTCCTCTTTTTTTGTGCCTTCCCAGTTGCATGCCTGACTCTTGACAAATGAGAAATTACTGTATGAATAAATATTGTACACTGAAGGTATCATAGTGGACACAAAAAAAGGCAACTAGTGTGATGTAGCCCTTTGGGTGTGTGTTTATCTTGCCCACACTCATAGCCTGAGTCACGTTATATTCAGGATTGGATTTTTTTTGGGGGGGGGGGGGGGGCTGGTCCAAGAGAGGAGCAACCTATAGTCCTCTTCGTACCCCTCTGACTGACTCTTTAACGTTTAACTGACATGTGGATCCTTTGAACCAAAGAGGTCTTAGACCACCAGTATTGGCTTGACTAGTCCTGTTTAATATTGGTTATTGTTGCTTTTGTTTTTGATTGTTACATTGCTTCCAGGATTTTATTCTGACATCCAAGTGTTGCTGCCCAGGTGAATGTGGTTCCGTTGGCCCAACCAAACCTGCTCACACAACTAAGCATGCTCACCCAACTAAGCCCCATCCTGCTGCAGGAGGCATCAGCATAGGATCTGTCATGTGTATCATGTAAGACATGGAGACGTCCACAAAACCTTAGTTTCATCTGTGCTATCAGCTTCAGGTTTGGGGGTCAAACCCCCCCCCCCCACCACCCAAGCTCTGTAAAAAAAATGTTTGTTTTTTCCCCATAGAAATTCATTAAAAATAATGCAAACACCCCCCCCCCCCCCCCCCCCATGCTCTGACACCCACAAAATTTTTTACTGATAATAATGTCCGGCTGTGCACAAAATATGGACAGAGCCAGCTTGGTTAGGGGTTTATTTGTACACTATTCTGTAACATTGTGTTAATAATTGTCAGATTTGAACAGCGCCCCCATTGAAAATATGGTACGAGCCTCCCCCCCCCACCCCACCCCTATTGATTTTACGGAGGCCAAGTGTCTGAACAAGAAAATGTCTACATTTCAGCAATGATTTGCTGATGAAACCCCCCCCCCTGCAAAGTCCTGGATCCGCCCCTGTTTCAGGACCCTCAAACTTCAAATAATCCCATAATATGAAGTTGCGGGTACAAAATTTTTCAAGTGTAAAATGCAAAATAAGAAACAATTCTCTTTTTTTCTCTATTAATTAATTTGTTGAACTGAGACAAAATTCCCCTCGCCCTCACGGAGGGTAGGGGCACTATCCTCATTTTGCCATGCTTAACAGCTCAGATGATTAACTGTAATATATGTACATGTTTATATCAACTAGAAACTTAGGTATTTTTCAATGATTGTTTATGTTTTTTTTTATTCCAGAGTGTCTGTACTAATAATTGTTTATGTAGTCGCCGGTGTGCTCTTCATGAAGTTTGTACGCCACGCAGAGGGGATGGAGATAATACCCAACAGGAACATCTGGGGTGGTCTGTTTCGCAGCATACGGGTAAGGCAGCTATCCATGAGCAGCTCCATCAAAATGAGGAATAAAGGCAATGTTGGGAAAGAGACTTTTGTAAATGTGTGAATTGAACATGCCTCACTGTCAGAAAATGTGCACTTCCACTCGACCCTTGAGTGCACAAAGATTTCCAATTTACAAAGTTGGTGAAGATTTTCTATTTCTTATTGTTGTTTAGTATGCAACTGTAAGCAGTTAAATGAAATTTCTGTTTCAAAGCTAATTTTGTTTTCTGTATTATCTTTTCTTTCTGCAGGATGGCTTTATGTTTGTCTTCACTTGTGGAAAGAATTCTGGATACGACACTATGAAATAGTTGGAATGATACACCATCACACAAACATTTATATGTGTGCATTGTATAGTTCGAAAAACACTACACGTATTAATTTCAGTGATTTTACTCGTCTTTTTGTCAGTGTACATGTACATGTACTTCATTTTAATAGAGAGGGCATCAGTAAACAGGCGCGGATATGATCCCGAGGGGGTGGGGTCGAACTGCTTCCCTCCCCCTGCCCTGACACCAAAAAAGGAAAGAATTGTAATAATTATAGCATTTATAAGGTCCGCCCGTTTGCAACAAGCGGACATTAAGTAAATCCTTATGGGCCTACCCCCCCCCCTGTCTTTTAGTGACTGCAATATAAGTATATCGTTTAGTTATGTTCATACTCATCAGTTTCATTAAATTATAATTATCATTTATAAGCGTTTGATGTAATATTTCCCAACTCAGGAGACTATTAAAGTAAGATTAAAGATTCTGTGGGTGACATTTAAAACTTGCAATCTGCAAGGAAGGAAGAGATCAAATATATATAACATAATTTTAAAAAAAATTACTATTTTTATCACAATATTTTCCAAATGTGATTTGCTGGTAAAATTCCTGTGAATAATTTGAAATAGACAAATTTGTGCTTTTATGAAATGACCGAACTTTAAGTTTAAACATCATTATCCATTTGTTGAATGATACACGTACACCAAAGTATTACTAAGCATTTGTTTAACAAGTACTTACATTTATATGATTCCAGTTATGTTTCTTTTACGGAACGACAGTGACAAATAAAAACCTTAATTGTGCATGTTACTATTTTTTAAAGAAATTCCAATATAGCAATAAAATGTTAGTTGAAAGAACTACTTGAAACAAAATATAACTTAAGTATAAATTGTGCATGTATGTTGGCAAATAAAAGCTGTGCAAAACGATTTTACTCTGAAAGAAGCCAATGTCGTGTGGTAACCTCTATAATTTATGGTGACCTCATTATCATCTCCCCATCAAAAAAAAGGGAAATATGTAGCAGATCCCCCTCCCCAAACTGCAGTAATAACTTTTGAAGGATGTTATTTGAAGCATTCGACAATCTCGTACCAATTTCTCATGCTACCTCATCTATAGTTTAAAATGAAAATAAATACAATTTCTGCAAACATCGCGCTGACTGGATTGACGTGAAATATACAAATCAACAAATTTTCAACAAACACAACATTTCCATCCTAGTAGAACATTGGTCAAAATTAAAGGTTTTTTGCCTTTGAGAAAGATTTTGGTATAGGATCGAAACACCTCCTTTTTTTTTCTTTTTGATTCACCTGATTATTTGATGTTGAAAAAGTTGAAAGGTCTTTCTCTCGGAATACACCCCTCGATATTTCAGCTTAACCAGAGTCAAGATGTTTTTGTACACAAGTCACAAGCACAATACATGTATACTGATCTTATGAATAGACTTTGTATGGTCAAAGTCCATGCTATATTTGTACAATCACTATCACGATCATATGACTCGCAAGTTCATTACCAATCATAGTGCCAACTGGATTATAATTCCTCCCTGATTTTTCCAAATTGTTCCCCAATCATGGGTTTGTACAGGACTCGGACACTTTCTTGGATGATTTCATATATGTTTCTGATTAGTGTGTGTTGCGCAGCTTTAGATGAATGCAAGAAAGTTGATGATTGCTCTTGTAAATTACCAGACGGCAAAGAGATCGACATACGATCTTTGGGTTATAAAGGCACCAGTGCTCCAAGGTTTGTTCTATGTAAACTTATTTCATGTTTTCGCCAGTGTTTCATTTTTGTTTGTTTTCTTGGCTGATTACGTTGCAGTTCCTAAAGAGCCACAAAACAAATCTTTGATAATACTTTGCTTTTCTTTAATGTAGTTTCCTCCCTCTTTGTGTTTTTCACTCCACAGGTTTAAATATCAGTTATCGGGATCATGGAATTATGCATACAATCCATGCTATCCTTGGTCCGATACTAGCGCTTGTCAAAATGTTGCTGTAAGTATTGGTGTCCGGATCCAGTCTTCATAATTTTTTTCTTTTTGGGGGAGGGGGAACGGGAGGGGAGGGGTGTCAATGTCAAAAAAAATTCGACGGACTGAGAGCATTTTCCTTCAACAGCTAAACTGCCTCTAGATTTAGCTGTTTTCGGGTCAACTTGAATTTTTGAGAGCTTGCAGATCTGTGTGGAATACTTCTTTCTTGGGTGTTCACACTTTCTAAAGGCAGATTGCTGTTCTCGCTATATTTACTTATTAACCTCCTGTTTTTGGTGTAGGCTTGCCAGAAAGGAACCACACCCCCAATTGAGAGATTTGCCATCGGCAGTGCCACACCAGCAACGTGGAAAATAGAAAAGAATAATTATGTTGTTGAGTATTCCACCGTCGCAGGTGGACATACACGGTATGTAAATTTGTATGTTATGAATAGCTTAGCCCTATTTAAAGGGTTTCAATTTAATGTTGTACAGTAAAGTGTATAAGTAAACTTAAGATCGGACCTGTGATGGACAGTTACGTACGTCCGAACCAAAGTAAAGAACAATATTAAAGTAAAACCCTGGTCACGGTGCATACGGTCGGACCAGTTTGTGACTTCCGGTTATGATGATGGACTTGTGATGGACTTCGGGGCGGATCGGGGGGGGGGGGCTGAAATGTACCAAGCAGCAAACGGTGAAGGCAAGTTGTAGTACTACGCCGAAGGCCAAGGGGGGAGGACACATAATGTTATTTGAAGTAATGCGAGCGCGTAGCGCGAAGTCCTATGGGTCCGGGACCCGATTTATCTGAGTATCACCCGTTCTCCACGGAGCCAGTCTCCGGACGAACGTCTTACGTCTTTTCTATCTAAGCCATGCGTGACGTCATTTTATTTCAAAATCTGGACTAGGATTTTGATTGGTCAATTCGATGCCCCGTTTTTGTAACTACAACCTAATTCACGGTCAAAAAGTGTTCACTCCATTTATTCGAAAGTACACAGTAATGCCATCTCAATGCAAAGGAATCTGTCTGTTTGCAAACAACCTTCTGTTTTATGCTAACGTGCTTTTTAAAATTTTGTTATGAAAATAGGACATCAGTGGTGAAGCTTACATGTGATCAAGCTAAAACTGACCCTGCTCTGGCAGCACAGGGCTCTAGATCTGATCCAAAGTTTCCAGACACTACTTTTTATGTAAGTTGCCAATACAGGGTGCCCTCCCCCCCCAAAAAAAAAAATCGGAATGCTTCCACTTCATTGAGACTCAAACCACCTGTACCAATGGATGGAGAAACGTTTTAGAAGAATTATGATACCAAGATCTCCCAATTCGGTCCTGTAGTTTTTGCTGCAGAGCCTATTTTGTGAAGCACACATCTTGCAAGTGGATATTATACATCATTAATCCCGCTATCCAATTAAAGTCAGATTGGCGGGCGCGGCTTAGTAATTCATCTGGACAAAATGACTCCCGACTTTGTTTTATTCACAAAAAAGGCTCTAGAACAAAAATTACAAGACCGAATCGCGCAATCGTGGTATCATTTTTCTTTTCACAGAATTCCCCATGCATTGGTATAAGTTGTTTGAATCTCAGGGTGGCGGAAGTATACGCCGTTCCGTTTTTAGGGGGGCCGCCCGCGTTGACCACTTTTCAGCCGAGTTATACTTGCAGTAAATACTTCATTGGGATATTCCTAACATTGGCTTTGTCTTCAATTTCACCTTCATCACAGGCTTATTTTATTAAATGATTTTGTAGCATGTAATGTGATGACATAATTGAAATGTCGAAGGGAATTTCAACCTCTGGAAAGTGGCCATATGTTTTCAAAGAGTTGTCACTACCTTTTTCTTTGAATGATGCAATTGTATTAACACTTGACAAATGAGAAATCGTTGTGTGAATAATTAATGTAAACGCTGAAAATATCATGCTCTTATTTTGCTGGTTGTACAGGATTTTGAGCTGACATCCAAGTGTTGCTGCCCCGGTGGATGCGCTTCCGTTACCCCTACCAAGCACAGTCCTAGCTCTGGCGGCATCAGTGTAGGATCTGTCTTGTGCATCATGTAAGGAAGTTTCACAAAACCTCAGTTTCGTCTAGTGGTATCAGCTTCAGATTTCAGGACCCTGAAACTACATATAATCCCATAATATGATTCAAGTTTGTAGGAACACAATTTTCAAACCATTCTCTTTTGTCTATTAATTAATTTGTGGGAAATTCCCCCATCCTCATGGAGGGGGTGGGCAGTATCCTCATTCTGCCATGCTCAACAGCTCAGATGATTAATGTAAATGTTTATGTCAACTACACACCATAATTTTTTTTCAATGATTGTTTTTTGTTATTCCAGAGTGGCTGTGCTAATAGTTGTTTATCTGATCGGCGGTGTGCTCTTCATGAAGTTTGTACGCCATGCGGAGGGGAGGGAGATAATACCCAATAGTGACATCTGGGCTGGTCTACCTGGAAATATAAAGGTAAGGCAATGCCTTGTATTCATGAGCAGCTCCATCAAAATGAGGAATGAAGGCAATGATGTAAATGTGTTAATTGAACATAATCGCAGTCAGAGAATATCAACTTCCACTTTACCATTGAATACATAAAGATTTTCAATTTCCAAAGACGTATTTATTATTGTTGTTGAATATGCGACTGTAAATATCAGCTATCACTTTGTTTGAAATCCACATGCATATCTCTAAGTTGCATGAAATTTCTGTTTCAAAACTAATTTTGTTTTCTGTATTATGTTTTCTTTCTGCAGGATGGCTTTATGTTTGTCTTCACTTGTGGAAAGAATTCTGGATACGACACTATGAAATAGTCACAATTTGTTTTTATATATATGTGCGCACTTTAAGGTCAGAAAACACTACACCTTTTTTTATTTCAGTGATTTCTTTTTCATCGTTTTTAGTGTACATGTATATGTGCTTCTTTTTTAGAGAGAGTGCATCGGTAATTTTTCCAGAACCTTTCTGGAAGACTGTAATAAAACTGAAGCATATCATTTAGTTGTCTTCATTTTCATCAGTTTCGTTTAAATGATAATTGTCATGAAGGGTTTCATTCTTTCTAAAACAGTTCATATCCGACAGGAAAATCTCTTCGGAAAAAAAAAATTAAAAAGGAAGAGGTCCTCCTAAGTTCCCAACATTTTCATGGGAGTTGAGCATGTTGAAGTGTACTGCAAAATAGGATTGTGTAATCCAATTGTTTGAGGACTTTTTAAGTTAGATTAAATGTTGCAAACTTCAATATTGAGATTGGTTATGTAGAAGTAGAGGGGATCTTATAAAATACTACTCTCTGTAGTAAACGTGTTGATGATTGAATGGTTCTAATACAGTAATCCATTTAGCTTTACCTAATATTTCATCATTTAAAAAAAAAATATATACTCGCTGTGAAAGTTCCTGGGCATTTTTTCGTATTGAGAAATTTGACCTTGAATGAAATGACCAAGCTTTGAGTTAACACATCATCATTAATTTATTGAACAATACATATACACAGAAATATTACTCGACATTTGTTTCAACAATTAATTATTCAATTACTTTTACTGAACGACACTGGACAAATAAAAACCTTAATTGTGCATATTGCTATCTTTTTCAGAAATGCCAAATAAAGCAATAAAATGTTTTTAAAAGTTTCTTAAAACAAATTATAATACAAATTTACATTGTACATGCATGTTGACAAATAAAAGCTGTGCAAAACAATTTAACTCTAAAAGAAACCAATGTTGTGTGGTACCTCTTTAACTAATGGTGACCTTATCATGTCCCCCCCCCCTCAAAATGTCTATGGTACATCCATCAAATGTTTTCTTACCCCTCCCTTCCTGGCATCAAGATTAGGAGTGTGCATTGGAACTGGGTACCCGAGTACCCGAGCGCTGGTGTTATCGACTAGTTCTAGGGATCGGGTACCCAGTGGCTGATTGTTCAGCCCCTGACTTAATGTGACCTTAAATACAAATGAATGGTGCTAGCAATGCCCTGTGTTTGCAAGTGTTTTCAACTTAAAAGTACCTTGTTTATACTTGCTCAAGCCTAGTGAGAACCAGTTAAAACCCAAACACAAAAAACTTCATTCCGAAGTATGCACGTATTCCACCTGGTGTTCCCATAAACTAACTCCCTAGGCATTTCTGCTGGGCTCAATCCTGCAAAATCCTCCGTTATTTCTTGAATGTGGCCCTTAGAGGGGTCACCACTGTCTCAATCCTGCAAAATCCTCCGGCTATCAACTGTCAATAAGTTGATGCATAGGCAGTGACATCCTGGAGCAGTGCAGAGGATTTCAAGTATAATCAAGGACTAAGAATGAGCATAAACTACACAAGGTCTGGCCCAAGAACTTCACCAGTGCGTCCTCCGAGATCAGCAATGCACTTTTGCCATGTAACCTCAATCCTGTAAATTCCTCCAATTTGCAAAAAAGATTTTGGAGGATTTGGGATGGTTAGGGTAAAAGACCAACGCTGCCTAAGTAAACTGTACATGATGAAATAGTCAGGAACCCGGAGGCCTTCTGTCACGCAACTTGGAGTCCTTTCTGACTTGGGGCCGCCACCTCTTCTCCCTCCATGAAGTCCTCCTGTCCAGTGACAAAAAGTAGAAAATGAAGCAAAAAGCTAGCGTCTCATGACTTTAGAATTTCAAGTTGAAACCTTCAAAACTTTTGTTCCTCTAAACTGTCAAATTGTGTACTAATGGTTTTGCAAATAAGTTTTGGGATCAGCTACTAAAAGTTTGCATGGAGCTATGTGTCCGCAAGCTTGATAAACAAGCAACAAATTAATTAGCTCTTAAAACTTCTCTACAAATTTATAAGCACATACATGTAAGTGCATCCATTCCGTATTACTGCAACCAAGTCACTCTCAAGGACTAAATTAGACTCACCAAGTCATAAATTACTTTGACAATGAGGGAGCAGCTTGGACAGGTTGCTACATCTTCTCCTTGACTTAGCTCCTCCTACAAGACAAGAAAATATATGACGTTACCATGGCTACACACATCGAATGATTGACAAAGCGATTTTTATTCACAATTTTGATTTTTGCGGCATAAAACAAGATTGTGGGGACTGAAAATTGATGCGATCATGTAAAACTGTGTTACAGAATGCTGATATCAAAACACAGCAAATTCACAAGTAGCGGTGTGAGCGTACGTACACATGATGAAAGTAATACTGCAACTGGTCAATGACTTTTCCTACACAGTACAGCGCAATAATCGTAAAAGAAAAGTAGAAAACCGCTTAAAATTTACCTTAGTAATTTCAAATCTGTCACCACATGGACACGGGTAGTGGTAGGTCTCTGTTTCCTCATCATATTCGAAGTCTTCGATTTCGATTTCATCGTGATAAACGGTCATTTTGGCACTATGCAGTTTCACTGGAACTAAGTTGCACTCATCACCACACGTGTGCTGGCATTTAAATTTGTAAATAATGTCGCAACAATATGGCGCCTGGAAAGGATAATTAATCACGTAGTTGGTGCATCATTGGTCCGAATGTGTTCCGTCAAAGCTTTACAAAATTTTCAATAAAGTACGGAATTTTAATGTTACTCTTCCTGGTATTTACACTTTCCCTTTTTATGTTTTGAAATTTAGCAGTTTTGGGAATCATTTTTGAAGAAAAGAGTGGCGATCGATCTACACGGTCCTTTCAATAAAGCCGGTGAGGCGATAATATACGGCTGTTTTATGATAATTGCAACTATGAACATGAAACAGTCCACTTTCGATGCACGTGAAGATGGCCGCCGATTTCAAGTGAGTGCACTGCAGACTGCAGTTTTTAAATGAAAAAAATCGTGTGCTTTTGGACATTAACTTTGTTTGAATATTAACGTTTATGACAATAGAATATTAAGGAATTATCTGTGTGTTTTTTCGCCTTTTTTGTCCTATAGGACTGCTCAACCAGTTGAGTACTACAGAAAGTTTCTGGTAAGTGAATTTCATCATTCACCATCACACGGTCAGTTATACAGAAATCACAGTGCTATGAAAATGACCTAGCTTGTGCTAGCTTAGCCCCATAAATGTGGCCAATTTACTGGACTACCTCCGTAAATGAAGGCCACACTTGTGGAACATGTACCTGAAAATGTAGAACTTTGTCAAGGTTTTGTTTTCAAATTGAGACTTTATTTGTACTTTATTTACGCTTTGATTAAACTAAGTCTACGTGTGATTGATTCGGGAAAGATTGTAGAGTTCAGGGAAAAAATGTTGCAACCTGACGCCACTTCTGAGATTGTGTAAAAAGTCTAACTTTATGGAGAGTCAAGAAAATTGTCTGAGACTCTGAGTATTTCCTAACATTTTTGCAATGAATGACCTTCATTGAGATGATTTATAAGAAAAAAGTAGCGTCAGGTTGCAACATTTGCATAGTTGTGTACAAAATCTGGGGAGTCATAAAGTTGGCTTATTGTTTCAACGAGCTGTGTACAATTTGTTGTTTTGGTTTTTTTTTCAACAATTACTTCAAATACTGTCAGTCCATTAAATGTTGGCCAACAGATAGTGCCAGTGGATGAAGCAAAGTCTCAAAGTTTCTCGTTTAGGAAGATTAAATTGTGCATGAAATTTGCACTAATTGGCAGGTAACCGTGTTTGAACAATTCTCCATAAATTATTCACAAACAGAAAGAAGATATCCGCCCAGATGGCAGAGAGTTGGGGAAATTCGCCCAACCATCCTAAATGTTGGTGAGTTATTGTCCAAGCAATTCCACATATTTTTATGACGTAGATCAAGTAGTCTGTTGTCTATAAAAACAAGTATTATAATTATCATTTCCTCGATAATTTCTTAAATATGGAGCAACATGTAGTTTTTCCCCTGTCTTTTAATTTATTCAACTGCTGCGATTGTCTTTTTGTTATTTAAAATTGGAGTGCACCTTATTTGGGTACAGAAAATGTGTTTTTGTTTACTTCATCTGTGGTGTATTTTCTTCCTTGAGTCAGGTTCCATAACAACTGCAGATGGCTCGGCACTGGTGAAGCTTGGGAACACGACCTGCATCTGTGGCATCAAGGCAGTGAGTGAATCCCCTAAAACATCACGTAGTTGCATTCCTGTTGCATCAAATAAGATATTTCACCCAGTAACTGCATGTTGAGCCTAAACGCTTTAAAGGGAAAATACAACATTTGCAAACATCGAAAAATAAAACGACCAAGTTTTTACGAAATACCTTACAGGATGTTGGTAAATGACAGTCTAAAGCATCCTGTAAAATTATGGCACCTGGTGTGAAGTCATTATCAAGGAAATTGTATTTTTGTATACATTTCCAACGGTGGTCAGCTGACCACCTTAGGAAAAACCTAACTATTTTTCACTACTGCTCAAAATTTACCATTTTCTTCAGTCCAAATTTTGTTTGCTATTGGTTTCATGTTCATGAATGGGTGCAGGCCAGCTAGACTGGTTCCCTTATGGTACAATTTTCCGGCATCTGTAAATTGATCCATTTCATCTTCAGTGGAGTCAGGGAACCAGACTACTTGAACGTTTTTGTTTGTCCTTGGTTTTTCCAGCATTTTCGAAAACAAAACTTCAAACATGTCAGTGTAACAATAATTTGATCTATAACCCCTCAAATAGTTCATTTCTGAAAATTAAAGCAAAAGCCAATGATGTACATTCCCTTTAACTTTCCTATGCAACATATCCACCTGTGCCAAGGTGTCCTTTTAGTCGAAATTAATCAAGTGACGTACTGTTTTAAACGGTTAAAGGGAATATACATCATTTGCTTTTGCTGTAATTTTCAGAAATGGTTGGAATTGGGGGGTTGGAAATATAAAGCAAATATAGTTACACTGACTTTTTGGAGGTTTTGGGTTCGAAAATGCTATAAAAACCAAGAAAAACGATCATTTTCCTGTAGTCTGGTTCCCTGACTCCATATAAGAAGAAACAGAGCAGTTTACATACATTGGGGAATTGTAAGGTTAGGGAACCAGTCTAGCTGGCTCGTACCCGTTCATAGGTTTGTAATCGATTGTAAACAAGTGCGATGGTCAATTGGGGCCAGTATTTGAAAAAAAAGCCAGTTGTTTCCAACGCTGATCGGCCGATCAGCGTTGGAAATTGATACAAAAATAACACTTTTCTTGAAAATGACAGTATACCAGGTGCCATAATTTTACAGGATGCTTTAGACTGTCATTTACCAACATCCTATTAAGGTATTTCGCAAAAACTTGGTAGTTTTATTTTTCGATGTTTGCAAATGTTGTATATTCCCTTTAAAAGCTCCCAGCCTACATATTGCAGGATTGACTGTTAATGTAACTTGATACAGCTATGCTTTGACTGTAGGTGATTGATAAGCCAGCTGTGCCTACAACTTGTCTGCTATTGTCTGTTGACTGAATTTGACTAGTCACAGTGCTTGCTTGAAATACGATCTGACTGTTGGCGACTAGCCTTTGTAAAATGCATGGCAGGGGAAGAGGATTGATTTTCAACTGTCTGTGACTGTTCAGATAGCAGGAGGGTTATTAATGCACTGATCAGTTCTATTGATTTTTAACACCAACATTACATGTACTTGTATGTAATCATGTTTTGACTTTATCTTTCTCTCTTTTCTGAGTGATCCGTGATTGCAATTTCTAAGATACCAACTTTGTTTTTCAGGAATTTTGTACGCCGAAAGAAGACCAACCAAAGTGTGGAATTATAGGTAAACAGATTTTCAATATCTTTTCTTGGCGTTTTGTCCATTCTCCTGGAGAGTATTGTTTTGCCTTAGACGTTATGCACAGTAATTGATGTAGCACCTGTTTGTACCCTATATTTCCAGTTCCCAATGTGGAGCTACCCCCGTTGTGTTCCTCTCGCTTCAAGCCAGGCCCTCCCAGCGAACAGGCTCAGGTTGTCAGTCAACTGGTTGCCGACGTCATCAGCAAGTAAGTCCATTTATCTGTCACTTGTTAGGACCTTAAAAAGTGGCATTTCATCAAAAACAGATCTGTTCCTAACGTTCTTTCTAATCCATTCATGTCCACTTTCATACGTCCTGAACATCCGAACCTGTGAATCTTTGCATGGTTAGAACTTTTTACCTCATACTTTTAGAGATACGTTTTCTTGCCTTGTAAATCTGTCGTAAATTTTAAAGCATATCTTGGGTTTTTTTTGTTACAGTGCCAGAAGCATTGATCTAGAATCTTTGTGCATTGTTGAAGCAAAGGTGAGCATACGTTTAGATTAATTAAAGGGACACTAGGTCCTGGAACAGCCCAATTGGGCTACAAAACGCGCTTTGAACGAGATTATGTTGATCGGAAAGAACATTTAAAACTAGGATAGAAACATCCACACAACTATCCTTTAAAAACTGGGCGTTTTTGTGTTATTCCTGTATTATGCGTGCGAGAACGAATTTCGGAGTCCACTTTTGCGACCCCATAAATTTGAGCCGTTTGGATGCTAGTTGTGATTTTATTCGTACGCCTGAGTGTTCCCCTTTTGCGGACGTTGAAGAAACCAATTTTTTTTTGCATTGGTGATTGGTCACCGCAGTGTTCCCGAGACACACAAACGTGTATATCGTACACTGTATGAGAACGACATGAAAAGCGTATGCGTACTCCGTCGTGTCCGATTTAAACAACCGGGTTTTTTCCGTCTTTTCTCGGGAATGGTAAGACATTAGGTTGGTTTCCTTTCAACCACATGTTTGAAATAGGATAAGTAAACAATCCAAAACATGAAATTTTCGGGGATTTCAGGACCTCGTGCCCCTTTAACCAAAGACAAACAAAATCATTGCCCACATTTACAGATCTACTCCATCTGGTCTGTCCAAGTGCATTTACTATCATGCCCCGACGCCAAACTTTTTCTTCTTTTTGTTTGCAGCTATGCTGGGTGTTGTTCTGTGACATTGTATGTCTTGACTATGATGGGAACATAGTAGATGCCTGCCTGGTAGCACTTATGGCAGCACTTAGAAATGGTGAGTTGGACAGAATCTGTGACCAAGCCTAATTTTACATTTAAGCCCATTTTTACATTCAGTCTTTACAATTACATGTATATGTTTGTAAATTTGTTTTGATTGAGGTAGGCCATAAGTAGATGATTTGCTGTTCCAATTCTTAACCACTTCGCGCCGGGATTATATTGACATTGACCGGACCCAGGCGCGGGATTGTTTTTCACAAACCTCGATGCCAGACAGTTTCAGGTCGTCATCTGTGGGTAGCACACCCTGATATTTCCAGCCTCGCTCGCTGCGAGCGGGTTGCAGACAGATATTTCCGGCCTCGCTCATTGCGTGTTTATCCATCATCCGTTCCGAATACCAAAAACTCTGCATGTATACACGTCATCTGACCTGTACTGTTTAATTGGCTTTTTCTTTTCACTAATATTGTAGTGTTGCTACCAGAGGTGACTATAGATGAAGACACGCAGCTTCCAGTCACGACGTCAGACAAGACGCTGCCCCTCACCATCCACAACACACCTGTGGCTACCACCTTTGCCATCTTTGACGAGTGAGTAACCTGCCTTTGTTTTTTTTATTCCCAGACCAAAAAACACCAACCCCAACAAGTTCTTCATTTTGTTAGCTTTTGTATGTTTGCACACAACCTAGCCTTTTCACAAATCAACTCTCTACTTATTCATTCTCTTAATGACAATTAAATGTGATACGATCAAGCTAAATGAGTCGTTTGTCGGGAATACAGGCCAAAATAGGGCCACTTCATCACATCACTTCATCACATCTCTTGGTGTTCCGACTTCCATATTTTTGTAACTAAAGATGGTATCAGCATGCGGTTTTCACAGCAGTAATGCTGAGATTGAGCTCTTTTGAAATCTGTAATAAAAATTTTTTTGACCAGGGTTGACAAACGACTCATGTAGCTCGATTGCATCACAAATGATATTCAAAACTCCCATTCTCTGTGATTGCAGTTCTATTTTACTGGCCGACCCAACCAATGAAGAAGAATGCATAGCAACTGGTGAAGTGACCATCGTGGTGACTGAGGATGAGAGACTTCATGCAGTACACAAACCAGGTAGTATTTTTTATAAGCACCTGTAAGTTGATGCTTTGTAATTTTTGATTACTAACCTTAACTCTAACGTACCTGAATCCATCAAAATCCATACCCCTGTTGGAGTATTTCGGCGGAGTCAGGATACCTCCATATTTAAAAAGTTGGGAGATTTTGATGGATTCAGGACAGTAAGCCTAGCGGTACTGCAGGATTTTGATGGATTCAGGATACCTCCATATTGAGCAGTTGGGGGACTTCGATGGATTCAGGATCTCAACAGTTTAACTCCTTGGCTATATGTTTGGTGTGTATGAGGTGTATGTACTACACGGGTGGATTCTGATGCACTCAGGACACCAACATTTTTTGCATGACAATCGATGGATTTTGGCGGATTCAGGATACTTTCTAGTAAAAATACCCAAGGGGTTAGGGTTAAATGACCAGAAACTATCGATTGACCTTCTCTCTTTCGCCTACAGGGGGCAGCCCACTATCTGCTGACCAGCTACAAGACTGCATCACGAGAACACAAACCCGATCCCAAGAAGTACAGAGGCTGATACAAGACACAATTATCAGTGTAGAGAGATGAAAGAAGTCAGGTTTTTTATTGTTTTATTGTCTGAAAAGGTTCAGATATTACATTTTTTTCTTTTTAACCCCTAAAAAGTTGTTAAAGATTCAAGGTTTGTGCTCGGCAAAAAAAATATAATGCACAATTTTTAGGGATTCTCGCATGTCACACTTGATAAGGAATCAAAATATTTCTGCCAAACCAGGTGGATTAATTTTTACTTTATTAATTTCTTTACTTGAGTTTATTTCAGGGCCCCCTCAAATATTGAACATTTCTTTAACATTTAGTGTCATTAATGGTCGATGAAATGTCTAATTGTGCAGCGTGAAATAAAACAAATACTTTTCTATACATAAATTTGTTCATGTGCTTGTTCACTAGTGCCTTACTTTGTTTCAAAATACAATTGAGTACAAGTTTCAGAATTTGTTGACAACAGAATTTTATAAATGTTAATATCAGATTTTTTGCAGGTTCTTAGCATTTGAAGTTCTCCCTCCAATGTTTTCATTCTTCCTGCCACAATGCGATAAAAATAAACATTCAAAAATATAATTGAGGAAACAAGGTGGCTTTAATCGAAACTTAAGCACACAAACTGACAAAACCCTACAAATTGGACTATAAAAATGCTTCTCTGTTCCGTAAGCACCAAATTGAGAAAATCTTATTTCTTAAGACCATTCTGACAAAATCCTTTATCATGTCTGGGTAACCTTTTTCATACATGTTTTATTTGTACGCTTGAAATTCAGCAGGTCATAAACGGCTAATTTTAGTTGAAGCTGAACTATCATTTTTTTACCAGTAAGTAAAAAAAAAACCAATTATTTTCTCTCTAAAAAATTGGAAATGAAGGCCTTTTCTACACACTGGATTTACATGCAACAACCAGAACTTGTGTCTTCACTGAAATTTATGGTAAAAAAATGATATATAAAATCCAAATTGTAAAAATTCAAGCTGAAACACTGTTGATCAACATTTTGATGCATAAAAAATGTATAAACATGAACCATTTACACTAACATCTCGTATCTGCTGTAAGTTATAAATGACATTACCACTGAAATTTATATAAAAATCTTCATTACTGAAATGTCCATGATTACGAATACCCATTCTTCATCTACTATACTTGACGAATTCACTGGTGCATTTATCTTCTATAGTGCATAATAAGTTCTAAGAAAAAATACTACAAGTGTCAATACTTTCGAGAAGAAAAATAAAATATACTATAAAAAGGCAACGTATGCAGACTGCATATTCTGAACATGTACTTGATAATTACTCTTGTGCAAACTGTACACTGTGAATATGAAAACAATTGCACACATATTTATCAAATCGGGCGATTCACAATGCAGTGCGCCACCAAGAGTTTGCCACGGAGAGTTCATTTTTCCCAGTGCATTGTGGGAGATGGTCGACAAATTCGCAGCGCGGGACATTTGAAATTGTTGGTTTTTCCAGTCAGTAGTTTCGTAAGCGTATGATTCGAGTATCTGTTTGCCCTTTTGTTTTCTTTTTATCAATATGGTGTTTTTTTAAAGGCGGCAGAACGCTTTGCCCAAATCTATAACAAATTAGCTCAAGTTGTCTACTGACACTCATTCAAATTGTTCATGTTTTGTCGACCACAAACTTGAAAAATAGACTCTCCATGGCAAACTCTTGGTGGCACACTGCATTGTGAATCGCCCGAATTACGTAGCATTCCAGAACGTCGTCTGCTTTTGCATTTTCGGCGAGCATTTTCTTGTGAATATTTACATACGAAAATTTGAAACTGGAAAATGCACTCACATTTTACCACAAAGCATTGACAACAACGCTGTATGTGGTTTGTTTCGTACAGTCTCACCTAGATTTAGCAGGGATGGACACACATTGCACTGTGTAAACTTATCTTGTTCAAGAATGTACAGTTAACTAGCCCTTTTGGCATGTAAATACCATCCAAGTTAACCAGTTTGCGCCGGATGACGTGTATACACGCAAAGGTTTTGCGGTATTCGGAACGGATAACAGATAAACACGCAGCGAGCGAGGCAGGGAATATGAGTGTGCTGCCCGAGGGCGATGGCTTCAACCCGCCTGACATTGCGGTCGAGTGAAAAGTAATCCCGCGCCTCGTTCCGTTCTTGTCAAAATATTACCAGCGTGACCTGGTTAAACAGAAACGGACCAGTTGATGTACTGTACATGTACCAATATAACTTTATAACACATGTATATATGGCAAAGTGAATTGAGCATAAATTGTGTCGAAGAAGCAATGTGACCAGTATGCAAATTAAGCTCGGGAACCGAACCTGTTTAAACAGAACCGTTTTGCAGCCCACCAGCGAGACGTATGCACTTCACTTTGGTGGAGTTGGCGTGGTTCTTTTCTTGCTTTTCCCTTTGCTGCTGGCTGCATGTTGCTGTTGCTGCTGTTGTTGCTGGCGCAGTAGCAGTTGTTGCTGCTGTTTCTGGAAAGCCAGCTGTGCATGCAAGTGCTGTTGCTGTTGTTGTTGTTGCTGTAGGGCTTGCTGGTGGGTGGTGGTGAGCTGAGGTAAGCCCGCTTGTAGACCCTGGATGCGGGTAGCGAACAAAAAAGCGATGAGTGAAATCACTGATTACCGATTTTCCACAAACTTGCAGTTTTTCTAGGCTGCAGGAGTTTGTTATAGGGAGGAAAATGTGAAGGCATTGCATGGTTTTCTAGGGGTTAGTGAGCTATCTGCACATGAAGTGTTGACTGTGTATGGTTCACATCAAAATATTGAACCTTGATTTTGCTTGAAATTTGTATTTTCCACTTCTTGAAGTGGTTTAACATGTATCTGAAGCTGCCACGATCTGTCATCCACGAAACTAGTTAGTCAATAACATTTGAAATTCGCACTTAAATCATGTTGAAGTCAGTAATGCGTTTGCTTAATATAAGAATGTTGTTTTTGAAAACCTAAGTTCTTGTAAAAGAACAGTAAACTAAATTTCATAGTTTTGACAAGCTATTTACAGCTGACGCTGACAAACATCTTCAGATTTATTTTAGTTAATCTGATTCTTTAGGACGAGCAAAGATATTTAAGCAGAATTGGACCTGTGATCCCGATTCCACTGTACTAGTAACAATCCACCCCTATGTTCAAATACTCGTAAAATATACCTCAATTTCTTGTGCTACCTGATGTTTATCATACCGTTAATTTTGTCAGTTTCCCCCATGTCTCCAAATAATAGTTCGTGTTACCTGAATCGCAGTTAGCTGTGACAGGACAGTAGCAGTCTGTGATGCTCCCAGCGTGGGGACCACGGTGTTCTTAGCCCCCACGCTACTACCAGCCTGCTGCTGTTGCTGTTGCACGTTTCCCCCTTGCCGCTGGGACTGGCTGGCTGCTGTGGACTGCTGCAGCTGTTGCTGTAGTTGCTGCTGCAACTGTTGGTGGATTCGCTGCTGCAGGGTTGCATTGTAGATAATGGCCTGCTGCTGCCCTTGCTGCAATATTAAAAACAAATAAACATTTTGGAGTAAGTACTAAAACACAACTTTATCCTCATGTTGATACATGGGTACTTTTTTCTAAATACGAATCTGAATATTGACAGCTCATTCTGTTCTGCTTAAGCTTCAAAAGTAATTTCTCTTGTGTATTGTTTCCATCAGTTTTATATTTAATGACTGAAAAAAGCAGTGCTCACTAAAAACAAATATCAATTGAAAACTTGTACATGTAATTCTAAAACATTACATTTTCTTTATATATTCAAATGGCATCTCCAGGGAAAGTAAGTCATAAAAAAATACTTTCTTTTTCAACATTGATGTTAGACAATAAAACCTACTGGAAGCAGTGACAGTGGCCCCTGAGTTCTCAGCCCACCAGATCCCTTCAGCTGCGCCAGCCTGGCAGGTGAGATGCCTGTCGCTGCCGCTAGCTGCGCTCCCGTCGACAGACTCACCGAGCTGGTCCCCAGCAAACCTCCCTGGCCAGCATTGATGATGTTGATGGGTCCCGTCAGGAGACCCGCGGGGGTGGATATGATACCAGCCTGGGGTGGTGAGGATGTCGTGGTGGTGGTGAGACTAGAAGTCACAGCGGCGGTTGTGGTGGTGAGATTGATCACGTCTGAGGGGAAGCCGGAGAGAGTAGTCATGACACTGATGGGTGAGCTGATCAGACCGCCGGCCGTCTGCACAAGACCTGTGGATCAAAGAGGTGAATGTTAACAAAACATTTTCGTGATCAGTAAAATAGAACACATCATCCGAAGACAAACTATTGCCTTAGGTGAACTTCACTTTGCAAACTTTCAAATCTTATCTGCTGGTTCTGACTTTTGATGAATACAGTAGAGCCACTAAACTTCATAGTTTAAGGGGAATGTACAACATTTGCTTTTGCTGCAATTTTCAGAAATAAATGAATTTCGAGGATCAGTATGTTATAGCAAAAGTTGTTAAAATGACTTGTTCCACGTTTTGGGCTTGTAGATGCTGGAAAAAACCAAGAAAACCAATCGTTTTCTTGTAGTCTGGTTCCCTGACCCCACTTAAGATGAATCGGAGCAATTTATAGACTTTTGGGTATTGTAAGGTCGGAGAATCAGACTAGAAGGCTTGTACCCCTTCACAGGTGTGTAATCACTTGCAAATAAAATGCGGAATAACTAATTAGGAAAATTAGGAGCAGTTTTTAAAAAAAGCCAGTTTTCTCCAACGCTGGTCGGCCGACCAGCGTTGGAAAAATAACATTTTTCTTGAAAATGTCAACACTTCAGGAGCCACGATTTTACAGGATGCTTTAGACTGTCATTCTCCAACAATCCAGTTAGGTATTTCGTGATAATTTGATCATTTCGTTTTGTGATGTTTGCAAATGTTGTATCTTCCCTTTAACCCTTTCATGCCCACATTGTTTATTGACTTGGCTCTCCCCAGGACCGAATTGTTTGCTCAGTCATGCGGAAATCACTAGAGCGTGAACAAACTGACCACAAGTCCAAAACTTACTTTTTTCAACCCAGATTTTCACTGCCAAGAAGTGATTAAAATCATAGGTGTTGTGTGTAAAGTTTGTTCCTTGAACCTTACTCTTTTATCTGATGTAAAATGAAGTCCATATGCGCAAATATAAGAAAGTTATGCCTTTTTGTTCATCTGGTCCCATTTATCAAACTGCAAGCCATTTTACCACATGACCAAATGGCACTCCATACCTCAAATTGTGCATGGATACTTCTGAAGCACTTTTCTCATTTTTTTGTAATGGTAACCCTATAAATAAACTACACCATTAGAAAGATCCGAAAACACTCTTTCAGCTAGTATATGGTTGATGTATGGGCGGCCAAACATATCAACATACCGACTTTCTGAAAAGTAGTGAATATATCTGTGTTGAGGGTGTTTTGTGTGTGGTTTCCTGGTCGACTAAAGTCGCCCATGGGAACCAGCAGGGGGGTAGTTCTTGTCGACAAAAGTCGCCCATGGGAAGGAAAGGGTTAAGGCATTTTCCAATTGTTTCCGAACGGCATAAACTCGGTCACCAACCAAATCAACAAATGAATGGGGAGATCACATTTGATTATAATGCAGGACATATACTTGATTGTTGGTTTTATTAAACAAGTGTCAAATGCAAGAATATTTACACCATGTGCAATACAGCTTGAGAACTTCTTTTTTTCTGTAGAGCCCAAAAAACCCATGATACCTGCTTGTGAAGGAGCAACCAGTCCCATGGAAACCGGCACAGCAATACTGCCCCCGCCAGCCATGGTGATTGTCACCGCCACGCTGTGAGGCAACAGCCCTGATTGGCTGTTCACTATGCCGGTGGGCGTGGTCACTCGTCCAGTCACGCCCTCTAGGGTAGGTGTGGTCACTCGCCCGGCCACGCCCTCTAGAGTAGGCGTGGTGACACGGCCTGGGATGGGGAGGATGCTAGGGGAAGGCGAGGCGGGTGTGACTGGGGCTGATGGAGTTGAAGATGGAGGAGGTGTCGGAGGCGGGGCCATGGAGCCAGATACTGTATAGTAAAAGGACAGGATTGAAATCACATGAATATGCATGAAGGAATATATGTTTAACAATTAGCTTTCCACAAGAATACGTGGCACACTATCGAAATCAAAGGGCCTACGCAATAGCCTTGTTTTGAAGTAATCATTTTTGTGTCTCATTTTCTTCTTATTCAGTCTTTTTATGTACATTTCTAAGGTGAGTCTTATTTGTTTTATGCAAATAGACTATCCATATTCATGAGCAAAACGGGGGTTGTCTGCAACTTACATGGGGATGAGGCTGGTAGGGAAGTTGGAGTTCCTTGAGGTGAAGCCATCATAATACTGCCATCTGGAGGGGCGCTGCTAGCCCTAGAGAAGAACACAAAAAACTTATGTTTCTATGCAAATATGTAAAGTGCTTTTGGTCCCAAGCTGGTCATGTCTGATTACCTTTGAGAGATTCCTTTAGAAGAGATTATCAGTTGTTCAAGAAAACATTAAAAAAAACAGTAAGGTTATGAAATCAGTTTTACCTGGACAGGTTAAGGTATGCAGGTGGCTGTCTGCCTGCTTTATGACGCCCGCTGCTGAGTGGTGGGCTGAGTATAGGCACAGTTGGTTGAGTCTGAAGCTGCTGCTGTTGCTGCTGTTGCTGCTGTGCTGCTGCAGCAAGGGCTATTGTACTTGCAGGAAACAGTTGACCTGTAAATCAAAGTAACACCAATTTATTACACACTTAAATCTGCTTTTCTGACTCATTAAGGACATAATCTTTGGGGCAGTGTTTCCCCCTGCCCATTCAAACATGAGGTGGCCCACCTCGCTACTTTCGGTGGCCACCTCACTTAATTTTTGCCAATATCACCACCTCGCTGTGAATATTTACAATATCAGTTGAAACATTTTCATTTTGTGTAATTTATGAGCGTTTTCCTTGACCTCCATGTATCAAGAACTCACAATTTTGATGTGTTTTTGGAATCATCGTGTATTTTTTTTTAGCGCTGCATTCTTTTCAGTTTGCAGACTGTAAATTTAGTTTCAATCATCAATTTGAATTGTTACCACCTCGCTCAGTTCATTAGCCAGGGGAAACACTGCTTTGGGGTGGGTGTATGGATAGAATACTGGTTAAAATTTTTGAAACACCCATGATTTCACTTCCACAAGGAACTTAATAGGATTTTTGATTCGGGCATTTGGGTCTATCCTGGTTTGCTCTCACCTGGAAGTGAAGTCTGTGTGACTGGGCTGGCGAGGCTTGGGTTCAGGCTACCTGAGTTGTTGATGCCGAGAGACAACCTGAGGGTGTTGCTGTCTGGCTGCCCAGGCTCCGTCTGCAAAAGGTCAAAGGTCAGAATCATATTTGAAAATAACTTGCCATACCATCTTGCCATGATTTCACACTACGTGATTTTGTCATGGGCTGCAACAGGGAATTCTGTATAAGTAGTAACTGTTGGCCAAAATACTTTGCAATTCTAGTACACCAAGACATCGTATATTGTTAAAGTCAAGTCCACTAATATTTTCTGAAGGGTAGCTTGTGTATAATGCTACTAGATTTTGTGACATCAGAAACTTTACATCTTTCAAATGTTTTGACATGATTCTAAATACTTATTTATTCCATACCTTGATGGAAATACCAGCGTTCTGTCCCGTCTGGTTATTGCTGTTGTTCTGCTGCAGTGAGGCCTGCATTGCCGTGCTGCTGCTGCTGCTATTGCCAGCTGCACTTCCTTGTGTTGCACTTGCCGCTGACGGCCCAGGCATGGCGTTGTTGGCGTACTGGTTCTGGCCGGGTACTATGCGAGTAATCTTGACCTGACGACGACCTTCTTCGGTGAACAAGTCTCGGAACTGATGCAAATACCTACAGTGACGAGATATTTATTATCAATCAAGTATTTTCTTAACAATTGCCATTTTTCGGTTAGGCATAACCAACTTCCTATTTTAATAACATGAATTAAAATGTATACTTACATTTGTGCATTTTTAAATGAACCAAGTGGAAACCTGTAGTAAAAACAATTCAAACATATCAGTTAATATCTCAAAATCACCAAAAATGAAGACTCATTTAGTGCTTGCTTGGGTGGCATAAAAAGGACCAAAAATTTGGAGTGTTAAGTTACAGGAGACAATCAGAACTGAGTGATGGAAAGCGAAAAGGCAAACTGTAAAATATTTTTAAATGGTCTGGATTTTCCCTTGGATGGCTAGAATATTGTGGAGGGAATAAGCCAACTATCTACAAAACATACAAATATAAAGTCTTGTTCCTGTCCTCTTGTTTGAAATGCTAGAGAAAGGAGAGAACCAGCCTATCTTTGCATACAAAATATACAAAAGCTTGGTCAAGTTCCCGGCCCTTCTTTGCTAATGTTGTTAGGCCACGTAGCACTCGTTCGTTCACACACAAACCCAATACCTGCATGTGACCCCTGGCCTCTTGCCCTCATGAATATTGTAGTCCCGGTCATAGTACAGCTCGCCCACGTAGCTCTGGTCCTGCTGGTGCTGGTGGATGGAAACGCGGGCGTAATGCACCTTGCCGTTACCCCTGTCTGTCTCGAGAATCTCCTCCACTGTTGCTGTCTACAAATGTTAATCATAAAACGATGATGCTTTGAAGACAAATACCAGACATAATAACACAAATGCGAGCAGAATCTGTACAGTACATGAACTGTACAGTATTATGACTATTAGGGTACATAGTTTTCCATCTTGACTGCTGTTTTGTCTTGATTGCTGTTGTTTGACAACAATAAAAAGCACTGCTGATTGTTTATTGTACTTACAAGTGAATTATCTTTTGGTCTTGGTCTCTCTTGACATGTAGCATGCTGCTCAACCTGTTACAGAAAATCAAACTTGTTCTTTTCACTAATGGCAATGGTAATAGTTATTAAAATACCTGAAATGTGATTTTTTTTTTCTTTTATCAAAAAGCAAGTTTTTTTGGTTTATTTTATAAAAAAATAACTATTAAAAATGTAAAGTATGGCAACCAGAATGTTGAATTTTTACATACATGTACAAATGTATACTGCAATTCAACATACTGGTTGCCATACTTTACATATTTAATAGTTATTTTTTTGTGAAATAAAACCAAAAAACTTGCTTTTTGATACATGTATGTAAATAGTTAGTACAATTTGAGCAAACTTAATACATGTATTGAGAAATAATGACCTGTTTATGCAAGAATGGTTCAACAGGTTTTTTTCTCAGGTTCTTTTCAGAACCTCACATCTTCAAAAGAGTTATTCTCCACGGTGTCCCCGCAAATTCCACCTTATTGATCTCCACCATGCATAGCTTCAAGTCTTACTTTAATGGTTCAACAGGTTTATTGGAGAAGGTGCGTATTTGTCACCGTTTTCAACATTGAGGAACTCACCATGGAAACATCTGCAGCTGTGTGGTCGATTTCTCTCTGCCGCCACATATCAACACACTGTTCAAGCAGAAAAAAAGAACGGAACAAATATAACTCAGATACAAACAAAACTCCCTCATAAAAATTTTGCTGTACTGCTGTTCTTTTTACTCTCTTGTGTTACTCTCATATATTATATTTTAGAGAGGGTTTCTGGCCTTTTGTTTTTGGGTCATTCCAATAGAAACATTCTCATACCGTCTTGCCAACTTTCAAGTTGACAGGTACAGCCGGCGTCCTGTCCTTGCGACGGGAGAGGAAGTCAATCAGACCTAGCTCCTTGGGAGCAGGCAGGGTCTTGAGAATAGCCTGCCGTGACCTCATGATGCGAGAATGCCTCTTCATACACCTGTCGGTAAAACAAGTTTTTGTAACCTCACAATCTACTTTTAATGTGAAACACTTTCTTTAATCAACACGTGATTCTTTACAGTCTGTTTTTATTGCCACTTCATGAAGGAAAACTTGAAATTGTATGATTAACTGTCCATATACAATTAACTAAAATGTTGCTTACATTAAATACAGATAATTAGTGGCCATCTAGTGTAGACCAAAGTTTTTGTAAGTCCTAGCTCCTAGGATAATGAAACCTAGAGACCAAAGACAAATTCTTCTAGAACTTAAAGCAGGACTGTTCTTATCAGAACAAAAACTACTTAGCGAAAGTTGATAATAAGCAGGACAGGTTCTTTTCAGAACTAAATATCTTCTAAGCAGTAGTTATTACCACATGGTGTTACCGCAAACCGAAACGATACCGATACTCCAACAAGCAAAGCCTCAAATCTTATATGAAACCTAACTCCCTTGGTTTTTGGGCTAGGAACTTTCCGGAATCCTGTGACAATCACCCACAGGAAACTAATGGCAGTTCTTTGTACCTTAAAATTTTAAGGCACATCAAGTAAAATGTAAAGTGACATTCGATTCTACCTTCATCAATCCTTCCTCAAAACCGCCTTGAAGGATCTCGGAGAAATAGGGTGAAAGACAATCGTATCTTTATTGATCCTGTCGTTTTTTTTTTATAGGACTTTGTCACGGTACCTTTTGAGTGGTCTGCCGTTTAGCCTATGCCTGTCTTGATGTACTTTATTCTCTATACAGGTGACTGCTATAGACGGCTCTAAGCAAAGAGGCTCTTGGGTGGCTAGGAGTAACTGGCTCTCAAGATGAAGCTTCTCGTCCTTCAAGACAAAGAAAGAGATGTGAAATCACTTACAAGATTTTTAAGTCTGCCATCAAAAGATTGCACAATTGGTATGTTGAATACATTATTCTCAGATTAATATAAAATACCCTGAAAAAATTTAAAAGAAAGTCGAAGGTAAGTCATCAACTTACATTTGTGAATCTTTGGCCTTCATTCACGATGGAGTTTATGTCACAAAGCAAAGTCTGAAATGAATGGTTAAAAAAACATTATTGTTCAGATCTGCAAGTGAACGACAGAATAAAATGAAATCAGTGAAATCAGTTGAGAAATCTGATATACTGATTTGGAAATGACAACTCAAAAATAGCTGAAAAATTTAGTAGCCCTTCATTAACCTTGATCGTTACCTAAATAGCACCCTCTTAAGTGAATGCGCACATTTTGTTCCCTATTGTGCACATGTCTCCACAGGGCACCGTGGACCAGATCACTGAGCAAGTAACACACTCACCTGAGCAGTTGGTCTAAGCAGCACGTAGCGCGTGGTGTAGTTCTGTCCGTTCCCTGACTGCCGGTAATCCCTGACCTCGGTGATGACGCAGCCGTTGTAGAAGATGTTGGCCTGAGATTTCTCCAGCAGATCCACAAGTACTGGCGGAAGCTGGAAAGACAGACCCATTGTTTTAAATAAACACTCACATCTCAAGAAACAGAACTATGTGTACATATTAATTCTTAAAAACATTGTGATCATTTTAACATGAATTATATTTACCTCTTCTGCATCCAGGTACTCAAGAAGCTCGGATTCCTGTAGTCATGGAAAATACAACAAACTTGATCAGGTTATTTATTACTTTATAAAAAGCAGACAAGTATTTGAATGATTCGTTTCATCCAGGCATATTCTGATCAAAATACTGGTGGTGCTAATATGTAACACATCACCAGAATAGTCGACTCATTTTTGTATTGTCATTTTGATCAAGATCTACAATCCATCTTTTTCATATTATATAATAATGATTTTAATTGTCGCAATTAAAATCTTACCTCATAAGGAAGCCTCATAGTTTCTGTCTCTGCAATGAAGAAAAAAAAGGTACATCAGTCAGTCAATTGAAGCTAAAAACACACATTTGGTTCAAGAAAAGATAACCTTTAACTCTTATACCCTAGCATCAATAAAATAGATTTTTCCAGCTTTTACACAAATGATGTGTAGGTCACACAGTACCTCAATGTTGACAGTTTAAGGGGGCAGCAAATGATGCTTGCTCCAAACTCCAAAAAAAGTTGATTCTTTTTTGACCTACCTGCCCCGTTTTCTCCTCGCAGCATGAGCGAGTAACCATCGCTGCCAAGGCTGACAATCAGACATGTCAACTTCTCTCTCTTGGCAAGCTTGTCGAGAAGATGCACTCCGGTCTTCAAGTGCTGCAGATAACGGAAAAACAAAATACCATTATTAACCAAATCATACTTCCCTGTTAACCATTTGCAAATAAAAACTGACAATATTCACAGCTCGTCGGAACGTATCTAACCTTATTGCCTGACTTGCTACACTCTTCTGCATACAGCTCATGAAGTCTGTGCTGAAGTGACTTCCTGTAAGAGAATTGTAAAAATGCAACTGTAATATTTTGAAAGTAAAAACCCTGATAAATGTAATGATAAATTAAAAGTGAACCGGAACACTTTGTATGAGTTTTGCAACACTCACAGATAACGTACCATTTACTGTTCCCGACTGATTTTGGCGGCTTTTGGGGTTTGTGTTCAACTTGCTGCAGAATGGCCTGAAACAAAAAGAGAAATATAAGAGTAAGGCCAAAAAAAAAATATTCGGTCTCTGGTCAGACCAAAGTTCCGGAATTGATGCGGCCACGCGGTTTTTTTTTTTTTTTTAAAGCTTGGATTGTACAGACAAGGTGGGTACTATTTTGCTTTTTTTGTGTCCTCATGTACATCGGTGTCCTCCATAATTTGCCTTGGTGCTTTCGATCATTTGCCTTGGTGCAATTTCCCTTTCCTTGGTGCTCTTTGGTAAAAAAAAAATGAGGAGGTGCGGAAATAGAGGGCGCTGTTGGAGCTACCGCGGAACATTTTGTAAAAAAAAAAATCGACGCGCATGATTAAAATCGACGCGCGCGCTGACCAGAGACCGACTTATTTTTTTTTTGGGCCTAATCTCAAATTTATGGACTTTAGCAATGGGTTGATATTCGTTTCAGAAACAAGTTCTGTTTTCCGTCGATGCTTCGGTTCTGCCACACATTTAATCGACAAGTTCAGCAGGAAATTATCGGGTTCAAAAATATTAGGTTTTTTTTAGAAAATCATTCTGAAAGACAGTTTGATCATAATTTAAAGTGTTTAGACAAACCTCAGCCTTCTGTATGGCCTCTTCCATTTCTGATGTCTGGGGAAAAAAGGAAAAGAAAAATCATGGAAAGAATTTGAAAAAGGTGAAATAATCTATTACTAAGATGGGCAATAAATACTGAGCAAACATTCTTACATAAATTTACAAACATTTGACATTAGAAACAAGGCAAGGAGTGACATTAATGCAACGTGTTTGTTCTAATTCTAAAATTGAATGTTTCTAAACTTAAAACATACTCTCATATTGTTTGTATCTGACAAATGCTACAATCAAACTCACCATCTTTCTAAGAAAACGGACGATCTATCCATCTCTCTAATGTCACAAAGGTGCAAGTAACTGGGTTTCCTGAAGCTGTTTCTACAGATCGCTGTAAAAAAAAAAAAATTATCGTGTGATGAGTAAACTTGAAATCATCCCAATTTTTAGTCACAATGAAAATAAAATATTGGAATTACAAAATGGAAGTGTCTATATTACCGTGAACCGGTCCCGAATTTTTCCGTTCTTAATCTGGCACATACTAGCCCAAGTGGACTCCCATACCGCACTATGTTAGTCGTAATGCAAAGAAGAGGGCATCCAAACTAGGGCCTGGCTAAACTGCATACCAACTTGAGTGCTTTGGTATCTCGATTCGTTAAATACTTGACTACCATGTCAAAGGTCCCGGGATCAAATCCGTGCTATGTCAAACCTTATTTTTTTCTCCTGGTTTGTTCTTTTAAGTTTTAATTATAGGCCCTAACTGTTAGGTTCATTTACTTTTATGTTTTTAATGAAATCCTACTTTTTATTGAACTTGATTTCATTTCTTCTTTGTAATCTGTGGCTTTGAACTTGAAGGATATTTTTTTAAAGCGAAATACAGTCCGAGAACCATTCACATGATTCAGTTGATAGTCTGGTTCCAACTTCCAAGAGCCAAAGATCCTGACGTTGTATAGTCAGGGAATCAGACAGTCGACTGCCGTAACAATAGCCACTGCGTAAAATTACATAATTTCAAAAAAATTTCAAAAATAATAATTAAAATTATGGGCGATTTTGCCTCAGATTATTTTTGCTTTGAACTGGGATCATTTGTTATGAACATGCATGAATTTGTGATTAAAAATTCTAAGGAGTAAGAGGAATGAGCGTGTAGTTTGATTATTACGCGCAGTTTGTGTGCGCTCTGCACATCGTCATGATCGACACGAGCATGTCAAGTCAAGACAGTGTTACAGACAAATGTCAGAAACGGACGGAATAGACTTAAATTTCAACTGACATTTTCACAAAATTGAGTGAAATGTCAGTTACCGATCTAGGTGCTCTACAATATAAATACGTTCAATTACCTCGATCTTGATAAATGCTTCAAATGTGATCAGTCTTCTCATCAAACTATGACGTTTTGAGTACAGCTTTTCACTGTTTGACACAAATCATGTGTGTTGCTGGACGTCCATCTTTGTTTACCGGCATGCATTGCGGTAAACACGGAGGTCAACTGAGGTCACTTTCTTAAAGGAACTTTCCGCAAGTGCGACTGCGAGGTTGTCTGTTGTTTGTATTTCGACTGAACACAAATGTTGTTATCCAAGCGTAAAGTATCTTTAGGCCTACATGATATGGACGTGGAGACTGAGAGGACTGGAATGGAGACACTAATGTTCGTGTTCCGTCTGCAAAACGTGCTGAAATGAAATTAGGCGCCAACTTTCTCTGTCAAGTTTTTGTCATGCTCAGATGTATTTAGCCCGAACACGGTGGCCGTCCCCGGACCCCGGTAAGTACTTCTTGTGCTCAGTCATGTTTTTTTTCTGAGTTGAATGTATATACTGTAATGTGTCTTTTCGGACAAAATTATGATAAAGAAGTACAACATAGCATTGTCTGATTGTAGGGATGTGTTTCCCATAGACGCCAACACATATAATTTTAGCATTTCGAAAGTGAACTGTACAGTTCCCCAGCTGACCCCAATTGGCATATTCAGTTCATTGTGTTGATGTAATTGATGATGCTCCCCTCGGGGTCCATGAACATTCTTCATGCGGTCCTCTTTCAGGAGGGCAGTATGGGAAAACAGGAAAGTGTCTCAATTATCAAACAAATTTCAACAGAAGCCCTTCAGCTATGTTCCCAGTCTATATGCTGCTTTTCATTATGTTTGTAAAAAAATAATTATCTCATATCATATAACCGTCCAGAATGACCAAACCCGTGCCAAAAATGTTTCAGCAAAACACATCAACTTATTTCTTGCTAACAATCCGAATAAAGCAAGAACAATTAAACTAACAGCTTGTTAAATTGAAGTTCAAATTTTTTTTTTGGGGGGGGGGGGGTCAGTCTTTCAAGAAAGGGCGTGAATTGTCTTTCTTTCATTTGGCACAGTCTGAAGCAGTGAAAAAACATAGTTTTGCCGGCCGCGCTTTGGGCGGGGCCACCCCCTGCAACAAGCCATTCGCGACGAAAATAATACTTCCCGTGCGTTTGACAGAGCGCCCTCAACGTTACCGTTTGTATATTGCACGAGACTATAGGGAGCGCATGTTGTCTGATTTTAATTTACGTATTTCATTTCCATAAAAATTTACACTTATCTTTTAAGTGCTTTTATGAAAAGAGAGAGAGAAAAAAGTAAATAACAAATAATACGGTCATCACTTGAATCTAAGTTTACACAAATGCCAACAATCAAGTGGCTGAGGCACCGAAGTTTGCCTTATCCGGCCCGAAACCGTGGTTGAACGACTCCTCCCAATATTTATTCAAGAAGTCGACTCAATCGAAGTTCAACAACATGGACTGTGAAAAAAATAGCACACCTTCAAGCACACATCATCGGCTTTTGCTGTCATTTTCAGAAAGGAACTATTTGAGGGGTTAGTATAATAGATCAAATATTGTTACACTGACATGTTTAGAGGTTTTGTGTTCGAAAATTCTGGAAAAACCAAGAAAAAGAAAAATGTTCAAGTAGTCTGGTTCCCTGACTCCACTAAAGATAAACTGGATCAATTTATAGATGCCTGAAAATTGGAAGGTAAGGAACCAGTCTAGCTGGCCTGCACCCGTTCATGAACATGTAACCAATAGCAAACAAAATTTGGACTGAAAAAAGGTAAATTTGGAGCAGTAGTTGAAAAATAGCCTGTCAGGTTTTTCCAACGGTGGTCGGCTGATCACCGTTGGAAATGTATACAAAAATACAATTTTCTTGAACATGACTTCACACCAGGTGCCAGAATTTTTACAGGATGCTTTAGACTGTCATTTACCAACATCCTAGTAAGGTATTTCGTAAAAACTTGGTAGTTTTATTTTTCGATGTTTGCAAATGTTGTATATTCCCTTTCAAGTAACCAGTGCATCCACGACCCTCTTTGAAAGCTATTAAAGAAAGAAAAGAGTGTGGTGTAACATAAGGGTCATTCAATCGAATGTGAAAGCTATACTGGCAGAAAATGCAAAACAATTTGAAAGCTCCGAGAAGGCAGGGAAAATGCAATTGATGTTGAAGCTTATTTTTATAAAGGTTTTGGTTGCACAAATATTGACCGAAACGGGATGGACAATTATTTCCATTGCAGTAAACATCGGTGCCCGCACGCACCCAGACAGTATTTTTAGCCGAAATAATCATGTCAATTTAAAATGTCTCCCGTTTAGCCGAAGTTGTTGAATGATCTGAGCCTTCTCCCAATGAATCTCTAGGCTCTTATCAGTTACTCCAGCAGTATAACCACCAGCAACTTTAATTATGTTTTTCCACTTTTTCCCCCCATTCAAGTAGGGACAGCTTTCCTCTCCAAAATGTTGGTTTGACGTTCGGCAGACATCGAGTACTTGTCGGTTTATGTTAGGCCGGTATTGAAATCAAACATCAATTGTTTCACCCCCTGTCACATGTCATTAAGGATCATTTAGATCGACACAATGTATGCCTGTATTTCCTATGAGCAACAATATGAGATTATTTAAATCGGATGTAGGCTTTTAAGGCGGTACAGTCTGGACCGCCCAACTCACATCGAGCAGTGCCAAGGTCCCATTGAAGGAAAAGAGGTTCGATCCAGATGAAAGAGGGGTGGGGAGTAATTACGTTACACGGAGGGGGTGCACAGGGAAAGGCTTGGCCAAAATATTGTGTCGTCACTGCTTACACCTGTTTTCTTTTACTGATTTTTACTCAGCCCATACATTTTCTGAAATGCGATTCTTGTAACAACAGTTTTTACACGTTTTTTCCACCTAAAAAATACTGTAACATAATAAATGGCGCGCTAAACATACCACAGCTGCAAGGGCAATTTTCCTTCCCAGCAGGATCGTGTTATTTCAGCCCTGGGTGATCCAACTCGATGTGTTTTCCTGAGCAAATTAGAAGGTGTATCATCAACAAGCTTTGATGACTCGCCGGTACTACAATTTCACGAATACCCCGTGCCCCTTTGACCCCTGTGTGTGCCCGGGAAAGCCCTGGGAAGGGGATTTTGAATTTGATCAGAGAAGAGCATATTCCTCCTTCCCAAAAAAAGGTCCACTTCCTCCCTGTTTCCTCTACAAAATCAGAGAAATAGGAAACACGGGAAGTTACGTGGGTATTATCACATTTAATATTATTGGATACTCTATGTCGAACCCTCTCCAGTTAATTTTCCAACAAAAAGATTTTTATTTTCCGCTCATTCATTGTAATACATGTATTGTCAACTCCAATCTGAACTTCAACAACGAATGAATGAAAACACGTCAAATCCCCCCCCCCCCCCCGTGCCGATATTAGGGGAAAAACTATCTGAGAGAAACGTAAAATAAGCCCTACAGTTCTCAACTGTTTATTTAAGCAGATTTTGTAAATTGTTTACTGTTTAGCAGCTGAGTGAACTTTGCACCAGATTAAAGACCTGATGAAATGAGTCCAATATGAATGGGCGGTACAACATGCACTAAATCAAAACTGACTGAACAAGACTAAACCCAACACCCCGCTTCATTACGGACCCCCTCACGGGGCAATTTAGTCAATATCTAGGCCAATCTATCAAGTTTAATGGTCGCTTAATAACGGACGTTTAGAGAACACCTTATTTTTCCAGAGTATACTTGTCTCTCGGGAGTGTGACTTATGAAAAATATTTAAAACATGCTTTGCTGCTTACGAGCTACGACGATGTATTTCACCTTAATTCACTGACCTATCACAGTACTTTCCCAGTTTCTTGGAAAAGGTAATAGGTAACTGATGACGAGAAAGAAATTTCATTACAAAGTTTGGAGCTGTTTTTTATTTGGTTGGAGTCATGGTTCTTTGCTTGCCTTTTAATTTGGTGACTCGGGTTAGATTCCTACCGGGGCCGACGAGAAAACTGGCCTTCGGTCTCCTCTAGTTTTCATGAGTGAAACGAGTTCGTGTAAATTGTAAAAATTGAAAAATCGTTTCTAAGAATGTTTGAAATTTCTATTTAGTCTGGCTGAAATCGTATTCATTATGTTTCAGGTTATTACAGCTGTACTCGCTAGAACAAGTGGACGTTGCGTTCAAAAGGAACATGATTCGGTGAGTTCGTTCTTTTCGTCTTAACACTACAGCTATACATAATATGACAGTTTTGCTAAACATCTGAAACATGTTACTTCCATCTGTCAAAAATCATTTAAGTTGAAACGCACAATTGCAACATTCGCGTAATTAGATTTACTGTGCCGAAACATACCCTACAAAACGAGTGCCCGAGTTCTTTTCACTTAACCCCGACTACTTTGACTAATTTGCCATTCCGAGTAATTTATCAGCTCAACTGGGTTAATTGGCGTGTCGCGGAGGGTAGAGGCGATCGGTGGCATTTGCTCGGCCGTGCGAGCCCCCGTGTGCCCAGCGCTGTTTTCGGTCAGACTTGATTTGCTCGATTTCCCCGGACCTCCCTTAGACGTGTCAGGTGTAATTTCCTCTCTGCTTTGCAAAGATGAGAATTACCTGTCTGCGGCGGAGAATGTTAACCTCATTTTTGTGTAGTTTGTATGCTAGAAAACAATTACGGCCAATCTACCGGCAATTTGAGGGGCGGAATGATACTCCCTCCGCACAGCGGAGCCTGAAGCGATTGGTCAGTGGTTCATTTTGTCATATTTTCGCAGCAAGTCGTGAGATGGCCGATGTTTAAATTTGTTCGGATCTCCCTGAGGATACTCAAGAATGTCTGATGTCTAAATGTGGCCGATCGTGTTTGAATGTGAAAGTCAACCATTTGCTGTGTGTAGAACTGTTTCAGTACGACTGAATTGTGATTGACAGGTTACAGAATACAGAGACTGGAGTTTTGATCTTTTTTGGGGGGGGGGGGGGGGGGGGGCTTAGTCGTATTAGTTTGGACAGTTTTCATAAAGGGTTTTCCGAGTTGCCCAGATTTTCGTTCTGAGGTCTTAGGCAGATCGCATGCCTGATGTACATCATGCATCATTCGTTTGTGCCTTTGGGTGATGATACCTCTGTGAATGTGGTCCCATTGTTTCGTTTACTTCTTGATGTCTAAACGATGTCATAATTGTGTTGGAATAGTTACATGTTTGAGAAATGTTTTCGGGAGCCGTTGAAAACCTGTCACCGACAAAATGGTATCGAATATTTCTGATTCGAATATGAAAATGTGAACAAAGAACGTTCTTAAGTTGTCAGATGAATTCAAAATAAAGAACCTTTTTCCTTTGACGAAACACCGAGTCTCCAAAAAATACGACGACGCCTAGCCTAGAAGATCCGGCGGCGACCGGCGCAGGTAAAGTCGGTAAACACGATCTATCAAACGCGGTTGAAACTTGACAACAACTCGAAGGAATGGAGACGGGTAGTCTACTACGGGCAAGAATGGACAAAAAAATGTGAAAATTGTCGAAATTGTCAGAGATAAAAGGCCGTTGTTGATAAACGCTTTTCTGTCTGCTCGATTAAGATTTCGATGCGTAAGCCGTATGGCTGTAGGCAGTGGTGGCTCCAGACGAGATGTTTACACTTCTATAAAAAGAATATGTATTATTTAAGTGTGGAGATTGTGACTGAATGCCTGACTTGGGGATACTTCTAGTCTACCGAGGGTGTGTTTTCAGAAAGGTTATTTGGCAGGTAATGCTTTCCTCCAAGGACCCATAAAATGAACTTTTTAAATGCCCCTTTGAGTCCAACTTACCTTCACTTTTAAACTTTGTGCGGTGTCCCATAAACGAGTGTTTCAAGGTCCTTTCATGTTCGTGAGAAAAACAGTGATGTCAACAAATTAAGATAAACTGTTGCTGGGTAGGTTGACTTGTTTTGGTCGTGCATTGTAAATAGTGAAATCTCACTTCGAAATTTCAATTTTTTAAAAAGGGTACCATTTTGTAACAAATCGGGGCTTTAAAGATTTTCACAAAATGGGTTTCAAGTAAAAAACTGTTGTTACGATCCATTTTAACTTACACGTGAAAGGGTATGAGGGGTTATGGGGTGTCTAGGGGTGGGTGGTTGGCCCATCGTTGACCCATCGTTGCTTAAGTCTTACTAAAAACCTAAGTTTTTCTCTTATAACGTGAAAACATGTAGTCTGATTAATTGGCCTAAATTATTTGCCAGAGTTTTGCATTCGATAGTGCTAACGGTTAACATCAGTAACACATCCGTCAGCATGCTGCGCGTGGGTTCGAGTGTGAAGTGTGTCAACTCAATTTGCACTCGCAACTCCTTCCCTACATTTTGATCGGCTTTAACAGCAATCGCGGATTACGAACAAGAAGTCGACTTTAATCCACTTTGATTGGAGGGATCATTTACACATTTTCACACCTTTCACAGGATTTGATTTTATCCCATTTTCCGGGGGCTCCACTGCAGGCTATTGCCATTATTAATAAGTGCTGGTACACAATGCACTTAGATTGGAAGTTAGATATCAGTGGAGTTGGGCGTCAAATCTATTAAGGATTCTCGTAACCACTAGTTCATTTGTATTTAACTGTTGAGTGAGTGGTTCCAAAACGTATACGATTTAATGCTTTTGCCAGTGCAAACTACAACCATAAAACCGTGGGAAAGATAATTTTGCAAGCAACATTTTCCGTCAACAGATCTGTGATATAGACGTACATGCACACTTTAACACGCCTATTATACGTTTGCAGAGAGACTTTTCCAGATTAGTGTCGAGTGCCTGGAATTTTTGTGGTATAGTTTGAGTGGGAAAATTGCAGTAAGAGCCGTTTTGAGTTTTGAAATCGACATTTTTTCATGCCTTGGGTTATTCCAGCAATGTTACCATGACTGGAATTGTAGCAGCCCCCGTCTGTTGTAGGCAAAGCGCCCAATAATTCCCGTCGTAAGATATTGAGACACGAGGTCCGCTATACGGAATCACCACAGGTGTCCCCTAATCAAACTTGAAACAAAAGCCCTATGCCCCCCCCCCCGATATTTCCCCCGAAACTACTCAACACACAGCGCCCTTGAACCCATAAACGGGCACGGCACGACCTGCTGGGGAGAAAAGACAGACAGAAATCATGTTATAATGGAAGTGACTATGGGAATGTGGTCTGGGCAAATCAAGGCTTGATAGCAGCTGATCGGGTTGTATTTCATGCAGGCCGCTTTGTGGATTGGTTATTGTTTGTCGATTCCGGAACATCAGGGTACTTTTTTTAATTTCGGCACTCCACGTCTGCACTAGGTTATACTCTAGTCTACCGCCGTTTTTGTTTATTTTTAAGGGACATTTTTTTTTAGTTTTGTACTATAGAATTAGCTTAATTCACAATAATTCTCACTACTCTTAGTTGCTCGTTCCCGCTAAAATACTCGCTCCGTGACCTGTCAGTGTCATTAGCATACAAAGAAAGAAACACAAAGCATTGTGGGTAGATTACTGGCCAAAATCAATGCACGTCGAATTGCTGACCACGGATCACCGGTTGTCCAAATGGCATACACGCCAATGAAGACCCTGTGGGCACGAGCGAACTGCCTTAAGACGGAAACCGCCCTCTGTTGGTCGTCTGGACAAAGTCCAATTTAAACTTTACCAGCTGATGTTGCATAGGGTCTTTGAATTACTGTTAGTTACCCACAGTATCCACTTGATGTCAATCTCAGATTCACATGAGTGATGCTAGTTCTGTGGTCATTGAGGACAGTCCAGTTTGCAGAGCTTTAGGCCCATCTGTGCATGAAGGTCTCAGTATGATTTTGGTGCCACAGCTAGTGTTTGCTTTAAGTTTCTGAGATCGTTACAATCTCTGCGTTTCTATGAAGAAATTATATTTCAATCAAAAAGTCGATTGCTGTTTCCCTTTTATTGTTTATCGGCTCGTGAAAAACAAATAAAAGCTGCAGCGATATGGTAAGCTGAATCTTTTCAAAAGAGCCCACACGAAACGACCTGCCAAAGCATTGAATCTGTTCATTCTCAGAGAGTTGCCGTGAGATTTTCATTTTCATATAAAAATGGCCCCGTAGAATCTCGTCGAGCTGGAACTGATGGAGTCAGGTATTGCGAGCGGTCCTGTCAACAAGTTGTCCCCGAGACTGAACGGTCTGTGCTCGGCGACAATCGGGACTAGCTCGTAGGTCAGTCGTAATTTTGGTCATTTTCCGTGAATTCACGGGCTTAGGCCAGTTTTCTGTGTCCCTTGCACTTTTAGCCAGTAACCTCTCCGGCAGTGTATTATTCCTTTTTTTGGCTGTCCCGAGGCGTCTTTTCACATGTGACCTTGTCTTGGCCTTTACGTCAGAGCAGTGACCTGTCATTGTTGTTACTGGAGCAATATTTTTGGGGGGTTGAGGTAGAACAAAGGTTTCAGATCTTCAAGCTAAAAGCTTAAAAGCAATCGCCGTCTGGCATGTTATTGGAATGTTATTTTTTTGCATTCCCGAAGACGTGATTCTCATTAGAAAATCATGGTTGCTGGGTTTAGGTTTAACAATCCAGATTTGTGAAATGAGAAAATGAACATAACGAAAAGTCAAACTGTTGGAGGGGCTGCTCTGAAGACGATCAGACCATACTGATCGAAACGTTGACTGTTTACTAACAGATTTCCCTAAGAACCATCCACTCATAATCAAGTGATATAACTGTCCATTGTAGGTCTACTGCAGCAGACATTAATAATTGTGTGCGATTTATCATCCACCAAGAATCGAGTGGAATTGAAGAAGACATTTTTAACGTTTTGGACGAGCAAATAAGAATGTTTGGCAGTTCAGAACTTTGATCGGTCAGGGGAGGACTCTGATACGAAAACCACTGTTTCAAAGGCTTAAAAACTGAGCAGCATCCCTGGACCATGTACCCATATGAAAATTGGGTTAGACAAACAAACAGAATCCTTTGAAACCTGCCTTTTTGGGGGGAATTCATAAATGGGAGCAGTGACCCTTTCCAGTCATGCGCAAAGCTTGAGATTCATTTCCTTTTGTTCTATAATAATAATCAATAGCCATTTTAAATTGGCCGAAACACACCGACAACTTTCTAAAGGCCTTTAGACTCTGTGCGAATCTTGCAATTGAGATTCGACAAAACAGTTTACAGC